ATCTCGTCCTCTCCCCCTTCTCTCTCTCTGCCATGCGCTGAAGCTGACAGGATGAGAGAAAGGAAGCTCAAGGTGCATTAGATTTAACTTATGGCCTTCCCCTGCCTCTGCGCTGGAGCTAGTTGGATAAGAGGACAGGAAGAAGGAAACGGAAACAGGAAAAAAACTCCAGAGTGTTCAAGTCACCAGTGGGTGGATGCGTTCCAACTGGGTTAATACCCAAACAACAAAACAATGAAGCAAGCAAACAATAGAGAAATACAGTAAATGGTAAAGCGCGTGGATTTGCGTTGAGCTCACCGCAAAGCAGCAGAGGCGGCGCATGTCTGGGGAGGGCGAGAGCATCCCTTTCTCCGCATATGGCTGCATATGCACACGCACGGCAGCAGAGGCACAGAAAACGACTTTTCAGTGTCTTATAAGGGAGATGTTTAAAGAGGGTGAGAGGATCCCTTTCTCCGCATATGGCTGCACATGCACATGCACACGCACGGCAGCAGAGGCACAGGAAACGATTTTTCAGTGTCTTATAAGGGAGATGTTTAAAGAGGGTGAGAGGATCCCTTTCTCCGCATATGGCTGCACATGCACACGCATGGCAGCAGAGGCACAGGAAACGCACATGGTTCGGCCCACATTAGCATGGCTTGAAGAGCCCAAGCTGTATGGATTTGAATAGAAGAAAGGAGCTTTTTATCACATGCCCCCCATGGAAGTACAGCGGGAGAATACACGAAATAGAGACATAAATTCCGGTCTATGATGCATGCACATTGACATGGACATGACATGAATGAACCTTCTTACCCACCAGAAGGGCTGGAAGGACGGGAAGAACAACATTGGACTTGAAAACCCTAAAGAGAGCCTGCACGGCTGCCTGCTGCAGCTGCATTGCTGCCTCTGACACCCCCGTCTTTGTCTCGCCCTCCTCCCCCTCCTCCTCCAGTCCCTCCATGCCACGTGTCTGTGATGGTGACCCAGAGTCTAATGCCCTGAAAAAGGTTGAGAGAAGCGGCAAAAACAGGATATGATTTCTATGACGGCCGTGACCAAACATACAGTACCTGGAAATCTGAAACTTTTGCGCTGCACGATAGGATACATCACAGATCAAGTAGTTATAAATATTAACTTTGTGAAGTACAGGTGTGAAGTGTGGTGTAGTGTAGTGTACTTGAAGAGCTGTTAGGAGTCACATGAGCACAGGTGTGCAGTGCAACCAGTGTGCTTTGCAGTGGACGGAATATGGCGATCTGCAAGTGTACAGTGAACGGTAGAGGACGGATTGCAGAATACACAGAACGCTGCACAATGCACATGAATGTGCAGTGTACCTGAGAATGAGCGGCAGGGGGAAGCTGCTCAAGAAGGCAGTCACCGACCCATCATCCGAGGCTGAAAAACACGGGGGTTAAAGGAAACACGGGGGTAACGGAAGAAAGAAAAAAACAAGATAAAAACACGAGATGGACGTCAGAACAAGCTATCTTGACGTAACAGGGAGACTTCTGCGACGTCTCAATCTCGTTTAAACAGACGTAGGGAGCAGTTTTCACGTATAATCACTCTATGCTGGGGTTCACACGGCTCATAATAGGCACCATGAGGTCATAAGGCTCACCATGAATTCATGCGACTCACCATTAGTTCATGCGACTCACCACGAGTTCATGCGACTCACCACGAGTTCATGCGACTCACCATAAGTTCATGCGACTCACCACAAGTTCATGCGACTCACCATGAATTCATGCGACTCGCCACGAGTTCATGCGACTCACCATGAGTTCATGCGACTCACCATGAGTTCATGCGACTCACCATGAGTTCGTGCGACTCACCACGAGTTCATGCGACTCACCACGAGTTCATGCGACTCACCATGAGTTCATGAAACTCTCCATGAGTTCATACGCCTCACTATCGGTTCATACCGCTCGCCATAAGTTCATACACGTCTATGATGAAGAAAGCTAACCAAACCATCCGCAAATACAAGGTGAAAGTTCAGAAAAAGGTATCGAAAGAATCAAGCTCGCAAAAGCTCTTCCAAAAAAAAAAACCTTTCGAGAAAACATGCCGTAGGTGCAGGTGCGTGGACGATTGTGGCTTACTTAGGGTGCTAACCAGGTCTGCTGAAGCCGCAACGAAGGCGTTTCAAGAACCAAATAGGTGCGTGCATGATGCTGGCTTACTCGGAGTGCTGACCAGGTCGGCTGAAGCCGCAACAAACGCGTCTACATCGAGCGATCGCTCCTCTGACGCCAACGGTCCCATGGGTGTACGAGGATATATTGTAAATTCGCAAAACCCGACTGCTTGTTCGACTACGGGTATTTCAAATGTAAACCTTGAGCCGGAATACGAAGACAATTAAAATCTCTTTTCGCGTGAAGAGCAGTAAGTAGTTATGGTAGCTACGTGGTGTCAGGAACAAGAGGCGTCCTGGTCACGGTTCTTGAAATGGAAAATGTGAATCTGCTTGGCCCGCTGCTGAGGTGTGTGTTATTGACAGCTTCTTCAATGCGGCTTGCGCTGCAGAACGGTGCTTCAAGGCAACAAAACGGTTGGTAAGGATTTAGAGATGTCCTCCTGACCTGAAGACAATGCAACCTTTGGCGAATTGGTAGAAGCGGAATCGGACTACACTGTGACAGGAAATTTAGTGCAATAACAGAGTTTAAAATTCTGGATTCCATTCATGACGAACCTTTTTATAACGAGTTAACTTCCAATTTGTCAGGCAAATTGAACCTGGAACCAGCGTGGGTTACCGCAATCAACGACATGCAGGTCTGGCTCCAGCAATTCCCCGGCGCATTCTTCTGCTTGCCACGTCAGCGTGATGGCTGACTAGAGCCCCGCACTGTGTGACGTGACGAAGCGCCATGCAAGCACCAAGCACCATGCATTCTGGAACTCGGAATTATGTGTCGCCCATGGGGTTTCGCGAAAGATCTGCCAGATTCTTACGACGAGATGCTCGCGAATCAACGCTGCGCGACTCAAAACTCGGTCTCTCGCGTCGTCTAACGACACCGACATTGAAGTTCGGTAATCCGCTCTGGCTTGATCAACAAGCCTTACCTTTGGCACGTCCGTTCCGAACCTTACAATGCGAACTGAGGCTGGCTGGGAGAGCAGATAAAAGGCGAATGCGTTCGACGGCCAAACACAGACCGTCCAAACCAAACCCAAAGGTTTTCAAAACGGCAGACCCAAAAACCACCAGGGCACGGCAATCAGGTGCGTGATTTCCGTTGGCTCTCTAGGCCCACCCCTTCAGCTCAAACGAGCACCAAGCAAGGGAAAAGATCATACAAGGGCCGAACAGTGCCAGAGGGGTGATCGACCAGGGGCCGAGAGGCCCGAAACTTACCAAACCACTGCGCGACGAGGGATTAACAGGGGGTCTTTGTTTATTGCACATAATTATGTTACTAGTGGCATGTATCGGCTCGCATTTTCGCTCGCGTATCGTTTAGCGAGCCGACTCTACCGGGAACTCTAGGGCAGCCAGAAAAAACAAAAACTCATAGGGAACCTGGATGTAATTTCGGGATGGATCAACCCTAAATAAGGGGCCCTCCCTGATATTTAGGGTTGATGCCTCCCGAGTCGCATCCGTTTCAGAATGGGTAATTTTTTTTTTCTTCTGCATTTCCGATCGGGTAGGTGATATGTATCACCCAGAATATATTATGTTGTTACGTACTCACGATTTCACACCCCGAATTTTAATTCCAGAAGAAGGCGACGCGCGCGTTGTAGTAGACGGCGGTCAAAACCCTAAAAAAACAATGAACACAAAATTCGGCTCGTTTTAACAATTTTCTTTTACTTATGGTTCGGCTTGTTCGCCGAGTCGTTTGGTCAGCTCCGGGTTGAAATCCTACGGTCGAGATTTACCGGCCCTACTTTGAACACCTTTCTGGCACCGCTCGGCCCCAATATGATCTTTTCCCACCAAGCAATTCCAGTGGAGAAATCTGCGAACTTCAACAACTCCAAGGCGAGCCAAGCCACCTCTGGGACTTCGAACGAAAATGCAACTCCAAGGCTCCGCCTGGCGGAAGTGGGTCGCGTCACAATGAGCCCAAGCCAATCAGAAAAGCCTGATGGGAACACAGCATCACTCCAGCCCAGTTCAGTTTTCACTCTCACCGTATTGAACCGACTATCAACGCACAGAAACCATTTAGGTTTGCAATCAACCACCGCAAAACTAGACACTAGGCTCCCTCAAGCTCCCTGCAACCTTCATCTGTAACAAACACCCTTCAGCACCTGTCACTCTGGCTTCTGTCAGCCTTAGTTTTCCATGTGCTTCATCTTACCGTGTGCATCTCCACGCTGCTCCAGCCTCGATCCGCGCTGCTGCGGTCGTCGCTGCCAAGCCGACAGATGCTCCCGTGCTGGATGGAGTAGTTTCGATTTCAGATCGTCTTCGCGCTCGATTCAAGTGGTTTAGCAGAGAAAACAGCCGTACATTACAGGAGTCTAAAGCTTCAACGCTACGCTTCCCTGGTAGCAACTCGAGCAACGTAGTACCACCAGGCGATTTTCTCTTGTGTGCCGGAGCTCTTTCCTCGGACGAAGTAGCTGAACCGAAGAATTGGATCTGTTTACCTTTGTTGTCAGGCTCGGCGCGTTCGTCAGGCTCCATGACCGAACCTCGCCTCGTGAAATCGTCCTCCGCGATGAGCTTAGAAGCCGAGCCGTTACGTTCGGAACATTTAAGGTCACCATCTTCACCGTACGAGACGCCTCAGAAGCCAGAAAAGGAGCCATGGCGACCGCACCGCGCGTTTCGTCAAGCAGTTCAGGACATTTCCAACATCAAGCAGCAGGCATCGCAAGTTATCGACAGAATCAGCGGCGCGGCCGGAATCGGACCCAGACAAGGTTCATCTGGGGGTGGAGGTCAGGGTTTCTTCGGTTCTGGGTCCTCCCCTCCACGAAATTCCTCGGACGCTTTTTCGTCCATGGCAGGTTACATGAGTGAATCTGAGCTTCTGGGATGGGAGACTATTATACGCAGTCCTAGAGATGGAGCTGCTGCGACCGGCGGCGCAGGGCAGCTGAGCGCTAGTTTAAGTACGCAGGAGCGCGCTGGCGGGAAGTGGATTAAGGAGCTCTCGTCGATGGCTAACGTGGTTGTTGGCCGATGCGCGAGGTATGCACCGTGCAGCTCGTTTCTATTGATTCGTAGAAACCCGTTGCATGTCGTAAGCTGTTCACGCGTCGCTGCTGCTCTTTATCCGAATTTCTTCCCATCTAACCCTAGTAAGCATCGTCACTTCAGACTATTTCATCACGTAATTCACCTGGTAGCGTCCGCGCTATATCCCACCTTCCGTATTTCCCGTTCCAGAGTCCTGATGCTCAAACCGGAGGAGCTAAAAGCGAATTTCGAGGAGGAGGCGCCCGCGAGCGCGCGAGAGCCCGCGCGGTACGCGCGCAACTTCCTCGAGTACTGCTGCTTCCGCGCGCTGGCCGTGGCGACGCAGGTGACGGAGCACCTTAAGGACAAAGACTTCCGGCGGTGGACGTTCGACATGATGCTCGCGTGGGAGGCGCCGGGCGCCTCGAATCAGCCCACAGGACAGGTAGGGTATGGTTCGGGTTGTAAGGACCAGCGTTTTCCCTCTGGAAATTCTTTTCTCTGGTGGGCCTGTGAGAGCTGCTGGTGTTTGGTGGATCGTGATGCTCGCGTGAGGGGTTGCAGGCGCAGCCAATCAGCTGCCTGGACAGGTAGGGGTTTGAGGTGCCTTGGGATCTCCTGGGGCCTTGGGGATTTCCGCGCGCTGGCCGTGGCGACGCAGGTGATGGAGCACCTCAAGGACAAAGACTTCCGGCGCTGGACGTTCGACATGATGCTCGCGTGGGAGGCGAGACTCGCCAGGTGGCCACGATGGCCAGGTGGCCACGATGGCCAGGTGGCCGTCATGGAATCAGCCCACGGGACAGGTAGGAAGTGATGGATAGCAATTTGTGCACGAACATGGATAACGGTGTGTGCATGAACATGGATAGGGTTTGTGCATGAACATGGAGAGCGGTGTGTGCATGAACATGGATAGCGGTGTTTGCATGAACATGGATAGCAGTTTGTGCATGGTCGTGGAGAACCGTGTGTGCATGGACGCGGATGCCCGCCTGGTCCCACCATCCCACTGATGGCTCACATTCACGGCCGTCTCGAAGTTCCTTCATACTTCCCCCTCACTCTCCTCACATTTCACTCCTCTCCATCTCCACCCCTACTCAGATGGACGTGGAGAGCAGTGTGTGCATGGACGCGTTTGGCCTCCTGCCTCCAACCAGTTTTTGAGGAGACTAAGAAACAGACACCGCTCCCCGTCTGCCTGTCCCTTCCTCCCCCCTTTCCTTCTCAGATGGACGTGGAGAGCAGTGTGTGTATGGACGCGTTCGCCCGGCTAGCTCCAGCCATCCCGCTGGTGGCGGACAGTGTGACGGTGCACGCGCTCTTTGAGCTGCTCACCGACGAGTGCCAGGGCGGCCGCCTTCCCTTCGCCATCTACAATAACTACCTCAGCGAGCTCGAAAAGTGAGCAAACTCGAAAAGTGAGCAAACTGCTTGATTTTGAGGAACACGAGTGTTTCTGTTGTGAAACGTATGATACTAGGTCTTCAAGTAGTGAGGGATGACAAATAACTGATCAAGAGACATGAGCATTATCTGGTTAAAATCGTATTTGTCGTCTCCCCCTCCCCCTTCCCCTTCCTTTTCGAACAGAACTGTGAAGACAATAAAGAACTCCACCACTGGAGCGTTGGCATCGGCTCTAGGGATAGTGAGGGGCGAGGAGGCAGTGATAGAGACGGACGGACAGGCGACACAGCCGGTGCTGCAGCACATAGGCGTCAGTGCCTGGCCAGGTGGGAGCTCAATTCGACCTCTGTATTAGATGTTGGTCATCAGGGTTTCGTTGGGCCTTGGGATGGTGAGGGGCAAGGAGGCCAATGGTAGGGATGGATGGGCAACGACGCAGCCAGTGCTGCAGCACATAGGCGTCAGTGCCTTGCATTGCCGACTCGTACAACGCAGCAAAGAAGTTTTACCTGATGCCACGCCATCTCACTCCTCCCCACCCTACCACTTCTTTCTGCAATTTCTCTTCCAATTAGGTCGGTTGACCCTCACGGACTGCGCCCTATACTTCGAGCCCAGTGGTGTCGTCTCGTACGACGCAGCAAAGAAGTTTGATTTGGCAGCAGACCTCCATCAGACAGTCAAGCCGGACCTCACTGGCCCGTGGGGGGCGAAGCTGTTCGACAAGGCCATCATGTACAAAAGCCATGCCATGTAAGTCAACCCTCAATCCCTGAACCTCTGAACCTCGAAACTCAAGATGCTGAGCCCTAGGCAGTGGTTAGGACTGAGTGTGCAGTAAAGAAGATTGATCTCACAGCATACATCCACCAGACGGTTCTGGAGTTCTTGGGGCTGCCAACACACATTTACTCGCAGCTTCACTAACCACCGCCCCCCTTTTGCCCTTCCACATCCCAACCTTCCCACCCATCCCACCGATGGCACCCTTCTCTCTGCTGGTCTGTCACCTTTTCAGATCCGAGCCTGTCGTTCTGGAGTTTGCAGAGCTAACCGCACACGTCTACTCTGATCGTCACCAACATTTCCCCTTTGCTCTTTCACGTCCCTCCCACCCATGACACCCTTCTGTCTGTTGGTCTGGCGCCTTCTCAGATCCGAGCCTGTGGTCCTAGAGTTCCCAGAGCTAACAGCACACATGCGGAGAGACTATTGGCTGTCCATCATCCGCGAAATCATAGCCGTCCATTCCTTTGTCCGGACCTACAAGCTAGAAGGTCCGGCTCGCAGGCAGGCTATAGCCAAAGCCGTGAGGGGTATAGCGCGACTTAAAGCCGTGTGGAGCTTACAAAAAGCCCTCCCTACCGCCCCTGAGAGCCTCCTAACTTTCATTGCAGCAGACGAGCTTCCGGGCGGGGATAAAATCTTGCGGGCTATGGCGGGAGTGCTTAAGGCGGACTCTGGCAGCCCAAAAAAGGAACGGGAGCAGCTGGAGAAGCTAGGGGAGTTGGCTGCTGCAGCTGTGAGAAATGCCGGGTTTGGGGGGGGAGGGGGAGGAGGCGGAGGCGGGGGAGGAGGGGGAGGTGGAGGGAGAGGTGGAGGGGGCGCAGGAGAGGAGGAGGGTGGGGGAGCAGCAGCAGGAGGTACTGGCGGAACAGCAGGAGCAGCAGGAGAAGCAGGAGGAGCAGCAGCAGGAGCAGGAGCAGCAGCAGCAGGAGGGAGCAGATGGCAGCAAGGAGGCAGTGCAGCCGCAGCAGCAGTAGCCGCATTCCTCCCCGGCACAGCAGGGCTGATGGGCGGAGGAGGAGCAGGGGCGCTGGGAGTGGGTTCATGCCCGTCTATGCCTGTAGGGGATGTGCTTGTAGGGGAGATGACGGCTCTTGAACGGGCGGTTAAGAACTCGAGAGACAAGTCGAGTAAAGTGGCCAAGGCAAAGAGATCGGTCGAGGAGGTGAAGGTGGAGGGCATTGGGACGAACGTGGCTCTCATGAAGGTGTGGTGTGTGAAAGGAAGCATTTATTGTAGTACTCTGAATGAGATTAGTTGTATGCATGTATGGCGTTTGTGTCAGTGATGCTGCTAGGCCAATGGTTCCAGTCCCGAGCCTCGTGGGAGTGCTTAAACACCACTCTTTTTTCCATGTTTTCCGTTATCTTTCCTTTCCGCTCTTCCCTCCCCACCACACGAGCTGCTGGTACCAGTAATGCTGCTAGGCCACTGGTTTTAGCTGTAAGCCTCATGGCTTTTGAGACTCAAAAAGTCGTGAGCCTCATGGCTTCAAACATTATGTTCCTCTTTCCCTCTCCTTTCCACCGTCCCTCCCTACCACAGGAGCTACTAGTGCCAGCCATGCTGCTAGGGCAGTGGTTCCAGTCGTTAGCCTCATGGGAGGAGCCTATCAAGACCATTGTCTTTCTAGCCTTTGCACTCTACATCATCTACAAGTAAGCTTTCGTGTGGGCGTTCTGATTTTTTCCGCATTGCAATCCTTGGGCATCACCCACTGGTCCAGGACCTTGTTTGGACCTTGTTTGTATGAGTCGTCTGCCTTTGCCTTAGCTCACACACTCCCTTCCATCTGTCATCATCCGAACCTCAGGGACTGGCTCGGGTACGTCATCCCGTTTCTCCTCCTGACCAACGCGGTCATCATGATGTGGCTCCGCTTCGTGCAACAGTCCGACAGACGCCGCCCGCCGAACCGGAGAAACGAGGTGGTGGTGATCACGCCGCCCAATCAGAGCGCTGTGGAGCAGCTGGTCGTGCTGCAGGCTGCTCTCGCTCAGGTGAGCTTTTTCATGCAACAAAATTATGCCTGAGGTAAAAATTTCTCAGGTAAAATTCTGCTGTGGAGCAGCTGGTCGTGCTGCAGGCTGCTCTCGCTCAGGTGAGCTTTGCGTCACTTGGGTCAACTTTCCTTTGCTCACATGAAACTTCCTTAGATGAGTGAAACTTTCTTCTAGAGCAGCTGGTCGTGCTGCAGGCTGCTCTTGCTCAGATGAGGATTCTGTTGCTTCAGGTTACGTCTCTGTTGTTTTCAGGTGAGGCTCTTCTCGTTTAGTTGAGACATCCGTTCTGCTCCCAAAGTCCTCACAACCACAGGACATGCACTGCTGTGCATGCTCTGCTGTGGAGAGCTGGTTGTCATGTTCATAGCCCTTCCATGCACAATCCAAATATTCCAAACGATGCCCACCTGGCTCCCTCCAACAGGTGGAAGCAGCAATACAAGCACTCAACGTCGCACTCCTCAAAGCACGAGCGCTAGCCCTCTCCGAGCTCTCCACAGCCACAGACGAGCCGATTGCCATCCACGTACCAGTCCTCCATGTTCTCCCGTTAACTCCATTCCTTCCTCTCTTATCCCTGTGCCCTACAGGTGGAAGCAGCCATTCAAGCACTCAACATCGCACTCCTCAAAGCACGAGCGCTTGCCCTCTCCGAGCTCCCAACAGCCACGGACGAGCTAATCGCCGTGCACATAGTCCTGGCCATCCTTCTCGCCGTTCTCCCGGTGCGGGTCGTGGTGCTGCTGGTGCTAGGCGACGTTTTCACACGAGAAATGGAGTTCCGGAGAGACCAAACGCGACGGCTTGTAAGGAGGTTGCGGGAGTGGTGGCACCATATTCCGGTGGTTCCCGTGCGGTTTATTGAGAGGGAGAATGATGCTGACTTCTACTAGCCTGTTCTCCTGGTAAGAGTCATGGTTGCACGACCTCCCGGTGGTTCCAGTGCGGTTCATTGAGAGGGAGAACGATGCCGATTTCTACTAACCATCCGCCTTGCTTTTCTCCCAGTGAGGGTCGTAGTGCTGGTCGTTCTCCCGGTGCGAGTGGTGGCGCTGCTTGTTCTAGGCGACGTGTTCACACGAGAGACCAAACGAGGCGGAGGCTGCGGGAGTGGTGGCAGGCGCCATATCCCTATGGTTCCCTTGCAGTTCATTGGAAGGAGAATGATGCCAGAGACTTTTACTAGCTGCAACAATCTACCAAGTTTTTGAGGCGCCTTGAAGGATGAGGCTGTGGGAGTGGTGGCACCATATCCCGGTGGTACCTGTGCATTTCATCGAGGGGGAAAACGACACCAACGACCTCTAGTATGGTAGCAAGTCCAATTTTTTTAGGCGCCTTGAATGGGGAGTTGGTAGGAGTGGTGGCGCAGCGTTTCGATTCCGGTGTATCCTAGCGTGGTCCTTCAAGAGGGAGGATGGTCTCTACAGTACTGGAAACGGACGTGAAGCGTTCCATCAGATAGAGGGGCATGGCTGTCCCTCACATGATCGACCACCACCACACCAATCCATACTCTTTATTTTTTAGGATGCTCCACAGCTGTAGGGACGCCTGTGAGGCAGCGGGACTAAAATTGTCCTGTGATACAAAATCTGGCTGCATGCTTGTAGCCTCTTGTACAAATTTTGATACTAGATATTTGAAGTAGCAGTCTTTTATTTGCAAGAGTTGGCAATGCAGTTTATCTCTGGAGTTGTTGCAGCGAACCGCTCTGTATCGCGGGAATGGCTCGAGCGGACGGAAAATAGGGAAATTATCTAGAATGTCACAATTAAATCCAGTTTATCACGTTTGGTCACAAGGGTATCACAAACAGTCACAGTACAGTAGATTTCTATCGCGGGTGATCACAGTGCTATCACGGATGGTCACACCTCACCCCGAAAATGTATCACGTTTGGTCACTCGTTGAAACGGTCGATAGAAAGTTGAAACTACTCAAGTCACTGCTGGGATTCAAGGAAAGTTTTCTCGCGCGCGCCGTTTTGTCCGTAGTATAACGAATATTTTCGCGACAACTCTCGGTAACTCGTTAAAAACATCTGCAAATTCTTGTTACTATTTGACTGTCAACTGTTCGAATGATGCATAATGTTCCTAAGAATATCACTTTTAGACGGGTAAAGCTCGAAGGGTAATTTCTATTCCGAAACACATGACGGGTAAACTAAAACCCGTTCGCATGAGATTTAATTCGGGATGCATCAACCCTAAACACCTTGTCGCGTGGCGTTTAGGGTTGATGCCTCCCGAAGGGCATGCCATCTTATAGGGTTTTTTTTTATTTCATTCCCATGCGCGAGGTAACAAGCAATCAATATTGGGATTCCCCAAAATCTCTACAGCTTCTTTTGTGGTTTCAAATTGGTTATTATCGTTTCATCGAGTGACCAAACGTGATAGCTTTTAGGGGCGAGGTGTGACCATCCGTGATAGCACTGTGATCACCCGCGATAGGAATCTACTGTGATAGCCCTGTGATCAAACGCGATAAAACGGGCTTAATTGTGACTACCCGTATAATTTCCCCGGAACATATTGCATATAGTGCAGGAATAACTCGCGAGAAATAGTTACCATTGCGATCACGAATAGGTTTCAGCCTCAGAGATCGCGCGATTGCCGTGAGGTTTGTCTGAAGAAATTCGAACATTCTGGTGTGTACGGTGTATAAAGAGGTCACCGTGTAACGAGTATGTTGGTTCTGGGATCCTTGTTTTCTAGGGAGTCAGCCATTCAGTGTACTTCAAGCCCTTGATGCTCACTCTTGGAGCAAATTCTACAGGAGGGGAATCGGGAACGAGGTTTCTCTTGCGATCAAGTGAGCGCAACTGTGAGATAATTTGCAGGTCTTTGGCCTGTCGTGATTTTCCAAGGTTTCTAGATTCGCGGCAGGATGGTTGAAATTGAGGAAATCGAGGATACACGTGTCGAGAATAGTAACCTTCAAAGTACAGCCGCTCAAAATAAAAGTAGTGCGTCGGCGGCCAGGATCTCAACTGGGGATGCGGGAACCGTTGGATCGAGATCAGGAAGTGGATCTGACGGAGCCAAGGTTGCCGGAGAACCGTCGGATTTAGGAGGCGATGGACGGCGATCCTCGGCTGCGGGTTTCGAGGCGAATCAAAACGGCGCTGCTGGGAGTGGGTCGGGGGCGGGAGGCGTGAAGGCGGGGGAGAAGGAGGAGGAAGGAAGAGGGGAGTCCGCGGGGGGAGGGGGGGCAGAGCGGGAAGGAGTGAAGGCGAGGGAAAAGGACTCCGCGGGGGAAGGGGAGGCGGAACGGGGAGGGGAGGACCTTCCTGGGGAGCAGGGTGGATTTAAAGACGCGCTCAGTGATTTGGCGGTGGGGTCTGGCGGAGAAGCGGCAGCGGGTGAAGAGGCGGAAGAGGTGTTCGAGGATGCGCTTACAGAAGAAGAGTTGCGCAAGGTGAGCGGAAGTGAGGTGGGGGGGAAGGGGAATGGAGGGGAAAGGGGGAAGGTGGAAGGGGGAAGACCCTAAAGGTGAACCGGGAGAGGGCGGAAGAGGTGTTGGAAGATGCGCTTACAGAAGAGGAGCTGCGCAAGGTGAGCGGTAGGGGGGAAGAAAGGTGAAGGGAAAAGGGGGAAAAGCTGAAGGGGGAAGGAGAAGCGGATCAGGGTGATTCGGGAAGAGGTTCTCAGAATGCCGCTTCTTCTTCCATCTTCTCCATGCTTCGAGTTCAGGTTGACTCGACAGAAGTTCCGCAAGGTTAGCGGAATCGCCGTATTCTGTACTCACAACTTGTTGTTCCCCTCTGCTCCCCATCCCACCCCTTTACGCCTCCCCTCTTCCCCCCCGCCCCGCCTTTCTCCTTGGGTGTATCTTCCAAACGTTTTCATCGCGCATCCCGGCCGTTCAGAAAGCTCTGGCGGAAGCAGAGGTGATTAAAGCGAGGGGGAACGAGGAGTTCAAGCGGGGTGACTATAACGCAGCCCTGGAGAGCTACAGCAATGCGCTGGCAGCAGCGCCTGGGGCGGAGCTCGCAGAGGCGAAGGAGTCACGAGCGATTTACCATGCCAACAGAGCCATGTGCCACCTGCAGCTGGTGAGTTTTTGGAATTTCCAGTTGGTGGGATCTCGGGCTGGTGGGGTGGGGGCTCCCGAGGAAAGCTGGCAGCAGCGCCTGGGGCGGAGCACGCAGAGGCGAAGGAGTCACGGGCGATTTACCATGCCAACAGAGCCGTGTGCCACCTGCAGCTGGTGAGTTTTCGAAGTTCCCCACTTGCAGGGTCTTGTCTTGCAATCTGGCAGCAGCGCCTGGAGCAGAGCATGCAGAGGCGAAGGAGTCACGAGCGATTTACCATGCCAACAGAGCCGTGTGCCACCTGCAGCTGGTGAGAGAGCGAGAGAGCTGTTATTTTGGCCACTTAGAAGGCTTTGAGAAATTTCTATAAGTCACGTGCAGTTGGAGAGAGGAGTTGATTGGGGCTTGAAAAGTCACACCCATCACCAGAAGCTGGCCTTTTCCTCCTGCTCCTCACACTCCCTTTCGCCCTTGGTTTTTGCAGAAGGATTATGATGCGTGTGTTACAGAGAGCACCGCAGCCATTGATCTGAAGCCGGACTATGTGAAAGCGGTCATGCGACGAGCACAGGCATGGGAGAAGCTGGACAAGCTTGAAGAGGCGCTGGGAGGTGAGTGGGGCTCTTACTGAGACCCTTTGAGTTTCTGCGAGGAAAGAAGTGCATGTGTGGATGGAGGGAGTGTGGATGCTGGGCTATGAGAAGGCGATCCTGTGGCGTGCACAGGCGTGGGAGAAGCTTGAGAAGCCAGACGAGGCGCTGGGAGGTGAGTCGGGGGCTAGGAGCCAACCAACCAGGATCATGGATTCGTGAGTTTTACGTGAGTTTTACGGAAGGAGACAGATGCATGTGACTTCATGGGTTTTCTTGAAAATGCTCCAAGTACGCCTGTTTTATTTTGGAAGGGGACTGATGCATGTGTTTCCACATGCATGGGAGGGGAGGGAGTGAGCCAGTTAGGCTGTGTGAAGGTGATCATGCGGCGTGCACAGGCGTGGGAGAAACTGGACAAGCTTGAAGAGGCGCTGGGAGGTGAGTGGGTGCGGCTTGAAGCCAACCAACGAACCTTGTGATTTATTGTGGAAGGAAAGGGATGCATGTGTGGAGAAAGGGAGTATGGCAGTTGGGTGTGTATGGCGGCAGTTTTTCAGGGCTCTGGATTGCCGTGGTTCTGTAGCGGAGCTATGTGAAGTGAAAGCCATTATGCAACAGGTCCAGGTGTGGGAGAAGCTGGAGAAGCTGGAAGAGGCGCTGGGAGAGAGCGATGTGTGGTATGTGGAGCGTGGTAGCTGGGTTATGTGAAGTGAAGGCAATGATGCGCTTGTATGTCATGTTTGTCTTTCTCCTTTGCACTCTTTTACTACCTACCTCCACCACCCATCCTAGATTATAAGAGAGCGTTGGAAGTGGACAAAACCAACGCACAAGCCAGATCATCTGCCAGGCGATTGGAGCCCATTGTCGAAGAGAGGAGGGAAAAGCTTAAAGAGGAAATGTTGGGTAAGCGTTGTGGTTTTCCTTGTTTTGATTTTTTCCCTCGTTACGGTACCTTTTATGTCGAGTAAAATGCGTGATTCGGTTTTTTGTGGTTTCTGTCTTTCGTTTGTGTGCGATTCAGGCAAATTGAAGGACCTTGGGAACTCCGTTTTGGGCCACTTTGGAATGAGTGTTGACAACTTCAAGGCTGTGAAGGACCCTAAAACCGGCTCCTATTCCATTTCGTACCAAAGCTAAAATGTATTTCCTAGCTAAAGCTGCTAGCAAATTAACTCTTGTGAAGGGATATTGTGGAGTACAACTTGTGGAAAAGAGTACTCAACTATTAGAACCCTGATAATACAAGCGTTATGTTAGATCTTGAAAACCAGTCCAATGCTCGTACCGCGTATACCTGATCACGAAATCCTTCTCCCCTGAACCACCTGGCTTTTAGGGTGAGCTTTGGCTATTGTCAAAATACCGCCCATCCAATCAAGGAGCTCTTCTAGCTCTATCTAGCCTGATACAGCGGCTCGGCCAGCAGTATTAGGCTTCCGCGGTTCGGCCTGCAAGTCAGCCGTTCACTGGCGTCCGCGTTTTTTTCGCCAATCTGCCATTCGCTAGGGTTTCGCGAGCATCATGGTGTCCCTAGAAGCCGCTCACGCGAACCAGGACGCGCTCCTGAAACGATTCACTGTAAGCGCTGCCGTCGGCATTATCAAGGTCTGCATGGTCAATATCGGAACGTCTCGCTCGAAACTGTGAGCTCATTTGTCGGCAATATCAAGGTCATCATTGCCGTCAAGAGGATGATGTCGTAGGAATCGCTTATGCGGCGCAAAACGCCTGTGAAAGCCTTTTTAGGGCAATGCCAATTCAAGTTTTGGTTCGTCGTCGCCAGGGTTTCGCGAGAGCGTCGTTGTGTCGTTAGAACCGGCTCACGCGAAGCAGGACGTTCTCCTAAAACGATCCAATGTGATTCCATTTTTGCCGATTTTTATGCGTTTGTTGCGGGATCCGGCATTATAGTCTGTCTGTCATTAGAGTTTGTTACATCTCTTCAGTTGGTCGCACCCAGTCCTCCTTTTCACGGGGATTTTCATTCATTCATGGGGGTTTGAGGTGACTTTTGAGTCGACTCAAAAGTCACCTCGGGATTTTCATTTATTTATGGGGGTTTGTTGTCACATCCGACGGTCCTTGCAGTGAATTTGATTTAATTTGATTTGGTTTGATTTGGTTTGATTGGATTTGTTGCTTCCCGCGTGGCTGGCAGGAGCTGGGTATCACGTACCAACTCTATTCGCATCCACCGGTGCTTACAGTAGAGGAGCAGGCTGCACAGGTGACAGGAGCTACAGGGGAGACTCTTGAGTCGACTCAAAAGTCCTTTGATTTGTTGCTTCCCGCGTGGCTGGCAGGAGCTGGGTATCACCTACCAACTCTATTCGCATCCGCCGGTGCTTACAGTGGAGGAGCAGGCTGCACAGGTGACAGGAGCTACAGGGGAGTTTACCAAGAACCTTCTTCTTAAGGCAAGATGCATTTCTCTTTCATCCCCCCTCTTGAGTGAATCATGGCATGGCTCTGCTTTCTCCCTTGGTCTATGTTCATTTTCTCAATCCTCGACCTTGCACCGGATTCGGCACCGTCACCTGAGTGCATTTCCTCAATCCGTTTGTGAATGCGTTGTGGCAGGACAAGAAGGGTCGGCTGATTCTCATCTCTGCACTCACCAAGACCAAGATTGATCTCAAGTGTAAGGATGCTTCGTCACTGCTCTATACCTGACCCATGCAAACTGTACACCCCACTTTAGTGTCGTCGAAAGTGTACACCTGACCACAGTGCTGCAGGGGCTTTCACAGAGGCTGGGACTGGCCTTCGATTCACGGACACCCCTGTTTTGAGTCGACTCAAAACAAGGCTGGGACTGGCCTTCGATTCACGGACACCCCTGTGCTGTTTCTGTCTGTTCCTCTTGTGCTTTCTCCCTTCCTCCATCCCAGTTCTGTCACAGATGCTGGAACTGGGCAAGGGCGGGGGGCCAGGCGAGAGCCTGACTCAAGAAGGACTATGCTGCGCTGCGCATAGTCCTCTCTCAAGGGAAATGCTGCTTTGATTCAGTCAGGGGCACCCGTGTATTGTTTCTCTGTGTCCTCTGCCGATTCCTCAGTGCTGTCGCAGAGGCTGGGGCTGGGCAAGGGAGGATTGCGCATGGCACCAGACGAGAATTTGGCTGCGGTGCTGCAGGTGCCTGCTGGCTGCGTGACTCCTCTGGCGCTGTTCAACGATTCTGCCAAGTGAGCATTGGCTTTGTAGGTTGGTTGGACTTCACTTGTGGTGCGTGCAATGAGTGCACCACATGAGAACCTCACCACCGTGCTGCAGGTGCCTGCTGGCTGCGTCACTCGTCTGGCGCTGTTCAACGACTCTGCCAAGTGAGCAATAGCTTGATAGGTTGGTTGGACTTAACTTGCGGTGCGTGCAATGAGTGCACCACATGAGAACCTCACCACTGTGCTGCAGGTGCCTGCTCGCTGCGTCACTCCTCTGGCGCTGTTCAACGATTCTTCCAAGTGAGCATTTGTAGGCTGGCTGGTCACCAATCCAGGCTGGACCCAACCAGACAGAACCAGAACTTCTGACGAGACGGGCAGGTGCCTGCTGGCTGCGTCACTCCTCTGGCTCTGTTCAACGATACCGCCAAGTAAGCAATGGCTTTGTAGGCTGGCTGGTCACCAAACCAGGCTGGACCCAAATAGACAGGACCAGAACTTTTGACGAGACAGGCAGGTGCCTGCTGGCTGCTGCGTCACTCCCCTGGCCCTTTTTAACAGCTCTGCCTGTGCTGATTAGTTGGTCACCAGACAGGGTGGAGTGGACCACACCCAGGCCTCTGTTCTCTACCCTTAACTCAACCTCCCTCCTTCCCACACTTCCCGCCGCCTCCCACACATTCCCCCGTGTTTTGTGATTCAGAGACGTGGTGCTGCTGCTGCTGGACCAAGGATTCGCAGGCGGTCTGTGCTTGTGCTTCTCCTCTCCCCAGAAGCCTCCCACGTTTCTCCTCCCGCCTCGTTCACCCATCCCACTTGCCATGACCCCCTGTGTCATGTGATTCGGAGACGTGGTGCTGCTGCTGCTGCTGGACCAAGGCTTCACCCTTCAAACAAATGTCACACCACATCCAGGCCTCTCCTCTCCCACCTCAATCTTCACACCTTCCCCATCCATCCCTCATGCCATGAAACCCCCCGTCATGGGATTCAGAGACGTGCTGCTGCTGCTGCTGCTGCTGCTGCTGCTGGACTGGACCAAGGCTTCTCATGCAGTCAGTGCTTCCCCTTTCCTCCAGAACCCCCCGCGCCACGTTCCTCCTCCGCTTCATCCTCTTATCACTCCTGCCATGCACTACCTTCCCGTGTCATGTGATTCAGAGACGTGGTGCTGCTGCTGGATCAAGGGTTCGCCTCCCAGCAGCACCTGCTCTTCCACCCTCTCTCCAACGACGCCACTGTTGGTAAGGCGCCACTATCAGTCAGTATACGGCAATTTTCTTCCCACATAGAAAAATAAGGAGCTGAATTGATACCGCAAGTAGAACGCCCTTAGTTCTTCTTGCATGTTTTGGTCGATTTGCAATTAATCGTCCCCGTTTTTGTACACCTTACTGCCGCTTCTAGCCCTCAAGTCCGTCCCCCTCTCCCCCTTCCTCCTCTCTTGCCCTCCTATTCACAGCGTTGACCCGAGAGACGTTTGAGTCTTTCCTTGGCAATGTTGGCCGCTCTGAGCCGGCTTATGTGGTTCAACAGCCCTCTCAAGTCCATCCCTTTCCCCCCTTTTTCCCTTCCATCCCCGTGCCCTGCGATGCACAGCGTTGACTCGAGAGACGTTTGAGTCTTTCCTTGGCACTGTTGGCCGCTCTGAGCCAGCTTATGTGGACCTTGAGGTATGCCCGTGTGCATTGATAATAAGGTGATGTGAGGTGGGAGATGCCCTCCTATGCACAGCAGCACAGGTTGACTCGAGAGGCGTTTGAGTCTTTCCTTGGCACTGTTGGCCACTCTGAGCCCGGTTATGTGGACCTTGAGGTATGCTTTTGTCTGAGGGTCACGAAGTTATTTGATGTGCCAAAACAACGTCTCTATGTTTACAGGCGCCTTAAACCTCTGGACGGCTTATGTGGACGCGTTGAGGTATGCTTATGTGAATGGATGCTGATTTGATACGCCTCAGAAAACCTCTAAATGATTTCAGGTGCCTCAAACCTCTGGTGGCTGGCCTGGGCCGGCTCATGTGGACCTAGACGCATGCTTGTGTGCGTGGGTGGGTGTTCATACGTTGAGGCATTTTTTTTAGCGCCTCAAGCTTAGGCGTCTCAAGGCTCTGATGGCTTCTCTTAACCTGCTTTCGTGGATGAGGTACGCTTGTGTGCAAGGATCAACCGCCCGACCTACCTCGCTGCCCTTCTCCCTGCCGCTACCACTGCTGCCGCAGCAGAATTTTTAAAACCTGTGCCTGAGACGTCTCAAAACGCTAGAAGATAAGCAGGTACAGGTTTTGAGAAACCTGTGCCTGTGACGTCTCAAAACGCATGCTTATCTTCAATTGTCAATGTAATGGTAATCCCAATGCCTTGCTTTGCAGGCCAACGTGGTGGTGGGCAAGGATCAACCGCCCGACCTCGCTTCTCTTCTCCCCGCCGCTTCCACCGCTGCCGCAGCAGGAGATGCCGCCTCTGCACCTACAAGTGCCGCCACCAGCACTACCAGCGGTGCCAGTGCCAGTTCTAATACTGGTGGCAATGGCAACGCCCCCAAGGCCGGTGCTGCTGCAGCTGGGAAGGGGAAGTCAGGTGGGTGGGTTGGTATGCAGGAGAATAAAAAATGTGTGTGGAATGCGCCAATAGTTTGTTCTGTGCTCCGTATAACCCTGGATGTGTGAACTGGTGGTTCGACTAGGGATTACTGACTAGGGCCATGACTTTCTGTACTCTTATTCTTTGATTTCTACTTGCATGGGTGGGGTGTGGCTTTCCCCTCGCCGCTGCAGCTTCTCAGAAGAAGACAGCGGCTGCCGTACCAAAGGGGCCACCGGGCGATGACGTGGCAACTTGCACGACACGGATATTGGACATGCTGACAGAGCACATGAAGGTGGGGTAACTCACTTTCAACCGTCCATTTCTCTTCTCTCTTCTTTCTCACCATCCATTTCTCCATCACCATCATGCGGATTCTGGGCATGCTGACAGAGCACATGAAGGCGGCTGAATTGCTGTCTGTACTCTCCGTTCAGTTTCTCATCAACGTCTTCCCCCACTGGCCTACCCCGTCGGCTCCATGCGCATGCCCCCCTTGTCCCTTCGTGCCTCATGGTTGCTTCAATCATCCGCATTCTTCTGGCATTTGCGTTCCCCATCACCAACTACAGAAATGTAGTGGTGACTCTGCGACTGCGGATCAATCTTCTAGTGCCAGCAAAGCCAATGAGGAGCTTGCATTGAATCTTCAGCACACCCTGGTACGGATTATATTCGACGACACTTTCCATTTCATGCCTTTATGCTAGCATTGGCCAGGCGGGTATGGGTTGCATTTGTACTGCATCCCGTTTACCCTTAACGGTTGTTTTCATGTTGAATACGTACGTATTATTGACCTTGCAGGTTATGTTCAAGAATGCTGCCTATACAAATGGTTTCTTTGCTGGCCGGGCAGCGGTCCTGGATAGGGTTCAAGGTTCGTGACAGTTGGCATGCGACCATGCCTGTTAAAAAGGGATGTTATAATGCCACTCGTCTCTCCCAACCGAAATTTTACGATGTTGGACCATGTCCATCATTGACGACCGTATCTGAAACCAACTTGTCCTCAAAAGTTGTACGACAGCATTTCTTCTCAAGCCCCGTCTTGGTCCATCAATTGGCCTGTTCACAGTACTTCCAAATGGGGTAATTACAAGCAAACTAAGGTGATGGCATAGTTCAGTGAATTGAAGTGAAGTTCCAACTTTTCAGCAGGTGTGAACCAATTATGAAGCACTTATACCGTAAGTGGAAATACAATGCGTTGTGCACTTACCGGTATTTCCGTCTGCTTTTGCAGCAAGCTTTCTGTCCTTGATTCTGGTCCAGTCTGACTGCTATCGGGGTTTACGAGGGCATTGGTCTGACGCACCGCGCTCCAACGGTGACTACATGCGGCCAATCACTATGCGAAATCGAGTCGCCAGCAGCCGCTCGATGCGCGAAATTTTCGAGTTCCCACTTCTTTCGCGCCAAAAACGATGAGCAGTCTGCAATTCTGTGCACCTCCGTCAAGTCAATGCTTGTCGCGAGGGACAAGTCGCTGATCAACCATACTTATAGTTCGGTTAAAAGGGTTTCTTCAATGTTCGACACGGTACTCAAGTGCTACCGTTATGGATCGCAACCAACCGAGTATTTTACTCTGATACACGAACTGCAAGTCATGATCACCGCTACTTCCCAAACTGGGTTAGCGCGCATGCCATTCCCAGCACCACCCACCCACCATCGCGTGCCAGAGGCCTTCGAAACGAAACCTCGCCGAATCTTATGGCTCCACTTATTTGAGCGCCGCATTTGGGCTGGGCTCTAGACTCGTCTGCTAGGACTTGCGCGTCACACACGCCGCCACTGTTGCTCTCCTCTGCTCTACCCTTCTCTGTCAGTCCACACGTCAGCGGTCACCCGGACACGCCACTACTGCAAGCAAAGCATTATGTTTCTCACCACCCCGGCAGGTTGGCTCGCTTAGCTTGACCCTCCATTGCTGTATCGCCTGTACTCTGAATAGGAGCGCCGCTGGGTAGCGCTGTAGCTGCTCTGAGACGTGTTGGTGAAAGCGAATGTTCGTACACACCTAGTTATCTAGTAAATAAACAAAACCGATTCGGAAGTCACTACTGAAGGCACAGACGGTAACCTGGCATACCAAGTTCGGTTGCGGTGTGTTCGCACGCACCCTATTCACACGAAGAGGCGTCTCGATCTTGAAACAACGTCCGTTTTTCACGTGAGAGAAAGATATAGAGATTCTAGACTACGAAAGATAGTTTTCGAGAATTTAGAATTGCAAGAGACACCTCGTCTTCAGTTCTCTACTCGGTCATGTCGTCGCTACCGCCACGTCGGCGAGATCTAGAATGTCTCGCACACTACTCGTGGTCAATACGCATTCTGAGATCTTAGGAAATTTCAGCAGCTGTTCGATACTAGTACACGCAGTCGATACATATTCTTAGATTTAGCAAGTCTTCCGCAAGTATCGCACACTAGCACTCGTGGTGGATATTAACCAGCACGTATCTCTCAACGCCGCCTTTGATAGCACGACTTTAGCGCGCCTGTAGCGCCGTGCGCCTCGAAGGCGTTGGCAACACCGGCTGTAGCACCGAAAATTCCTCACATAACTCCATCGATTTGTCTTTAATGGCCTCGAGAACTTCGCGTTCGAGCGGCGCTGGCGCCTTGAGAACCGCATCCCGAGCTCGCCCTCCCTTCCGTATCGTGTCACCTTATGGCCGATGTATTCCATTCCACGCCGCCGTTCTAATCGCTGCGATTACTGTCGCCGCGAGTATAAGGTTCGCGGCTGCGCTGACGTCCGCGAAAGACGGTGAGTGTGCTCACTCGCCCAGTCGGCTGCTGTTGGTTGCGCGTGGTGCTCGTGTTCGCACGCCCAAGGACACCTGGTGGTGGCGCTTGCAAATGTTTGCTGGTGGTTGCCCGTCCCGTTCCCATGATTCGCCCTTGCTCCTCCCTCCCCCTCTCACCTTCTCCCCCTCTCCCTCTACCCTCCACCATTCTCCCTCTCTCTCCTCCTCCCGCTCACCCGCCAGTCGATGCTTTGGGGGACATCTACAACGGCTTCAATCGCTCCTTCCCTCTCTCCCTCTCTCCCTCTCTCCCTCTCTCCTTCTCTCCCTCTCTCCCTCTCTCCCTCTCTCCCTCTCTCCTTCCCATCCTATTTCTCTCACCCTCCCGCCCTCCCGCCCTCCCGCCAGTTGATGCTTTGGGGGACATCTACAGCGGCTTCAATCGTTCTGTGACGCTGCAGACGTGGACGTGGGGTGTTAATTGCAGTGAATGTCGAGCCTTCAGAATAATAACCTCCCCTCCCTTCTCCTTCTCTCCCCTCTCTCCCAAATCCCCTCTCTCATACGTCCACCCACCAGTTGATGCTTTGGGGGACATCTACAGCGGCTTCAATCGTTCTGCGACGCTGCAGACGTGGACGTGGGGCGATCCGTGCGGCAGCGACGGCAGTGAGAACGCGGGCAGTCCGTGGCACGGCATCACGTGCGACGTGTCGGCCGACCCGCAACGAGTGATCGAAATGTACGTCTCTCTGGCTGCTAATGCTGCCGCTGCTGCTGCTGCTGCCTCAGCCGCCGCTGCTCGGCTTAACACGGATAGGAGCGGGTAGCGTGAGAGAATGGTGGGAAGCGAGCAAGAATGGAGAAACAAATCAGTCAAATGGTTCACCTTCTCACCGCCCTCGTTCCCATCGCTCCCTGCCTTCCATTCGCCTTCCGTCCCTCCTTCGCAGCAACCTATCTGACTCGGACATCAGTGGGTACATCTCCGGGTCCGTCAGCGCGCTTAGCAACCTGCGATCCTTGTAAGTCACTCTGCATCCCATCCATTGCCATGCCCATGCCATCCGGTGCCATGCCCGCATGACTCCGACATCGGCGGGTACATCTCGGGGTCTGTCAGCTCACTCAGCAAACTGCGATCCTTGTAAGATGCCCTCCATGCCCTGAGATGCCACGCCATGCCATGCCATGCCATAACATGCCACGCCATGCCATGACATGCCATGCCATGCCACGCCATGACATGCCATGCCATGCCATGCCACCTCATGTCACACCATGTCGTGCATTGCCTTACAGCCCGGACTCCAGTCCCCTCGCCGCCCTCCCCTCCCCCCTCCCCGATCCACTCTGCTACTGACCCCTACCTGCCCTCTCTCCTCCCTCCCTTCCCCCTCTCTCCCTTTCCTTGCCTTCTCCCGCCCCCCTCCAATCCCCCGTCCCTTCGTCCCTTCCTTCCCCCGCCCCGCTTGTGTCCCCTCCCGCGCATCCCCCCGCGCAGCGTAGTACGCAACAACGCCATCAAGGGCGGCATCCCCGCCGACCTCTCCGCGCTCACAGGCCTGCGCACCCTGTAAGCCAGTGCTATGCCCCCCCCCCCCCCATCGCACCCTGTAAGCCATTGCTTTGCCCCCCCCCCCCCATCGCACCCTGTAAGCCATTGCTATGCCCCCCCCCCCCATCGCACCCTGTAAGCCATTGCTATGCCCCCCCCCCCCCATCGCACCCTGTAAGCCATTGCTCTCTGTAAGCCATTGCTATGCACCCCCCCGTTGCTCCCTATCGCTCCCACTGCTCCCCATTCCTCCCTCTCCTCTGCACCCATTGCTCCCCGTTGCTCCCCATTGCTCGCTCCATCACCCTTTCTTGTTCCCCCTCCCCATTTCCCCTACCCCATTTTCCCTCCCCCCTTGCCCTCCCCTGATCCGCAGCGACCTGAGCAACAACCCGCTGGAAAACACCATTCCGCCGGAAATTGCGCGTCTCCCCGCGCTTTCCTCTCTGTATGCGCGCACTCCGCCCACCCGCCCCCCTCTCTCCCCCTTTCTCCCGCCTTCGTCGCCTTTCTCATGCAAGACAATAGCACCAGTGGTCCCGCCCTTGCCTGTTCTCTTTTGCGATGCACCTCCCCACCTCCCTCCCTCCCTCCCTCCCTCTCTCCCTCCCTCCCTCCCTCTCTCCCTCCCTCCTCCCTCCCTCCCTCCCTCCCTCCCTCCCTCCCTCGCTCCCTCCCTCTCTCCCTCCCTCCCTCCCTCTCTCCCTCCCTCCCTCCCTCCCTCCCTCCCTCCCTCCCTCCCTCCCTCCCTCCCTCCCTCCCTCCCTCCCTCCCTCCCTCCCTCGCTCCCTCCCTCTCTCCCTCCCTCCCTCCCTCCCTCCCTCTCTCCCTCCCTCCCTCCCTCCCTCCCTCCCTCCCTCCCTCCCTCCCTCCCTCCCTCCCTCTCCCTCCCTCCCTCCCTCCCTCCCTCCCTCCCTCCCTCCCTCCCTCCCTCCCTCTCTCCCTCGCTCCCTCCCTCTCTCCCTCGCTCCCTCCCTCTCTCCCTCCCTCCCTCCCTCTCTCCCTCCCTCCCTCCCTCCCTCCCTCCCTCCCTCCCTCCCTCCCTCCCTCCCTCCCTCCCTCCCTCCCTCCCCGTGCCAGACACCTGTCGAGCTGCGAGCTGGAGGGCGACCTATCGCGCCTGCTGAACGCCCTTCACCACCACCACATATCCCCCCTCCCCCCATGCCCTCCCCTTGCCTCCCCCCTTCCCTCCCCTCTCTCTCATGTGCCAGAGACCTATCAAGCTGCGAGCTGGAGGGCGATCTGCCGCGCCTGATCAAGCTATCGTCGCTCGTAGCACTGTGAGCTGCTCTGCTTTGCTGTGCGTTGTGGCGCGGTGCTGTGCTGTGTTGTGCTGGGCTGTGCCCTGGCATGCCATGTGATGTCATGCCATGCACTCAGTGTAACTCGCCATGCCGTGCCACCCAAGGCACTGTGAGCTTCTGTGCATTTCCACGCGCCATGCCATGCCATGCCATGCCATGCCATACCATGCCATGCCATACCATGCCACGCCATGCCACGCCATGCCATGTCATTCCTCTGAGTTGTTCCCCCACATGCTGTATGGGTGATCCCAGGGACCTGAGCAACAACTCCCTCACAGGCTACATCGACCCTGCCAGCACCCGCTTGCCCCACCTTTCCAACTTAAACTCACCCTTCCTCACCACCCTCCCCACCACCATGTGTGTGTGTGTGTGTGTGTGTGTGTGTGTGTATGTGTGTGTGTGTGTGTGTGTGTGTGATCCCAGGGACCTGAGCAACAACTCCCTCACGGGCTACATCGACCCTGCCATTGCCCGCCTGCCTCACCTCTCCGACCTGTACTCACCCCTCCGCACTACGCACCACCCACCACCATTACTGCCTCCTCCCCACCACGCACCACCCACCCACCGACCCACCCACCCCTATCACCGCTACCATCCACACACTCACCAGTTCCTGCTAATTCCAGAAGCGAACTGGGCTCATCAACGGCACTATTTGACACTCCACGTCCTTTGAGACGTCTCAAAACTCACCAGTTCCTGCAACTTCCAGAAGCGAACTGAGCTCATCAACGGCTCTATTTTGACAGTCCACGTCCTCCTCTCCCGCATTGTGCTACTGCTGTGGACGTTCCCCATTGTGCCCCATGTGCTGGTGTTTCGCAGTACATTCACTCCTCTCCTCGTGCCCCACCCATGCGCCAACCCCTGGACGCCACGTGTACAGGGACATGTCGTACAACAACCTCACAGGAGCGCTTCCAGATGCTCTAGGCTCCGCCACCGCCCTCACCTCCTTGTAAGCACACCGCCCTCACCTCCTTGTAAGCACACCGCCCCTCACCTCCTTGTAAGAACACCTCCCTTCCCTCCATTTAAGCACACTGCCATGCCTCCCTGTAAGCACACTGCCTCACTTCCTTGTTTGAAATCTGACCTCTTGCCCCTCCCTTCCTTGTGTCATGTCCTTCCATCCTTCCGCCCTTCCGTCCTTCCGTCCCTGGCCTCTTCATCCTTGTGCTCCTCTTTTGAGTCGACTCAAAAGTCACCTCGTTACAATGGCACACGACGTTTTTCCATCCTTCCGCCCTTCCGTCCTTCCGTCCCTGGCCTCTTCATCCTTGTGCTCCTCTTACCCGTCTGGCCCTCCCTTTTGGCATCCAAGCTCTCGGCATCGACCCCATCTTTCCCAACTCTCTCACATTTCCCCCATTCCCTCCCCCCCTTTTCCCCCCTCTCTCCCCCCATTCGCCTCCATCTGTTCCCATGCCCCCCGTTCGCCCCCATCTTCCCCACGCCTCCCCTGCAAATCAGTGCGGTGGCATTCAACCAGCTGTCAGGCAACCTCCCCCCCGCCCTCGGCACTCTCCCTTCGCTCTCCTTTCTTGACATCCGAGGCAACGCCTTCTCAGGCTACCTCCCCCTCTCCTATTCCGATATTGAGCAATTCCTCTACGACGGCGCCCTTCCCCCCGCGCCCGCAGGCCCCTCCGAATCCCCTCCGCCGCCCCCCATCCCGCCCCCGCCCCCCCCGTCCGTCCCCCCGCCGTCCCCTGTGCTGCCTGGGTTCCCTGGGGGGGATGATGGAGGGGCGGATGCTCCTGCTTCTCTCCCCTCCCCTCCTCCTCCTCCTGCTGCCCCAGGTTCGCTCGCCCCCCCCTCCTCTTCTTCTCCCCCCGCCGCTCCCCACGGCAATCACTCCTCCCCCGCCCCGCCTGCGCCCCCCTCTCTTCCGCCTGTCCCCCCTGTAACCTTCCCCAACGGGACGCACGTTGGGAATGGGACGGGTGGGAGTGGAGGAAACGGGGGAAAACGGGGGGAAGGCGGAGGAACGGGGGAAGAGGGGGATGGGTATTTCTACCTGGATCCATCAGTTCCGGAGAATGAGACGCAAGCGCTGGTGCCGGTGCCGGTGGGGTGCAAGCCGTGTGCTGGGGGGAGCGTGGCGAGGAGGCATAAGAAGCTGTGTGTGTGCTCGTACCCGCTGCTGCTGGAGGTTCATCTGGGCATGGAGTTCTCTAGGTTCAATGACGTCACCAGAGAGGTGAGGAGAGGGTAGCTAGCTGTGACTTCACCATACAGGGTACCAGTATCGTGTTCTGAGACATCTCAACTCTCGATACTCCCATTCCCCACCCCATCACACCCCCCCCCCCTGCTCCCCTTCCGCTCCTCAGAGCCTAGAGGAGCAGCTCGCGCTGAGTCTGAACGTGAACCGGACCCAAGTAGCTGTATACGCGACACGCCCTGGCAGTGTGATAGCCTCCTGCGCAGTGCTGCCGCCCGGCCGCACGGCTGTGCTGCCGGTGGGAGTGGCAGCTCATGCGGTAGATGTGCTGCTGGGGAGGAAGAGAGTACTTTTGAGGCGCCTCAAAAGTCGGTGGGAGTGGCAGCCCATGCGGTGGATGTGCTGCTGGGGAGAAAGAGGCACGTGTTTTGGCCAGAGCTTCTCAAAATATGATGCCCCTACTCCCGTTTTTTCCCCTCCCCATCACCCCCCACAGAGCCTTGAAGAGCAGCTGGCGCTGAGTCTGAACGTGAACCAGACTCAAGTGGCCGTATACGCCACCCGCCCCGGGAGTGTCATTGCCTCCTGCGCAGTACTGCCGCCCGGCCGCACGGAAGCACTGCCAGTGGGAGTGGCGGGGCATGCACTGGACGTGCTGCTGGGGAGGAGGAAGCAGCGCCTGGAGCTGTTTGGCATGGGCGCTGTGAAGGTGCTGGCAGTGCGGCTTCCCACGGTGGTGCTGGATAGGAATGGAGGTGCGTGGGGATTGATGGTGGATGAGTGGTGATGCTAGATGGTAATGTAGCTGGGTTTTCAGTTGCCTCGATAATGAGCTGTTTGGCATGGGCGCTGTGAAGTTGCTGGCTGTGCGGCTTCCCACGGTGGTGCTGGATAGGAACGGAGGTGAGATGGGATGTGGCGATGCTGGGATATTAATGGGTGAGGATGGAGGGTCTTGGGGATGGGCGCTGTGAAGTTGCTGGCTGTGCGGCTTCCCACGGTGGTGCTGGATAGGAACGGAGGTGAGATGGGATGTGGCGATGCTGGGATATTAATGGGTGAGGATGGAGGGTCTTGGGGATGGGCGCTGTGAAGTTGCTGGCTGTGCGGCTTCCCACGGTGGTGCTGGATAGGAACGGAGGTGAGATGGGATGTGGCGATGCTGGGATATTAATGGGTGAGGATGGAGGGTCTTGGGGATGGGCGCTGTGAAGTTGCTGGCTGTGCGGCTTCCCACGGTGGTGCTGGATAGGAACGGAGGTGAGATGGGATGTGGCGATGCTGGGATATTAATGGGTGAGGATGGAGGGTCTTGGGGATGGGCGCTGTGAAGTTGCTGGCTGTGCGGCTTCCCACGGTGGTGCTGGATAGGAACGGAGGTGAGATGGGATGTGGCGATGCTGGGATATTAATGGGTGAGGATGGAGGGTCTTGGGGATGGGCGCTGTGAAGTTGCTGGCTGTGCGGCTTCCCACGGTGGTGCTGGATAGGAACGGAGGTGAGATGGGATGTGGCGATGCTGGGATATTAATGGGTGAGGATGGAGGGTCTTGGGGATGGGCGCTGTGAAGTTGCTGGCTGTGCGGCTTCCCACGGTGGTGCTGGATAGGAACGGAGGTGAGATGGGATGTGGCGATGCTGGGATATTAATGGGTGAGGATGGAGGGTCTTGGGGATGGGCGCTGTGAAGTTGCTGGCTGTGCGGCTTCCCACGGTGGTGCTGGATAGGAACGGAGGTGAGATGGGATGTGGCGATGCTGGGATATTAATGGGTGAGGATGGAGGGTCTTGGGGATGGGCGCTGTGAAGTTGCTGGCTGTGCGGCTTCCCACGGTGGTGCTGGATAGGAACGGAGGTGAGATGGGATGTGGCGATGCTGGGATATTAATGGGTGAGGATGGAGGGTCTTGGGGATGGGCGCTGTGAAGCTGCTGGCTGTGCGGCTTCCCACGGTGGTGCTGGATAGGAACGGAGGTGAGATGGGATGTGGCGATGCTGGGATATTAATGGGTGAGGATGGAGGGTCTTGGGGATGGGCGCTGTGAAGTTGCTGGCTGTGCGGCTTCCCACGGTGGTGCTGGATAGGAACGGAGGTGAGATGGGATGTGGCGATGCTGGGATATTAATGGGTGAGGATGGAGGGTCTTGGGGATGGGCGCTGTGAAGTTGCTGGCTGTGCGGCTTCCCACGGTGGTGCTGGATAGGAACGGAGGTGAGATGGGATGTGGCGATGCTGGGATATTAATGGGTGAGGATGGAGGGTCTTGGGGATGGGCGCTGTGAAGTTGCTGGCTGTGCGGCTTCCCATGGTGGTGCTGGATAGGAACGGAGGTGAGTTGGGAGTGGTTGATGCTAATATAGGGATGGAGGTGGGTGGGTCATGTTGATGATGGTTGACGTATGGATTGGAATGGCGGGTATTTGAGGTGCCTCAACAGTGAGCTGTTATGGATCGGTGCTGTGAAGGCAGTGCGGCTGCCCATGGTGGTGCTGGATAGGAACGGAGGTGGGTGGGGATTGATGGTGGACGCTTCATGGCTGGTGGTTAATGACTGATGGAGCTGGGATTTGAAGCGCCTCTATAGTGAGCTGTTTGGGATGGGCGCTGTGAAGGTGAAGGCAGTACAGCTGTGAAGGTGAAGGTTAAGGGCACTTGCTACTTCACTGATTTCTCCATCCATCTTTGCTTCGACGACTCCTGCTAGCGCCTCTGGCTCTGCACTTCCTTGTGCGTTTTGAGACGTCTCAAATCTCGTGGCTGGTGAATAGGTGAACCCTAAGGGCACTTGCTACTTCACTGATTTCTCCATCCATCTTTGCTTCGACTCCCCCAAATAGTGCCTCTGTCCCTGCACTCCCCCGTGCGTATCTCTCCTTCTCCCCCCCCCACCCTCTGCCATCTCACAGTCCCCATCACAGCCAGCAACAGCAGCGGCAGCAGCACCGGCAGCACCAACAGCACCACCAGCACCGGCAACAGCACCACCGGCACTGCACCCCCTGCTCCTGGAACCACGAACAGCAGCAATCCGGGCAGTACGAGCAACAGAACCAACACTCCACCACCCAGCAGCAGTAGCAATGGCACCAGCACTAGTAACAATGCAGATTTAAGCTCCAGTGGTAGCAGCAGCAGTGGTAGCAGCGGCAGCGGTAGCAGTGGTGAGAGCAGCAACAGTGGGGGTACGAGCGTACTAGGCATGTCCACTGCTACAGTGGTGAGCATAGCGGCAGGTGTTGCTCTCCTCCTCCTGATCGCCCTCCTCCTCACCCTCCTCTTCTGCTTCAGAAAACGATACATGAGCGTCAGCAACACTGACAATGACAATCCCGACTTTAAACACCATACAACCACCAGAACCAGCATCACCAGCATTGGCACCAGCACCACCGCTGCTGTCACCCCCGCCGCCGCCGCTGCTGCTGCTGCGGCTGCTGATGCTGCTGCTGGTGCTAGCAGGAAGAAACCCAAGCGGGGCTGGTTCAACTTTGGGCGATCCTCTCCCCCGGCTGCTGCCTATTCGGTCTCCTCGTTTCACGCTGATAGAGCAGCAGCAGCGCCAGATTACCGAGGTTCCTGGGCTGCCGGGGGTGGTTGGGGAGAGGGGGAGGGTGGATGGGGTTTACCGTCCTCGTTCCTGTCGTCTGGAGTGGAGATTGGGGATATCAGCGTGGTGGAGGTGACTTCGGTTGAGGATGAGGAGGAGGATGTGGAGAGCGGTGTGGTTGGGTCGTTTAGGGATGGGGAGACGACTCAGGGAGGTAGGGGCGGAGAGGAGTTGATTGTTCGTGAGGGAGCTATGGTGGCAGTGGTGGGAGCTGGGGGATTGACACGTGTGAGTGCTGGAGCAGGAAGAGGAGGAGGAGTGAAAGGGGAAGGAAGGGCAGGAGGAGCAGGAGGGAAGGGGTATGATGGAGCGGTGGAGGTAGGCGGGGAGGAGGATGAGAGTGTGAGGAAGAGTAGGGAGTGGACTGTGATGTCTTTTCTTAGCTTAGGGGGGAGAGGGGATGATGACGCTGCTGCTGCTCCTGCTGCTGCTGCTATTGCTGCTGCTGATAGCGGTTCTTACGCGGTGGCGGCTGTAGGAGAGGGAAGAACAGGAGGAGTGAAGAGACGGAGCGGGAATGGGGAGGAAGAGGAGGAGGAAGAGGAAGACGAGGATGAGGAAGGGGCGGAGGAGGAGGAGAGGAGAGTGGAGGGCGGAAGGGGTGGGAGTGGGAGTGGGGGTAAGGGTGGGAGTGGGTGGGGAGTAGGGGCGATAGGATGGGGAGGAGGGGGGGCGGGGAAACGAGCAAGCAGCAACAAGGAACCTTCTGGAGAGAGTGGATGGAAGCTTCCTCGTCTGAGCATGAAATTTTCCTGTAAGAAGCCGTTTCTTCCGCCTTCCTGTAAGAAAAGTGGAGTGGACTATGCAAGGGGAGACAAGACCTCCATCGTAGTACACCGTCTCCCATCTCCATAAACCGTCTCCCATCTACCACAACCCCTGAATTTCCCCCTCTACTCCCCGTTCCCTTTTCCCCCCTCCCGCGTTTCCCAACTTCCCCGCTTCAATCCTACCCTCCCAGCACCCAAGCTGCAACCCCGGCAACCACAGCAGCAGCAGCAATCGCCAGGAGCAGGGAGGCGGGGGGTGGCAGTGCCAGGGGTGCGGAGATTCGCCCTGGCGGAACTGCAGATGGCAACGGACGACTTCTCCCCGCACACCAAGCTGAGGGACCACCCTCTGGGACCCGTGTACTGTGGCGACCTGCCTGATGGCACGGTGAGTGGAGGGGTTTGTGGTGTGTTTGAGTGCGGCGCAGTGTGGTGGGGGGGTTTTCAGGTGGGTTGGTAACATGCCTGCGAGCTGCAGATAGCAACGGACGACTTCTCCCCGCACACCAAGCTGAGGGACCACCCTCTGGGACCCGTGTACTGCGGTGACCTGCCCGATGGCACGGTGAGTGGGGAGACTAGGGGTATCAGTTGATCTGAGTGCGGTGCAGTGGGGTGTAAAGGGCTTTGGGGTTGGTTAATAGCATGCCCGTGAGCTGCAGATGGCAACAGACGACTTCTCCCCGCACACCAGGCTGAGGGACCACCCCCTGGGACCCGTGTACTGTGGCGACCTGCCTGATGGCACGGTGAGCGGGGTGACTAGGGGTGCCAAGAGCTTTCAGTGCGGTGCGTGGGGTGTACGATGCAGCACACACAAGCAGCACATGTGGCAACGGACATACCTTCCTCTCGTTTCATTTCAGGATTCTCAAGAGTGACTCTACCTGTAATATATGTTTTTGAGAATTCTCACGCCCACGTGGTGCCGCTGCAGGGGTACTGCGTGGACAGCGGCGAGAGGATGCTGGTTTTTGAGCCCATGCCAGCTAACAAATGCTCTTTCTTTCCTTCTCTTCCTCTCGTTGGAGGGAGTTTTTGAGAATTCTCAAAAACTCCCTGCAGCGGCGAGAGGATGCTGGTTTTTGAGCCCATGCCAGCAAACAAATGCTCTTTCTTTCCTTCTCTTCCTCTCCTGCCTCCTGCCTGCCTCCTCCCCGTTCCTCCCTCCTCCCTCCTCCCTCACCGTCAACCTACCAGGGGGTAGCGGTGAGGCGGATAGAAGCAGCGGTGGTGGAAGGCCAATCCGATTCGGACTTTGAAGCAGTAGCAGCCAGCATGGCACGGCTGCAGCACGCCCACGTGGTGCCGCTGCAGGGGCTTCAACCCCTGCCTGTTCCTCTTCCTCTTTCCTCCCCCCCACACCCACTCCCCCTCCTTTCTCCCCCTCTTTCCTCCTCTCTCTCACTCCCTTCCCCACCCCCTTCTCGTCACAACCCCCCCAAACAGGAAGTGGCGGTGAGGAGGATAGAAGCAGCATTAGTGGAGGGGCAATCCGATTCGGACTTTGAAGCAGTAGCGGCCAACATGGCGCGGCTGCAGCACGCCCACGTGGTGCCGCTGCAGGGGTACTGCATGGATGGTGGCGAGCTGATGCTTGTGTTCTATCCCGTGCCAGCAAACATACCCTCTTTGTTTCCTTCTCCCTGCCCTCGTGCCTCCTGCCTCCCCTCCTCCTGCCTCCCCTCCCTGTGCCTCCCCACCCATCGCTCCCCCAACCAGGAAGTGGCAGTGAGACGGATAGAGGCAGCAATAGTGGAGGGCCAGTCGGATTCGGACTTTGAAGCAGTAGCGGCCAACATGGCGCGGCTGCAGCACGCCCACGTGGTGCCGCTGCAGGGGTACTGCGTGGACGGCGGGGAGAGGATGCTGGTGTTTGAGCATTTTCACCTGGGCAGTCTGTACGAGCATCTGCACGATGGCAGCCGGAGCATGCTCATGACGTGGGACACGCGCGTGCAGATTGCTGTCGGCTGCGCTCAAGCCTTAGAGTGAGTGGGGAGGCGGGGTAGGGCCAGGAGTAGAATAGGGGGGAAGGGAGGGAATGTCTGTACGAGCATCTGCATGATGGCAGCCGGAGCATGCTCATGACGTGGGACACGCGCGTTGGCATTGCTGTCGGCTGCGCTCAAGCACTAGAGTGAGTGCTGGTGATGGTGTGGGGTTGGGAACTGGGGAGCGAGGATGGGGGAGTGAGTGGGGTACTGCGTGGACGGGGGCGAGAGGATGCTGGTGTTTGAGCATTTTCACCTGGGAAGCCTGTACGAGCATCTGCATGATGGCAGCCGGAGCATGCTCATGACTTGGGACACACGTGTGGGCATCGCTGTCAGGTGTGCTCAAGCCTTGGAGTGAGTGGAATGGAGGGGGATAAGGGGTGGAATTTAACGGTGGGGCTAGAGGATGCTGGTGTTTGTTCATTTCCACATGGGCAGTCTGTACGAGCATCTGCACGATGGCAGCAGGAGCATGCTCATGACATGGGACACCCACCTTTCACAATCCCCCCCCCCACCAACAGGTACCTGCATGAGGACTGTGTGCCAGCCATAGTGCATCGGGGCATCTCATCACGAGCCATCCTGCTGGACGCCAGCATGAACCACCTCTTTTCCTTCCCTCCCCTTCCCCTTTCCCCTTCCACTTCCCCCTTCCCCTTCCACTTCCCCCTTCCCCCCGTCCCGCCTCACAGGTATCTGCACGAGGAGTGTGTGCCAGCCATAGTGCATCGGGGCATCTCATCACGAGCCATCCTGCTGGACGACCACATGAGCCCGCGCATTGCCGATGCTGGGCTGGCTGTGCTCAACCCCACTGACGCTGAGGCTCAGGTATGGTCACCGAGGCTCGGGTATGGTCACCGAGGCTCGGGTATGGTCGCCGAGGCTCGGGTATGGTCGCCGAGGCTCGGGTATGGTCGCCGAGGCTCGGGTATGGTCGCCGAGGCTACTGTATGTGTGCTGCTCAGTGCGTTGAGGCCATGGTATGCGTGCTGCCATCATCCTACTGGACGACCATGTGAGCTGGGCTGGGCTGGCTGTGCTCCACCCCACTGCCAAAGAAGCTAAGGTAGGCTCAGTGCTGTTCGGTGCTGCCCGGTGCTGTGAGGTACGGCATCCATGCTGGGGCTAGGGTATGGGTGCTACCATCATCCTGCTGCACGACCACATGAGCCCGTGCATTCCTGATGCCGGGCTGGCTGTGCTCCACCTCTCTGGTGTTGAGGCTCAGTAATGTGTGCTGCTCTGTGCTCCATCGCCCTCCCTTTCCCATCGCCCTCCCAACCCCTCCCAACCCATCTCAACCCCCTCCCAATCCCTCCAAATACAGACATTGTCAGAGCAGCTGGTGGGGGGCTACGCATACAACGCACCAGAGTACGCGATGTCAGGAGTGTACACAGCCAAGAGTGACGTGTACAGGTCCTGATGCTTTTGTTCCCCCCTCCCCTCTCCCAACCCTTCCCTACTCCTTGGGACCCCTCCTAATGCAGACATTGTCAGAGCAGCTGGTGGGGGGTTATGCATACAACGCACCCGAGTATGCCATGTCAGGAGTGTACAAAGCCAAGAGCGACGTGTCCAGCTTCACATGTCTCCCTTGCTTTTCCCCCTCCCCTCCCACCACTCCCAACCCCTTTCAACACCTCCAAATGCAGACACTGTCAGAGCAGTTGGTGGGAGGGTACGCGTACAACGCACCCGAGTATGCCATGTCAGGGGTGTACACAGCCAAGAGCGACGTGTACAGCTTCGGAGTGGTGCTGCTGGAACTGCTAACAGGCAGAAAGCCCGTCGACCCGTAAGTTGCCTTTCCTTATGTTAGTGCCCTTCATTCCCTAAGCTGTGATCCTTTGCTTCTTCTCTTCCCATAGACTCCATCGAGCTTAGAGATTCGCTGCATTAAACTTCCTGCCATCCAGCCCCCCCCATCCTCTGCCCCTTATCCCACCCACCCACAAACTCCCCCTCTTGTGGCCTTCCTACCCTTCCCCAACGCCTCCCTGTCCCCCGAACTCTCCCCGCCCCTCCTTAGATCCAAGCCCAAGTGGGAGTCCTCGTTGGTGCGCTGGGCGGCCCCTCTGTTCCACGATGTGGTGGAGCTAGAGCGCATGGTGGACCCAACCCTGGCTGGATGGGCCCATACTTTCACCTCCTCACCCTCCCCCATCCTTCCCCCCGACTCTTCCCTCCCCCAGCGCCAAACCCAAGTGGGAATCATCACTAGTGCGCTGGGCGGCCCCTCTGCTGCACGATGTGGTGGAGCTAGAGTGCATGGCGGACCCAACCCTTGCTGGGCCAATGTCCCCATCTCTCCACACTTCCCTTACCATCATCCTTTCCCCCCGCACTACTTACAGATCCAAGCCCAAGTGGGAGTCTTCACTGGTGCGCTGGGCGGCCCCTCTGCTGCACGATGTGGTGGAGCTAGAGCGCATGGTGGACCCAACCCTGGCTGGGCCTGTGCCTGATCCTCTCACTCTCACTCGCTACGCGGAAGTGATTGCAAGATGCATCCAGGTGCGTCTGTGAGCTCATGTTTGAGTGCTTAAGTGCGGTGTGCCTCCGGGGTGGGTGTATGTGTGCATGGGAGCTAGAGCGCATGGTTAGCCCAGCCCTGGCTGGGCATGTGTATCTCCCCAGATTGGAGAGGCAGGGCCATCACTCTTGTGTATCTGACGCACTACGCTGAAGTGATGGCACGACGCATCCAGGTGCGGGTGCGGAAGGGTGCATGCGAGCACAGGTGGATGGGTGCATGGGTATGTGTGCATACATGGGTAAGTATGTTGTCTGCATGATTGCGTGCATGCCCACTCTCTCTCCCTGCCCCAACTCCGTGTTGTCTCTCTCCGTGCCATCTCTTCCTGCTGTGAAGCCCTTTTGAGTTGATTCAGAAACAACCTGTGTTAAACTGTCTCTTATCATCCACCAACTTGCACCTTCCTTTGCCTCTGCTTCATCCTGCTTGGCTCTGATTCCTCCTTCCTGCTTCCCCTGTGTGCCTCTGTGCTTCCTCTGTTCTCTGCTTCCTCTGTGTGCCTCTGTGTTTCCTCCCCACCATGTGCCCAACACGTGATCACCACGTGCAGCCTGAGCCTGAGTTCCGCACGTGCATGTCCAAGGTGGTCAGAGACCTGTGCCGCAGAGTGCGCAAAACCCCTGCTGCCACTGCCGCCACCAGCAGCAGCACCAGCACCCAACTCGGCCCCGACGCATTCTGACGGTGCTTGTTAGGCTGACTCTTGAGGCGGCTCATAGATGGACCATTGCTGGAGAGTATAATGCGGCTCCTTATGGCCGAGCATCAACACCGGAACAGCCATCACCACTGACACTGCCACCACCATAGCCAGCGCCATAGCCAGCGCCATAGCCACCGCCACCTCCACCACCAGTAACCAGCTCGGCCCTTATGACTTCGAAGCTGGCTCGAAATAAATCAGTGCGGTGTTGCGCTAGGCCCTGCCACCCCTGAAAGCACCAGCAGCACCAGCACCGTCCACAAAGGCAGCTAGCCTTGGATTATTCCATTTTGACCCTCTCATCTTCTTGTCCTCTTAGTGCCCTCTCGTGCTTAGCCTATGCACGGCTCTCGGCCCCACTGGCAACATGTCAGATGATGCCTTGTGACCATCCGATAGCCCACCCCTATACTGGGGCAAGGGTGGGGGATGACATCAGGTTTTGAACATGAACTTTGGCGTGGTTGTGGTGGGAACTTAGGCATGTATGCATCGTGCATGCACAGGCCTGTTTGTGGTTGTACATGTGCACAAGGGTTGTAAATGTCTGTGTGCGTGAGTATGTTTTGGTGATGTAAGCATGCAGCCCACTAACATGAGTTGCTTACTAAAGATTGGGGCAAGTCTTGGTGCAATCCATGAGTGCCTGGGACTTCCGCTGAAATTTCAACATGTGGAATAAAGGATGACGTGCATCGCTTATTTCCAAAGCGAGATTCTTCTTATCGAAGTGAAGTCTCCGCGTCAATGTCTGCGGCGGAATAAACCCTCTCACTTCTGGCATGTGTCAGCAGTGACGAGGCGCTAAGGACCTGACACCAACCATCCGCGTCCTGTGGCGGACAATTGTGCGTACGCCATCACCATGCATTCTCAATTTCTCATCGCAAGTCATCGTAACTGTCGCCAATAAGTCCCGCTAATCAGCTTCGTCGCTTCAAAACCGAATGTGTCGCCGTTCGACTCTCCAAATTTCGCTACTACTGTACAGTACAAGGTTGCTGGCCAACTTCCGTCGGGGGCAGTCCTGAACGTCGCCTTCTGTCAAAACTAGCCGTTATCCACGGCAGAACCTTTCCTTGAGTGCATTTGTTTTCGTTTTTTCGCTTCGGTCTATGATGTTTCAGTGCGGCGGTTGAGAGGGAAGATACGGCTTCTCCCTTCTTCCTCCCCACCACCAATTTCCCCCTAATTCCCCTCCCGTTTCCCCTGGCGTGACTTGTACTCATCGTTCAACGTGCTTCTACTCTTTCGTCAGCCTGAATTTAATTAGAGCATTCAACGTGCTTCTATTCTGCCGTCGTTCCGAATTCACTCGCTGTTAGATTGGTTCGACTTACCACTCTAGCACGTTTTGTATACTCTGAGCAGCTACCACTACCCCTAGTTATCGTAAGCAGTTGCTCCTTTCAAAGACGTCGTTTCACTTCCGCAGCTCGCTAAACTGACCGCGTATCGCCGTAGATCTCGTTTAGCAGTTCAGCCGCAGGTTAAAAATAAGTGTTTCCTGTTCGCCTTGGTGTAGCTGTTCTTCTTAGTAAGAAATAGAACAACACAGCTTCTCTCTTTGCCGAGAACATCCCTTCCTCCTCATCATATTTGCATCGCGTTTTGTCCCGGCTCACTTCCAGGAAGGTTCCTTCGTTACTCTAAAGACAGAAGAATCCATGATGGATACTTGGATGGATAGAGCATGGTTGGTAGATGCTTGGAGCAGGCAAGGAATCAACCCTTATATGTTCGCCAGAAATGGAACAGACAGCGATGCCAGCGCTACAAACCTTGAGAGTGTCGGAGAGCTTGAGAAGGACGCGTATGAAGGCCTGGCCGCATCGTACGCGTTTGTGGGAATCGTAGCCTTGGTGCGTGCGGACTTTGTTGTCATGAACGCTTTCGATAATTCCTGTTCCACGATACATTCATGCAACGATGCTGGGAATCTTACTGCCTAGCCCAGTTTCAACTGACACAACAGGCGCGGATAATTGAGAGTGCCCGAGTAAGGCTGTATTTGAAGGGCCTTGAAAACTCCATTGCAATGCTTCATGTGTCAACGCTGCCGGTGCAACCGGCAAGGATTGGACTGAGAGTGCCCGAGTACGGCTGTTTTTGAAGCTCCAGGAAAACTCCTCCATTGCAATGCTTACGCATATGTCAACGCTGCAGGTGCAACTGGCGCGGATTCAACTGAGAGTGCCCGAGTACGGTTGTTTCTGAAGGCCTTCACAGTCGTCCTCTCCCTTTTTATGTGTGTCAACGCTGCAGGTGCAACTGGCGCGGATTCAACTGAGGGTGCCGGAGTACGGCTGGACGACACAGAAGGTGTTTCATCTCCTCAACTTCGTTCTCTGCGCAGGTCGGTACCTAGTTATATCGGCACACTGCTGCATGTAACGATTATTTTGCGATTCATGAGGCATGCTAAAGCGAGTCTAATGAGACATGCAAAAGCAAAGATTTCGTCAAAACAACCCCCCTTCCCCTCCCGTTCCTCTGCCCTTCCGCTGTTCGTGAATGCTTGCACTTCTACCTTGCATGTGTCTGCAGCCAGGTGTGCAGTTTTCCTCTTCTGGGAGCAAGTGCAGGGCATCGATGACTATGTGAGCTCCGTTGAAAAGCTAAAAACATCTGCCGTTATCCCGCCTTCAGCTTCTGCTTCAGGGCATCTGAAAACTTGATTGTTATAATTTGATCAAGGGACCTCACTTTTCTGCCGCCTCTAGCAGCTTTCATGTCCTTTCATGCCATTTAGTGGGTTTTCCTTTACCATTTCGCCTAATTTGTCTGTTTCAGGTGTTAAAAGTGGCTATCTTGGACGTTCCAAGTCTCGTCTTCTTCACCACGTACACACTGCTCATCCTCTTCTGGGCAGAGATTTACCACCAGGTGTGTAGATCTGTTTTGGACTGACTCATAAGTCGCCTTGGTTGCGAAGAGCAGCAAACCTGGATTCACGGAGTCTTTTCTTCTTCACCACGTATACAATGTTTATCAACTTCTGGGCGGAGATTTACCACCAGGTACCTTAGAATGGTAACGCACATACCTTAGAATGCTACCATCCTCAATGAGTGCCTCTTTTGAAGCCTTTTGAAAAGGCGTGTTTGACCTTCCACGCGACGTTTTTTGCCCTCATTTGTTTGTTTTCTTTTGTTTTCGTTTTTCTTTTCTTTCCCCTGCCGCTGGTTTCGCCTTGATCCCGCAAGGCCCGGGGCATACAATCCGAAGATCTCCGCCGAACGTTTGGCATTTTGAACGCTGCAATCTACATCCTACAGGTGTGGACAGTACCAGTACAGGGATCGTTGTGTTCATGCATGTCATTGGGTTTACTAGTGCTTCGCGCTCATTTTCCTCACCAAGCTGGGTGGGGACGTCTCAATATTGATGCGCTCGTGCTTTTGTGCGTTCCCATTGTCCCACATGCCTGGGTGGTGCATGGATCTACATGGACCTAGTAGATGCATCAATACTGAATGCTTGCAGTCTGATGTTTTCCTTTCATGTGTGCGTGCGTGCCCACCATCCCACACAACAGGGTGGTGCATGGATCTACATGGAATATGTGCCACAGCATGCAGACCCACTCGTTCTCCTCACCAAGCTCTTTCGAGCAGGTAGCAGCCAGATCAGGTAGTATGAAGAGCAGGTAGCAGGAAGAGCAGGTAGCAGGAAGAGCAGGTAGCAGGAAGAGCAGGTAGCATGAAGAGCAGGTAGAAGGAAGAGCAGGTAGCGAGCATGATTTCTGTGGGAGATAAGACATTTTAGTCGGTTCATATGTTATGAACCCTGTTTCTGCATTCTCTCCATATTGGAGACCTTGCTGGCTGAAATTTCAGTATTACCTCCCATTCATTGCCTTATATCTCTCCGTCTCCCTCCAGGCGTGGCATTCACTGCAGCATTTGGCTTCATGCTCTATGGTGGACGGTGAGCCTATTCGCAGTAGAATTATCAGAGGCTTAGTATATATATATATATTGCCTTGCCGCATTTCAAAGCAGCCCATCTCATCTGCAGGATCAACTTCGTGGTTATGATTTCATTCTGGTGGTTGCAGGCTGTTTGTCATGCTGAACACGTTCCCGGTGGAGTCGAGAGGGAGAAGAAACAAGATGATGGAGGTGGGTTGTGGATGTAGTGATGGGTGGGATGAATGCTCTTGTGCTCCAAGTTGGATGATGTGGGTGGGTTACGGATGTGAATATGTGTTGACATAACATTCAATCAGAAGATGATGGAGGTGGGTTGTGGATGCAATGGTGGGCCGGATGAATGATCCTGTGCTCCATCTTTCAGACACCGAGAAAAAAAAAAAAAAAAAAAGTCTTAGCCGCCTTCCGAGCCGATTCTTTGGGCGCCCTAGGATGAAGTGGGTTGTGGATGATGTCGTGATGGGAGAGATGAATGCTCCTGTGCTCCAAGTTGGATATGAGTTGACATAACAGTCAGTCACAAGCCGATGTGCGGGATGAATGCTCCTGTGCTCCAAGTTGGATATGAGTTGACATAACAGTCAGTCACAAGCCGATGTGCGGGATGAATGCTCCTGTGCTCCGCCCCTTGTCCCTTCCCAGGTGGGCCTTGTCACGGCCATTGGTTTCACGAGCTTCACGATTCGAGCATTCATTGTGAGCTTGGGTTTATGACTTGCTGGGAGGGATTATGGCGAGTTGGGGTTTCATTACGTGGTTTCGTGGAGAGTTGGGTTGGCAGAGGGTTGTGCAGCTGTTGCAAAAGCACCTTCGTTGCACTATGCAAATTCTAGGGGGGTGGGAGGGGGGTGGAGGTAGATAATCAACGAAATCTCCGCAGCCCTTTGATGCTCTTGTTGACCCTTGGGGTTCCTTTTGGTGCTCCTGCGTTGTGAGCCTTGGGACTGGTCAGTTACACCTGCTACTTGACACATCTTGCTCGCAGTGTTTCCTCCATTTTTGTGTGCTTTGTTGCTATGATACTTATCAACTTCCTTGCACCCTTTTGTTGTGTGGTGCTGGACCATTCAGGTCGCTTTCTCAGGCATCAGTGAGCGAGTTCCGCTGGATAAAGTCAACGCTCCCGTCTTCAATGTCATATACTACATGGTATGTGAATGGGATAATCAGTATGCATCTGCATGGGTTTGGTCTGCAATGTTTTCTTCATCCGTATCTGGTTTAGGTACATATTTTGTTTTACTGTTCTCGCATCAAGGTCTTTCGATATCGTTTCTTCGCTTGGATCCGAGTCTATTATCGAGCTTCTCTCCTCATGCTTCTACGTATAACACTGCGATTGCACTGTACCTCTGGTTACAGGCTGTGGAGGTAATACCAACCATCCTTGTGTTGTATATCCTGAGGAAGCTTCCTCCTCGTCGACAGTTCAACACACAGCCCTTGCACTAGATGCGAGTGTATGGGTGCTTCCTCTGTACAGTGAGTAATGCATTTGCTTGGCGAAGAATGTAAATACGTAGAGGTGACATGCAAATACATTGTCATTTAGTGGATTAAGTGGAGGGTATGCAATTACAGCAGTTGTACCGTAGTCCCCCGTATACTAGACCCGCCGAAATAAGGCACCCATGGGTGTTATATCCGGGTTGTGTCTACTAGAGAGGGTCCCCAATGGTAACACCCCCTTTATGTCGAATTGGATATAGCACCCAAAATATTACAAAATACGGTAGTGGGGTTTGGTGTTAAATATTACACCTGGGTGCACTGAAAATATTTCAAAATAGTGCACCCACCCACCCCCATTTTTTTCATGATTTTTACACAGCACCTGGGGTCTACTATACAGGGGATTACGGTATAAAACTAGAAGATTTTAAGATGAAATAATTCATAACATGAATACAGATGGAACTGAATAATGCAAAAGCACTGCACTACAGCTCCTTCTGTCCCTACAAGCATAACACCCACACAGGGCGTCCTTAAACGCCCTAACGAAGGACTGCACTCAAACTTGTAACCATATGGTAAATGTGAGCATCTCTTGAGGTCAGTCGCACTTCTTTCCTCCTATGCAGCAAGCCCTTGCTGCTACTGCAAGAAAGGCCAGCTTACGTCCTTCTTGGCAGAGAAACCCCACCCCTTATCTCCTTCCATCCAGCCCCATCTCTCGAAGCCATTCAATGAATCAATGACCATCAGCTCCAACCTTTCTTCCATCTCTCCGTCCTTCCCCACCTCCATAGTCACCTGCTGCTTTCAAGAGCTTGATTCCATTCCTCCATTCTCATAACTGGCCTTGGATTATACAGAGGCATCAGACCCACGTCCCGCATCTACCCTCAACCCTTCCACCTCCACATGCGAACTGTTTCAAGCCACAGCACATGCTAGTGTGTGCACCCCTCGCCTCTCAAGTCGCCCTTCAACCCCTCCACCTCCACATTCATCTGCTCCTCCTCCGTCCCTGTTTTCCCGCTCCTGTGTGCTATCCTGTCCCACATCCTCTTAGCAAATTTTGTCTTAGCGAGGATAGGAATGAGGGTGAGCACCGCCAGTAGGCAGAAGATGGCGATCGTGGCGGGGTCATAGAGGTCTGTAACGGAGTTGATTGTAGAGAGTACGCACCCAGCCTTCACTTGCACCACGTTGTACGGGAAGAAACCCAGGAACGTGCCAATAACGAAGGTTGGGAAGGGAATTCCAACTACTGGAGCACAGAGGTTAATCACCCAGGAGGGAAGCACAGGTGTGATTCTAAGGAAGATGATATAATAAACGAGGCAGCTCTGGTTGCGCTGCACTTCGCGTCTCAGCCAATCGCAGCGCTCCGTGAAGTACGAGTACACCACATCGCGAAGAATAAGAAGCGATACAGCGTAGGAGAGGCACGCGCCGATGGTTATAAAGAGCGAGATAGTAAAGAGCCCGAGCGGGAAGCCAAAGAGGGACCCCGCTAAGATGTTGCAGAGGAGGGTTCCTGGGATTAAAAAGGTTTGAATAAAGAGGTAAAAGTTAACGAAACTGAAATACACTCTGGTGGGGTATGCTGCCATGTAGAGGTTGAGTGTAGATCGCATGGATTGGAGGTCTGAGATGCTGTGGGGGAAGTGGAGGGTCGCATAAGCGACAGCTGTCTTGCTGCTGTTGGAAGATTCGGAATGAGGCGGATATGAATTGGATTCTGTCGCAGATGCGTTGAAGAGGGAATTATCTGGTGCAAATAACGATACGCTTCCGCCGCCGATGCTGCTGTTGCTGCTGCTGTCGTTGGTGGGATATTCTTGACCTGAAGGATCCACAACTAGGGTTTCGTTGCTCGGGCTGCTCCCGTTGCTGCTGCTGCTGCTAAAGCTGCCCGGAAAATTTCTGCTGCTCATGAACCCGTTCTCGTTGATGCCGCTGAGCTCGCTCCCATTGGTTGCGACCCCACCAAAAGGCGTCGCAGGCGACTCCGGCGACTGCAATGCGACCCGAACGGTGGCGATAGACGGCAGCGTTACGAAGCTGACGACGACAACGAGCGACCACCCAAGAAAAAGCAGCAGGAGGCAGGAAAGCCGGCGACATAGTTCCGAACCGACGCCCACGGAAGCAGGAGAAACGTCAGGATAGCCGGAGATGGCGACTATGGCGGGATCTTCAACGGATTTCGGTCGCAGGACGACGGTGCTACAGTCACTGCGACAACCGCCCTTGCTGCCGCAACAGTCGGAGGTGACGGAGTCGGGAGTGATAGAAACGGGGTCCAGCGTGATGGTAACGGTGTCGTCCCTGATCGGTTTTAACCTAACGTGGGCGGAGTCTATGTTAAGACAATGTATTCTGTCGCTGATGCCGTCGCTGCTGCTTCTTCTGCTGCTGCAGCCACTTCTGCTACCGCCGCCACCGCCGCCGCCGCTGCCGGTGTCGTCAAAGCAGTGACTGGATTCGAGGCCGAACGGGCAGTTGACGAAATCGGCGTTGTCGTCGGCGTCGCTTGCTACTCCGCCGGGGTTCAGCCGCGCGGTGCTCGGCGAATCCGGATCGCGTGAGTGCGACATTGCGCTCGGCGACGTGCGACGTGCGACGTGCGACAGGAAGTGCGACGGGCAACGATGAGTCGCCTGCGGTGACGTCGGCTTTCCCACAAAATAAGTCGACGTGCGGGGATAAATCAGAAACTTCTACGTAGAAGATGAGGGTGTATAACCTAGACGAGGCCGCATACTAACGAGATAAGACTTAGCCAGCAGCATAGGGCTCGAACTGGGGAACGAGGAAGGAAGGTGGCTAGGAAAGCGGCGAGAATCCGTGCCTGCTGTGTCGAGTCCAAGCAGTCGAAAATGCAAGAACCCGCTGGCACTAACAAGCGACTTAGTCGGCAGAATCTTCACTGAGGATGCCTAGAAACATAGGGAGCATAGAAGCAGACTTGATAAGACTAAAGACGTAAATATGGATGGACGGACGAGGAAGTAATATAGGCCAAGAAGACGTGAAGTGTGGGTGCGTCGGTAGTCATCGAGAACTTCTAGGTCAGGGCAGGTATGGGCGGAGGAACTGCCACTACTGTACAGGTTTGTTCTCTGGGCCTTGCTTGCCTCGGCAGGGCTTGGAGAGATTCGAGAAAACCGGCAGAGCAGAACTGATGCACTCTCACCTATACCACCCTACCTACACATACACCTTGGAAGTCGGGCTTGGAGATTGGGAGTTTCGGAACTTGGTTCGGGAGCTTAGGTATTCCGGGACCCCGGCAACTTCGGCGGTACGGGTGACGGGGCAAGTGAGGTATGGGTGCGCATTTGGTTAGCGCAACTAGGCACGGGCCCTGGTTGGGTGAAAGGGGGCGCCGAACGCGGACCAAACCTGGACCGAAGCCAGCACGTAGTTTCAGAGGCAGAAGCGGAAACTTTGACGCGGACTCACGACGAACCGCGACAAGAGAGGTGCGCGAGTGTGAGCTTGGGGGGAACGAGCCTTGTGGGAAGAGAACGGGGAAGACGGGACAGCAGAGAAGAACGGGGAAGACATCAAAGCGAGACAGCTCTGGCTCGGATGAGGTTGGGTAGGTGGAATAAGGGAAAATATGTCAATGGTAACTTACATGGGGCAGTATAACGCGTACGGTAACGATTTCAACGCGTTTGGTAACTCGCTTAACGCGTTTGGTAACTCGCTTAACACGTTTGGTAAATCGCTTAACGCGTATGGTAACTATACACTAGCAGCCCATCACGCGAATGGTAACTACATGAAACTCCCGCCGAAATGGAAGAGAATATGCGCGAAGCCTTGGAACAGAGTTGACCCGTTTGCCTCAAAACGAAATATTTTTGTCAACTCTGTACAGAGTTGAACTGTGCTCGAGAACCTGAAGAAAATAGGAACACCAGTTTGTATCTCAAGTTACTTATAGTTTTTCAGAACCGAACACCGAAAGAAACTTTCAAGGGAACTTATTATAATCTGTCTCCGAACCCAAACCTGCCTGATGTGAGGGAATATAGAACAGGTTCGGCTTCGGTCCCCTGACTTTCAGCTCGAGGGGAATGTGATGGTCTGGGGCGGGAACACCCTCAGTCACAACAACTGTCAGTCACAGTTTATTTGCTTGGTGTCAGAGAGTTCTGATCTGGGCAGGGTGGAGGAGAACACCTCACCAAACGCGTTTTGACGAACATTTCACCATCCGTACCACTCGGCAACAGCGGTCGTGCCAGAGAGATTCAAGGGCTACATGGCAGCAATAGAAACATAAGGAACTCCATAACGAGAAAACATGGAGATGCGGGGTATCGATCCCCGTACCTCTCGCATGCTAAGCGAGCGCTCTACCATCTGAGCTACATCCCCGGTTGGCGTGAAACAAAAGAATTTACTTCGACTTTGGGGAGCGCCCATGCAAGTGCCGGTAGAACACATTTGTAGCTTAGGACCGGAGCTATTGAGCAAAAAATTGAGGCCCTCATAAATGACTACCTGGTTAAATCTGAAACATTGAATCCCCCCCTCCCGCTACAATTTCAAAAACTTTCTGCCTATCCATATCGCACGATTGCGGACGCCCATGTAAGGCCAGCACCAAAACCGGCCGTTGCAATAATATCTCCGGCCTTCACTTTACCACTGCGCACAGCTTCGTCAAGAGCAATGGGGATGGATGCTGCGCTCGTATTGCCGTAACTGGCTACGTTTGAAATCACCTTCTCGTGAGGAATGCCCATTTTAGTTGCCACAGCATCCATTATCCGTTGATTGGCCTGGATGGTGACACAGAAGGAATAGTGAAGTTAGTTGCGCAATAGTGACTGAGGAGCAGAACCGAGTGGCATGGAAAGGAGACTTTGACACCTGGATTGGAGGGAAGAGGTGCAACAGCAATGCACAGCTGCACGGCATCTACTGTAGATAACATGTTTAGGTTGGTAAGATGCGCAGTGAAGATCTGAATCGTAGGAGGCCCGTTATGTAAGTAAGCGAACTTCATTACGAGCCTAATAGTGTGTGGTAACTTCTGATTGGACTTATGTTTTTTTTCGTGCAAGTTGGTACTTACCCCATTGCTCCAGGTGCCTACAGTCCATAATAGAGGAACAGGTTACCTGTTGTTTCCATGTGCTACTTGAGTGCGTGCAAAACAAGACAGCTACCTGATGCAGCAGAAGCCAGTCAATGTCGTCCGTTGAGAGTTCTGCCTCCTGAAGTGCTGCTTGTAGGACCTGCAGGGACAAGAGGCAGGGTGTGGTTGTTTGTGGGAAGGGAGAAGATGTGAAGGTGAAAAATGACAACATACAGCAGGTCGGGAATCTGCCTGTATGGCATGACGGTATGAGGGGGAACAGGGAGGAGGGGTAGGGGAAGAATGGGGCTAAAGTGGGAAGAGATTTTCAGCAGCACACGCGCAATACATCTGTACTTTGAGGGGGGCATGTCACAGTGACAAGAGTCATGGTAGTGAAGGCTCTATGAGTCCGTCCATGTTTGATTTGGTTATGGCCACGAATCAGAAGGTCATGATCCCTGCCCTTTCTTTTGACTGCTATGGGCAATGGAAGTGTTTTTTGAGGGGTCTCAGACCATGGCAGTGATACCTGCCTTATAATGGTTGTGTTGCATACATTGGGCTCGGAGGTGCCTATCGACAGACGCATACCTGGGGCACGGAGGTGCCTATTGACAGACGCATACCTGGGGCACGGAGGTGCCTATGGACAGACGCATACCTGGGGCACGGAGGTGACAGCGAACTTGTAGACCTCCTTGCCGTTCATCACAATGGGGGTCGCCACCGCCCTCCCTGCAATAGACCCGCTCTCTTCTGGCGCCGGTGTCACACTGAAGCACGCGTGCAGGTGCCTGGCAAGGGTGCGTCAGAAAATTGACAGGAGGGAGAGATGGGGAGGATGAAATGCATGGTTTATGGTCGAGCAAGCAGCTTGCTGCCTCGCTGCTGGAGCCAGCGTTAAGCTGTAGCAGGCTGGTGCACTTGCGGAAGAAATTCATGGGGAGTCAGTCAGTCGCAATTGAGTTGAGACCAGGGGTTAGCTATGGAATTGGCCCGCCTTTTATGGATCGGGTCTATGCTGGGCCGTCGTCGTTACGCTGGACCACAGTGCTAACCATCACTGTCAGGCACTGCTTGCTCGTAGTCAGGCTTCGAATCACCAATGCAATGCACCTAGCGCCAAGGAGTTCCCAGAACTATGTACCATTGCCATGCCCGTCGCCATGCATATGGAGTCCAGGCAAGCCATCGCCACTCCCCTAGTAACTGTTTGCAGCCAGACCTCGAGTCCCTGGATGATGTACCGTGAGCCATGTCTTAAACGCTACAATCCGAGCGAACCGTCTCTCCCTCCTCTGCTGCAACCTTGCTTGAAGACACGTGAGAGCACTGCACCCTGAATGGGCGTGAGGGAAAACTACTCTACCTGGAGCCGTAGCCATCACTGTGCATGTCGAAGCCCAGCATGCCGTCGCTCTCGCCCTCGCCTGCAGAATTCAGACCCCCTAAGAGAGACTACCCATCCAGCTTACCTTAATCCCCCTCCATCCATCCCTCCAACCACTGCCGAGTGCTAACCTAGTGGCCCCACCTGGAGCCGTAGCCGTCGCTGTGCATGTCGAAGCCCAGCATGCCGTCGCTCTCCCCCTCAGCTGCAGCCTGCACCAGCACGGCCCCACAGCCATCGCCGAACAGAATGCACGTGCCCCTGTCCGACCAGTCCACGCACTCTGGCGTTGCATGCGGATCCTGACTGGAAACTCATGACCCCTCTGATAGAGACTATTCATTCAGCTTACCTTGGCCTCTCAATACACTGCTGAGTGCGTGCTAACCTAGTAACCCCACCTGGAGCCGATGCCATCGCTGTGCATGTCGAAGCCCAGCATGCCGTCACTCTCCCCCTCGCCTGCAGCCTGCACCAACACGGCCCCACAGCCATCGCCAAACAGGATGCACGTGCCCCTGTCCGACCAGTCCACGTATCGGGACAGCCCATCCGCCCCAACCACCAACACCCGCTCGTACCCGCCTCCTGTAGGGTTGGTTGGTTCGGTGCATAAGGTTGGACAAGTGGGGAGCGTAAACAGAGAGCAAGTGGAGCAAGACTTAAGAAGAGCAGTCCACGTGCTGAGGCAAACTGTTCGACCAGTCCACGTATCGGGACAGCCCATCCGCCCCCACCACAAGCACCCGCTCGTACCCGCCTCCTGCAGGGTTGGTTGGTTCAGTGCATAAGATTGGAAACACGAGGAGTATAAGCAGAGAGCAAGAGGAGCAAGCAAGAGGACCAGTCCACGTGCTGAGACAAACTGGCTGACCAGTCCACGTATCGCGACAGCCCATCCGCCCCCACCACAAGCACTCGCTCATACCCGCCTCCTGCAGGGTTGGGTTGGTTCAGTGGCATAAGATGGTGGACAAGTGAGGAGCATGGATACGAAGCAAGAGGAGCAGTCACATAACTCCATATAGGGGGAGGGGTATTGTTCGTGTCAACAACAAACTCTCACTACGAGCTGCCTCCTGCGGGGTTGGATTGATCATGAATGCTTTAAAACCCCCGAGGCAGCTTATGAGGGGTACGAGGGGAAAATTTAAGGGTGCAGTAAGTTGGTGGCCAGGAGTGGCAAATTACATGGAACTGACTGTAATGAAACCGAGGCATTATCTTTCTTAACCGAGATACGAACATGCAGGGACTCTGGTGGTACCTTGGATGAACCGGGAGGCGGTGACAAGGCCGAGGACAAAGCCACTGCAAGCTGCAGTGAGGTCGAAAGCCACAGCTCGTTTGCAGCCCAGGTCCCGTTGAACCTGGCGGCACGGGAGCAGGGAACGGCGGGGAAAAGGTAATCAGCAATCAGATTTGAGTCAATTCAACAAAGCCACTGCAGGCTGCAGTGATGTCGCACGCCACAGCCCGTTTGCATCCCAGGTCCCGTTGAACCTGGCAGCACGAGAGCAGAGAACGGGGAAGAAAGGTGGAAATACTTCTACCAGCAAACAGGGCTCAGGGGCGGGATGATACAAGTCGGAACGGAGAAGTGGGGACATGTTACAAGGTGGCGGAATTCACCTACGAACGATGCTCACCAGGCAAATTCCACCTTTGATGTTTGTAAGGTTAATTTGGAGGCGATGGCAAGTTGTCGCGTAACCAACTCGACAATAATGGTAACCAGAGGGTCCGTCAGAAACCCATGTATCTGTGACCGCGTCTACGGATTGAGCCCGCGACGTGCGTTCTCGTATGATCGCCACAATAACGAGGCAACCAGATCGCCGGTGACATCGTCAGGGGCTGACGTGCAGACCTCCAGGGGTTGATCCCCATAAGATCACCAGATTTCTTTCCGACAGTAAATCATGCAGGCAGCCACCGCCTAAATTTTAATGGGTGAGGATTGACGTGCAGATGACGATTATGGTAACCAGTGATCGCAGACATAGTGCACGAATTGCGCATGAAACTCACCAGGCAACCATCGCCGAATGTCGTCGTCGTCGTCAAGGTTGACTTGCGAATGAAAATGGTTACCAGTGATCGTAACCAGGATCCACGTTTTAACTCACCAGGCAACCACCGCCGAAAATGTCGTCGGGGGTTGACGTGCAGAAGATGATCAGGTCTACGTCAGAAGGGTCCACGCCAGCCATCTCCAGAGCCTTCCGCGAAGCCTCTGTGGCCAGGCCGGTCATCGACTCGTTCTCTGTGTCAACCGCCGGCGATCATGAATGTGTAACAAGGCAGGCGGGGAAAGACAAGGGGCGGGAGTGGGGGACAGGAGAGTGAGTGGGGTCGCTTTCGGAGTTCGTGGTGAGAAAGCGCGACGGAGAGAGGATTCATGGAACTGGAATTCAAGGAAATTTCCGTCGCATTGCTTCTTTGTTTCGTTCTTTCCTTCAATATTCCATAAGACACTAATATGGAGGGTGTTAGGGATACTGCTTACACGAAGTCGCAGCAGCTTACCCGAAAGGACATGGCGGTTCCGAATGCCGGTACGGGTGGCGATCCATTCGTCAGACGTTTCCATCAGGGTTGCGAGGAAATCATTGGTCACGATCTTCTCTGGCACAGCTGAGCCGGTTCCGATGATTCGAGAACCACGGCCGGGCCTCCTGCGTAGTGGACATAAAAGAATTAAAATCGCACGTTGTGCATGAGTACAAATGACGAAGAGAACCACGGATAGGATCCGAAGATGAGGGAAGGAAATGTTGAACCATTCTGAGTGACGACATTTGGCGAAAGAGTCATCGCAATGTGTGATTCTATAATGCTACACTCCGCGCTGTTGCAGCTTTTCCTAGATTTCACCTCTTTCTATAATTCACCTCTTCCGAGATTTCTTCTCGCCGGAGTCAGCAGCCGGAGGCCCTGTGGTGGCTGAATTTACCACATTCAACGCTCCTGTGGACGAAGCTTTGACAGCGTGGCGTTGCCATGTCCTGGAGCTCGATCCAGACAGAATCAATTTACCGTTTCCGCGAACAGCAGCACAAGACGAGAATCTGCTACTCTGGCTAACGAAATCGCTGCCTCTCTCAACAGACGCACAGCCTATGGAGACGGAACAAGCGGCACTAACGGCCTGGGCCATGTCTGCTCGACTAAACGGGAACACCTGTTAGTGGACACTAGCACAGCACCTGCTAGAGTGCACTCAGCACAGCATAGGACGGTTGAAGGGTTCGTCAGAACCGTGAAGACGGAAAAACGAAAGAATAATCTAGGAATCTATCTGGCAAATATTGTGCCTGCGGTGGCTGTCTGGGCCTGCTATGGCTGTCCAGACCAGTCTAGGAAGCACAGCAGATCTGTGCTAACAGTTCGATGTGTTCTTTGTCTGGCAGAAGAAGAACCGTACACTAGCAGAAGACCCACGCACATTTGCCTCCTGGCTAACCAGCCAGATCAGGAGGTCCAGAGTGGTTACCAAGTCCGGATCAGGATCAGAGGGTTCGACAGGTTTTCATCCATCGGACGGTGATCAGCACCTAACCGGGACTACCGAGGAGCATCCGGCCGTCAACGGACATCCTTGAAATTTGCTGTTTCCACGGTCAGGAGGTTGGAGTGACGTTGGAGGCGACATCCGTGACATGGCGACAATCGCGAGATTCGTCATCAGCGGCTCGCGTGTCGTTAGGGATGATCACGCTTGGGAAAGCAGTGATTGCGTGGCAAAGTTTCGATCAGATCCACGTCGGCAGTCACCGCTATTGGAAATCTCGAATCTGCATTCGAAGTCCAATAAGGACCCAGCGATACAACACGGAAGGGTACACGCAAAGCATCTATAACTTACAATCCATGTACATTCTACTGTGCACGCGATACGCTGGGTCGTTTGTTGTACCTAAGTACCAACCTAAACGAATGTACTACAGATCGCTTGCTCTATTGACAGTTGTGAAACTGGAGAAGGAAAATCCCAACCTTCTCTTTGGAAGTGTAGGTTTGGACGAGCTTTGCCCCTTGACCGTTGCTCCGTCACCACTGGTCTCAAATGTTGCCTGCAAATCACCTCGATGAGAAATCGCTGCAGGTGGAATGCCTGTCATCCCACCACGATCCTCACTGTCATCTTTGCTCACCTCAACAGTCCCAGAAACACCAATGCTTCTGGCCACCTCACCTCCTGCACCACCTGCGCCACCACCAACACCTCCCAGCCCCCCAGAGCTGAAAGCGTTAAAAGCAGCAAGCGCGCGGGTAGTAGCCGCAGCGGCAGCAACATTCCTGGTCGGTGTAAGCGAGAGACTGGTAGCAGTAGACGTTCGGCTGAAGCTGAAGGCACTGGTGGGAGTGTAAGAGGCCAGGGAGGATGCTAGAGAGGGAGGAGTGGAGAGAGCTGAGGGGACTACTGGGCTGTCGGGAGTGGCAGAGGCAGTGGTGGTTGCGGTGCTGGTGGTGCTGGTGATGTGGGTGGAAGGTGGATGGGGCGGACTGATGGCTGTTGTGCTGACCGTGTGCCGCAGGGGAGGAGGCCTGGAAAAAGACGCACCGACAGAGGGGAGGAGAGAGGAGGAGAGGGGAGGAGGGTAGTGGTGAGGAGAAACGCGAGGAGGGAATTGATACATGGAGACAGTAACTGTCGTGCATCAGCACTATAATCAAATCAAGAGAGAAAAAGTCAGTAGGCGATGACGCTTGATTACAAAAAGGCATATATATATATATGTATATATATAATGGGTAGAATAAGAGCTGCAAGCCATGTAGGTGTACGCATTCAGGTATGCGCAAAGTCACACCTATTGCACATCGCACATTGCACATTGCACATTGCATACATACACAAATGCACATCGGACATCGCACACTGCACCATAGATAAACAAATGGGCACTGCACATTGCACATTGCACGCACAGGCACACGCACCTCTCACTGCTTGATCCTGTAGCCTCTGTCACCGACACACTCCTCCCACTACTGCCCAAATAATGCCCACCACTCCCCAACTGACGTCCACCATCTCCCACCCTCTCCTCTCCCTCCTCTCCCTCCTTATCCTCCTCTTCCTCCTCTTCCTCCTCCTCTCCTTCCTCCTCCTCTCGCACACTCCCATCAAGCATGCTTTCACTGAAGCTGCTATTACCAGGAAACCTACTCTCCACAGAGCTGCTACCAGCAAAACGACTCTCCCAAGCATTGCCACCACCACCAGCAAACATGCTGTCATTGAAGCTGCTCATTCCATGCCCCCGCAGAGTCTGCCTTGACAGCTGTCCCCTCCTGGACGCTCCAGGGGATGGGGTCCCTCTATAAGCCCCGCCCCCTCCCTCGTTATAAGCACCCTCACTGGTAAAACCAGGCCCTGCCTCGCTATAAGCACCACCAGCAAATGCTTGCAAATCTGCCCTAGAGATTGCTGCCTGTGGATCCTGCCCGAAAACCGCTGCTTGTGAGTCTTCTCCAGAGGAAGATGCCTGCGGATCTGCCCCACCTACAAAGTTTTCAGTATCTGCCCCAACCGCATCCCTCTGTTGTTCTCCTGCCCCAGCCACCGCTCTCTGTGCTTGTGCCGCAGTTGCAACCCTCAGGGTTTCTGCAGCACGCGAAGGCAAGCTGGGCCTTGGCGATTGGGACCCCTCCTCCAAAGCCGGGCCTTTGCCTTTGTCTGTGGAGCATAGAGCTGCTGCTGTAAGCACATCTGCCGATCTTGCATCTCTGACCAGCACATTCCCTGATCGTCCATCCCTGATCACCACACCTGCCGAACCTGCACCTCCATACCTGGTAAGCGCATCCATCCCACCTGCACCGGTCCTAGGGTTCATTGACAGGTGCCGAGACAGACCCCTTCCAGGCGGAACCTGGTGGAGGGCTCGACTGGGCAGGTCTGTGCCCTGCTGCAGAGGCAGACCGGACAGGTTCCCGCTAGACAGGTGCTTTCTGGGAGGAGGTTTGGACTGGGTTCGGCTGGAAGGGCTGGTGAGGCTGCTGTTGGTATACTTGAAGGTTTTGCTCTTGGAGAATGGGCGTGTCGTGGGGGATTGTAGAGTGGGGTTGTAACGAAGGCTGTAACGGGGGTTTGTTGCAATGAGGGCTGACGGGCGGTGGTAGTACTGAGGCGGTTGATGACTGGATGGGCTTGTGCTGGTTAGGTCGAAAGCAGCAGGGTTGCACTTGAAAGTCCTGCTCTTGCTGAAGGGGTGTGGAGAGCGAGGAGAGAAGGCTTCTGGAAAGAGAGAGTGGGTGTGGAGGGTGGGAGGTCTCTCGAACTGATGTCTGATTTCATGTGATGCTGATGCATTGTGATCAACAGCAGCACTAGCTCCAGTAGCAACAGCAGCAGCAGCAGCGGCAGCGTCAGCTGCAGCAACAGCAGCAGCAGCTGCAGCAGCAACACTGGTAGGAGTTGAACCAGCGTTGCCACTGGCAATGCCACGAGCACTGGAAGAAGCACCAGACGATGATGCTGCCACTGCAGCCGCAGCTGCTGACGTGCTCATCACCGATTGGCTATATCTCAAAACCCTTCCGTTGTGGCTCTGGCGTTGTTGGAATCTCACAGCGTCAGCTGGGTTATTTGCGAGTATAGCCTGGATATTGGGGGTGTCGGGGATACTTGCCGCACTCCTGGTGTGTCGAAGGTTCCGGGAGGATTCCAACCGGTGAAGGTTCCGAGAAGATTCGAACCGCCGGAGGTTCTTCCTGGAGGAATCCGGGCGCTGAAGGTTCCGGAAAGATGCGAGGCGCTGCAGGTTCCGGGAAGGCTCCGGGCGCAGAAGGTTCCTGGGAGATTCCATGCTCTGCAGATTCCCGAACGAGCCACGCCGGTGGTGGTGGTGGTGGTGAATGCTGCTGGTGGGAGATTCTAAATGCGTCAGGTTCGGAACAGATTGGTTGGAATCGGATCGACGGAGCAGCCTATCCGAACCTGGGGATGGTGACGCCATCCTAGGGGATGGTGACATCACTCGGGGGGATGGTAATGCCAGTCTGGGGGATGGTGGTGTGAGTCTGGAGGAGGATGGTGTGGTTACGGTAAGATCTTCGTAGGATGCAAGGTTGCGAACCCGGCTCCATTCCTCTCCCTGCCGACGCAGATACGGGTGAGTAAGAGTGAGTGTGAGTAAGAGTGAGTGTGAGTATTCAGGTGTGAGTATGTGCATGTGAGTGCGTGTGAGGATGCGTAAGTGAAATGTTGAGTGTGGGTGTAAGCACGTTCAATTGTGAGTGTGGGGAGCAAGAATGGTTGGAAAGGGAGGGGGGACGGGGAAGGGGAATAGGGGAGGAAAGAGGTGGGAAGACAAGGAGTCTGAAGCACAGTACAGTAGGAGGCGAGGCAGTTCGGAACATTTGAGAGTTGGACCTTTCTGCTCGGGTTGCCCCAAAACGGGAATCCTCTCTCTCCTGAAGAGTGTAACAATAAGAGCAGTCATTACACCAGACCCACACACAAGCCCCCACTCACCAGCTGGAACTTCTCCTTCCAGTTTGCCATTTTCGCTCGAATTGCCTCGAGCAGTGGAACAGGGGATGCAGCAGAACCAGCCACCCCTCCTGCTGCTGCTCGTCCTCCTCTTTCTGTCGCTGCTCCTGCTCCTGCTGCCGCTGCTGCTGCCCCTGCTGCCGCTCCTCCTCTGTTTGTTGCTGCTCCTGCTTCTGCTGCTCCCCTGCCTCCTGCTCCTCCTCCTCCTCCTGCTGCTCCAGCTACTGCTCCTCCTGCTAACCAACCTTCCCTGATTAAACCTTCCCCAGATAAGCTCAAACCTGCAAGCCGCTGCTCGTGGTTTCGAGGTGAGATGCTGGTCGGCAGATCAGGTGGAAACGGCACTGTGTATATCCCTGCCGCTGCTGCAGTACCAGGTGCTGTTGAGGATTTTTGAGACGTCTCAAAACTGGTCGGCAGATCAGGCGGAAACGGCACCGTGTATAACCCTGTTGCTGCTGCAGTAGCCACTGCAGAGGAGGAGGTGACTGAGGAGGAGTACGAGGGGGAGGAAGAGGAGAAGGTGGAGTGTTGGGACGTCCCACATATCCCTTCTGCAGCAGCAGCAACTGAATTTTGAGGCGCCTCAAAAGACGGCACGGTGTATACCCCTGCTGCTGCAGCAGTGGAGGAGGAGGAAACATCCGATGCTGCTGACGCTGCTGAGCGAGGAACCGCCGATGCTGCTGAAGGTGGTGATGGTGATGATGATGATGCTGCTGCTGCTGCTATTGAAAATGATGGCAGTGCTGTTAAAGCTGCCGCTCTTGCTGCTGGGGTTGCTTCTGTGGTTTGTGCTGCTGCTGCTGCGAGTGGTGTTGGTGCTAAGTGTGGTTCCAATGTCACTGCTGCTGCCAGTGCTGTCGTAGCTGCCGGTAGTGCCGATGCCTCCTTGCTTTTCTCCTCCTCCTCCCCTTCTTCCTCCTCCTCCTCTTCTCCATCTCCGTCTCCTTCACATGCTTCATCTCTTTCACTTGCTTCCTCTTCAGTACGTTCCCTTCCTGCCACGTCAAACCCTTCCTCTCTAATACCTGCCCTATCCTCCTCCAGCTTATCTGATTCATCCTTCTTCCTCTCTTGTTCGCCTATCTGCTTACCTACTCCATCCTTCTGCGTATCTGCTTCAACACTGTTACCGCCACAACCATCCACTTCAGCATCAACATGCGACTCACCATCAGCATCAGAATCGCCACCAGCATCAGCACCACCATCAGCATCATCAGCCGCAGCACGTGCATCCTGAAACACACTCTCCGTTTCCTCAACATCTGCTTCCCGTGCATCACCACCCATCACCCTCCGACTCAACTCCACTAGCCTTTCTAGATCCTCAAAAGTTGACCTTCCAGTCACCTCCTCCCCACCATCCAATGCCATTCGATCGAACCTCACTGCCCCCTCGGGATTGTCCCGCCAGGGGCCCTCACCCCCCACATCACATCCACCAGGCTCAGTTGGGGGAGTGAACTCGCCCGTCGCCCCCATCTCCCTGTAAGCAGCATCAGGCTTCAGCTCTCTGCCACCCAAACAGGACCCCAAACGACGCAGCAAGACAAACAAGAAGGTAGAGGGGAGTTTTGAGTTGACTCAAGATGCAGAGGCACCTGGGAGACCTACCTCCCAGAAAACATCAGGCTCCAGCTCGCTGTGACTAAAACAGGATTCCCAGCAACCCACCCACCCACCTGTGCGCGCGGTGCCCTCGGTGTAAGATGATGGCGATATAAGCAGCGCAGCACAGCAGGGAGAATGCTCCATAGACGATCATCAGCCCTGCCTACCCACCTCCCCCACCCACCCACCCACCCAACCCACCTGTGCGCGCGGTGTCCTCGGTGCAAAATGATGGCGATATAAGCAGCGCAGCACAGCAGGGAGAAGGCGCCATAAATGATCATGCCCTGCCCTGCCCACCCACCCATCCACACACCCACCCACCTGTGGGCGCGGTGTCCTCGGTGTAAGATGATGGCGATATAAGCCGCGCAGCACAGCAGGGAGAAGGCGCCGTAGACGATCATGAGGCCTGCCATGGTGGTGGCTGAGATCTGCACCTTCTCCACCATCACCGACGCTGCGTTGTCGCAGTTGGACGTGTTCTGATGGGTGTGTGTGTGGGAGTAGCAGGGGTGTTGGGGAATAGAGGGGATAGACGATCATGAGCCCAGCCTGCCATAGTGGTGGCTGAGATCTGCACCTTCTCCACCACCACCGACGCTGCATTGTCGCAGTTGGACGTGTTCTGATGGGTGTGTGTGTGGGAGTAGCAGGGGTGTTGGGGAATAGAGGGGATAGACGATCATGAGCCCAGCCTGCCATAGTGGTGGCTGAGATCTGCACCTTCTCCACTATCACCGACGCTGCATTGTTGCAGTTGGACGTGTTCTGGAAAGAGAATAGTGGGGGAAGTAAGGGGAGAATAAAGGGTGGAGTAGGGGGAACGTGCTGAGATCTGCACCTTCTCCACCATCACCGACGCCGCGTTGTCACAGTTGGACGTGTTCTGATGCGGGTAGGGGAAGGGATTTGGAAGGGGTTAGGAAGGGTGGGGGGTGAGAGAGTAGGAGAAAATTAAGGGAGGATGGGCTGCTGTACGCAATCTGCCTGCACTGCACCTTCTCCACCAACCAAAAGCAACACATCATCAGCATGATCAAACTACACGTCAGCAGCAGCAGCAGCAGCACGACAGTGACACGTCAGCAGCAGCACGACAGTGACACGTCAGCAGCAGCAGCAGCAGCAGCAGCAGCAGCGCGACAGTGCCACGTCAGCAGCAGCAGCACGACAGTGACATGTTAGTAGGAGCAGCAGCGCACCTTAATGTACATGCTACGTATGCGCTGCATATGAGGAACCAAAAAACACACATGTCAGCAGCAGCAACAGTGACACGTCAGCATTAGCACCTTGATGTACATGCTGCGAATGCGCTGCAGCTCCCCATTCTGTGCCAGCTCCAGCAGCGCCTGAGAGATGTCCGCGCCAAAGAGAGAGCCCTTTTGGAATGCCTGATTAATGCGAACAAGGGGTGAAAGGTAGAGCGGTTGACAAGAGGGGGAAGAAGAGGGAGGAGGGATGCAAAGGTCAACTCCAGCAGCGCCTGAGAGATGTCCGCGCCAAAGAGAGAGCCCTTTTGGAAGGCCTGATACGGGCAGAGGTGAAGACAAAAGCGGGCAGAAGAGGGGAGAGGAATGCAAAGGTCAGCTCCAGCAGCGCCTGGGAGATGGCCGCCCCAAAGAGAGATCCCTTTTGGAATGCCTGATTAATGCGAACAAGGGGTGAAAGGTAGAGCGGTTGACAAGAGGGGGAAGAAGAGGGAGGAGGGATGCAAAGGTCAACTCCAGCAGCGCCTGAGAGATGTCCGCGCCAAAGAGAGAGCCCTTTTGGAAGGCCTGATACGGGCAGAGGTGAAGACAAAAGCGGGCAGAAGAGGGGAGAGGAATGCAAAGGTCAGCTCCAGCAGCGCCTGGGAGATGGCCGCCCCAAAGAGAGATCCCTTTTGGAATGCCTGATTAATGCGAACAAGGGGTGAAAGGTAGAGCGGTTGACAAGAGGGGGAAGAAGAGGGAGGAGGGATGCAAAGGTCAGCTCCAGCAGCGCCTGAGAGATGTCCGCGCCAAAGAGAGAGCCCTTTTGGAAGGCCTATACGGGCAGAGGTGAAGACAAAAGCGGGCAGAAGAGGGGAGAGGAATGCAAAGGTCAGCTCCAGCAGCGCCTGGGAGATGGCCGCCCCAAAGAGAGATCCCTTTTGGAATGCCTGATGGGGGTGTGAAGGGGGAGAGGGCAGAGAGTAAGGTGGAAGAAGATGTTTGAGTCGACTCAAAAATGGGGGTGTGAAGGGGGAGAGGGCAGAGAGTAAGGTGGAAGAAGATGTTTGAGTCGACTCAAAAATGGGGGTGTGAAGGGGGAGAGGGCAGAGAGTAAGGTGGAAGAAGGCGGAGGGGGGGGGGCGGAGGGGAGCGGTGACTTGGTTAAGGTGAATGTGGGGGTGGAGAGAAGCCAAGGTCAGCTTCAGCATCACATGGGAGATGTCAGCCCAGGAGAGAGAACCCCTCCGGTGTGCCTGATGGGGGCAGAGAGGGCGAAAAAAAGGTGGAAAGGTCAGCTCTAATGCATGCGCCACCTCAGCGATTGCCCATGCGCGCCACTCACTTGGCAGTTCTGCGAGGCAAAGACGCTGAGGTAGGGGTCCCCGTCCACTGTTATGGCCATCGCTGCGATGAGAGCGTCTCTTGATGCTTGCCCATGCACCACCCAATGCTCACCACGTGTAGAGAGGTGCATTTTGAGGCGCCTCAAAATACACCTGCTGCGATGAGAGCGTCTCTTGATGCTTGCCCATGCATGCACCACCCAATGTTCACCACGTGTAGTGAGGTGCATTTTGAGGCACCTCAAAATACACCTGCTGCGATGAGAGCGTCTCTTGATGCTTGCCCATGCACCACCCAATGCTCACCACGTGTAGTGAGGTGCATTTTGAGGCGCCTCAAAATACACCTGCTGCGATGAGAGCGTCTCTTGATGCTTGCCCATGCACCACCCAATGCTCACCACGTGTAGTGAGGTGCATTTTGAGGCGCCTCAAAATACACCTGCTGCGATGAGAGCGTCTCTTGATGCTTGCCCATGCACCACCCAATGCTCACCACGTGTAGTGAGGTGCATTTTGAGGCGCCTCAAAATACACCTGCTGCGATGAGAGCGTCTCTTGATGCTTGCCCATGCACCACCCAATGCTCACCACGTGTAGTGAGGTGCATTTTGAGGCGCCTCAAAATACACCTGCTGCGACGAGAGCGTCTCTTGATGCTTGCCCATGCACCACCCAAAGCTCACCCACCCAAGAAGCCAAGTTCCCAAGTCCCCCAGTGGCCAAAGGTGCCCCTAGTCTCGGTGCCCCCCTTGGTGCAGCTCATGAATATGGAGTTGAGGATGTTGAAGGCATGTGACGAGCTTTGCCATACACGCAAGAGCCCATAGATGCTCCTAGATGCCCCTAGGTGCCCCCAGCAGCTCACAACGGCGGAGTTGAGGACGTTGAAGGCCTGGGAGGTGCTTTGCCTTGTAGTACCTGACATGCTCTGCATTGCCCCTAAGTGCCCAAGCGGCCCCGTCCCATTGTCTCACAAAGGCGGAGTTGAGGACGTTGAAGGCCTGGGAGGCGCGCAGCACTTGGCAGTACTGCGAGGCAAAGACGTTCAGGTAGGGGTCCTCGTCCACTATCAGGGCCACGCGCTGAGAAGTGAGCGCCTCATAGTAGTCCTGCTCACTGTTCAACGGCACTAGCCGGGACTGCGGGTGGGGGGCGGGGCAAGAGAGAGGGACGGAAAGGAGAGATGATATGAGGGGGGAGTGAAAAAAATGCAGGAAGCAACGAGATGAGAGTGCCTCATAGTGGTCTTGCTCGTTGTTCAGCGGCACTAGCCGGGACTGCGGGAGAGGGGACGGGAGAGAGGAACGCGAGAGAGAGCGGGACGAGAGGGACTGGGAGGAGAGAGGGTGAAAAGAAGCCCGACGCCGCCCTGGTTCTACTGACCACTCAACTAGAAGACCGGCTAAATACTCGTATCTAACACCCACTCATATATCGTACCGGAGAAAACCCAAGCTGCACGAGATAGCCGTAGACAAAGGAGCCGTACTGATAGCCCACCATCACCTCGGACCCTGCCACATCGTATATGCTCTGAAAAGATCAGTGGGAAACAGGGAAAGCGACAAAAAAGGAGAAAAACCCGAGAGTGTATGCTGGCAGAAGTGAAGGAGCCGTACTGATAGCCCACCATCACCTGGGACCCTGTCGCTTCGTAGATGCTCCGTGAGAGGAGACGGGGAAGGGGGGGTGTGATGGGTAACGTGAGGGAGCAAGAGGGAGAGAATGGAGAGAGAAAGGGGTGTCAAAACTCGAAATCACATGTGGAACGCACAGAGACATTGGGAGCCACATTTTTTTTTTTTTTTTTTTTTTTTTTTTTTTTTTTTTTTTTAAATCGTTTCGGAACTCAGACTATATGAGGAAAAGGAAAGAAAGGAAAGAAGAAAGAAAGAACGAAAGAAAAGAATGGACGTACGGATATTGGGAGCTGCAGCTTCTGGAGAACGAGAGCAGCAGTGAGGGCGGCAACGTAGGAGCAGGAGACGACAATCATGAGCGCAAACCACGTCACTGTAAGTATCCGACCGAGAGACGTCTTGACTATGCCCCTCACTGATGGAAGGGAAGGACGGGGTGGGATGAGAAGGTAATGAGTGGAGAAAGAATTAGACCTGCAGTGAGGGAGAGGTAACGTAGGAGCAGGAGACGACAATCATGAGCGTGAACCAGGTGACTGTGAGGAGCTGGCCGAGAGACGTCTTGACTATGCCCCTCACTGAAGGCAAGTGGAAGGGGTGGGTGGAGGGAGGAGAGAATGAGCGAATCAGTTGACTGTCTGTGGGGAGACGGCCAAGGGACATTCTGACTATGCCCCTCACTGGTGGGAGCAGGGGTGGGGGGAGGGTGGTGGGCAGGAAGAAGTGGAGGGCTGCAGTGTTAAAATCACTCTTGAGAATTCTCTTGAGAATCACTCTTGAGAATTCTCTTGAGAATCACTCTTGAGAATTCTCAAAAGTCATTTCAATAAAGAGGGTGGTGGGCAGGAAGAAGTGGAGGGGTGCATATGTATAAAGTTTCGACCTGGATCCGCAGGTGACTCGTCCTACTCCAACAGGTAACTTGTCCTAATGGCAGAGCTTAGGCTAGTAGGGATAGTAGGTAAGAAATCGTTTATTCAAACCTGAGCGTACGCGCGTTTCGGCCGGAGGGCTGCAGTGAGTGAGGGCGACAACGTAGGAACTAGGGGCGACACGACACGACACGACACGACAGTCGTGAGGGTGAGGTGAGTTTTGAGTCGACTCAAAAGTCACCTAGAATGAGGGCTGCGGTGAGGGAGGGCGACAACGTAGGAGGAACTAGGGACGACACGACAGTTGTGAGGGTGAACCAGGCAACTGGGAACAAAAAAAAAAAAAAAAAAAAAAAAAAAACAGCAATAGTAATTAAAAAAAGTGCTTCTAATATTCTCCAAAAACGTGCTGCCAAAATTGTGAATGCCACACGAAGCGGCATTGTGCGTTTCGATCGAATCAGACAGCTGGTTACGGCTGGCTTATTCATACCTTTGGCGAATCCAACTGGCGCAAAGGACATCCTGTACGCACACACCAACAGAGAGCGGAAGAGGGAGGGAAAGCACAAGTAGCTTGATCCAGGTCATGTGGGGGAAAGTACTACAAGTTCATATGTACAGCTGACTACAGCAAAGAAAGAGAGCGAAAGAAGGAGGGAAACCATAAGCAACTTGATCCAAGTCATGTAAAAACTGACTACATACAAATTCCTATGTACAGCTGCTTGACTATAGCAAAGTCTTTAATCAAAAGGAAACCCTCTCCTCACACACACCATATGTCCTCCCATAATTCACCCATCATACCCCCTCCTCCCCCCATATTTCCCCCACCCACCATATGTACGACATGACTATGGGTACGGCCGGTCATACTCCCGCCGCATCAATTGCGTTCCGTCCGTGTGTGCGTCACACACCATGCATACCACACACACCACTCCCCTCACAACACCCCCGCACCCACCATATGTACGACATGACCCCTCACACCCACCATATGTACGACATGGCTTCTTGGTGCGGCCGGTCATACTCCCGCCGCAGCAGGTGCGCGGGATGGGAACTTTCCAGGAAGCAGAGCACAAGGCCGGTGAACACGATGAGGCAGGCGAGCAGCAGCCACATTTGCCAGGAGAAGGGGCGGTAGGAGATCCAGGGGTTGTCGTTTGGTGCCACGTAGGACACCAGGCTCAGCCCTGATTGCTGATTGGGTGGAAGAGCGGACGCGGTGGGTGGGTGGGGTGGAAGGGAAGTGGGGAAGAGGGGAAGAGGGGAAGAGGAATAGGGGAAGGGGAGGGGAATGGGAAGAGGGGAAGGGGAGGAGGAAGCAGGAGAGGGGGAGGAGGAGGGAGCAGGGGAGGGCAGGAGGGGGCTGGTGAATGCGATGAGGCAAGCGAGCAGCAGCCACATTTTCCCGGAGAGGGGGCAGTAGAGGGGCAGGGGAGGGGCAGGAGAGGGGCAGGAGAGGGGCAGGAGAGGGGCAGTAGGAGAATCAAGGGTTGTGAGAGTAATTTTACGAGAGAGTGACAATGTGGGTGCATGATGCCATGCGGATGTGAGAATGTGGTAGAGAGAAGAGTCACGAAAGTATGAGGCAGCATGAGATAACGTACTTGGATGGGGAAATTGAACGAGGTGACGTTTGAGGGGAGATGAGATAACGTACTTGGATAGGGGCTGTGAAATCGACGGCTTCGCTGCGGAAATTGAGCACAGCAATGTCGCCAATGGCTCCATCGTACGTCTGTGGTGCACATGCACACACACGCAGGAACACACACAGGCACACACACACAGGCACACACACACAGGCACACAAAGGGTAGGGACGGAAAGGGTAGGGACGGTGAAACGAACGGCCTCGCTGCGGAAATTGAGCACTGCAATGTCGCCAATGGCACCGTCGTACGTCTGCAGTGTACACACCCATGCACATACAGCACATATAGCACGCACAAACGCATGCACGCACGCAGGCAGCACATACAGGAACAGCTGATTATTTGTGGTGTAGTGAAGGTGCAGTGCAGGCAACTCCAAACGGGCCATACACATACATACACTCCATCTCACTTGCTACCAACCCTCTCGGAATCATAAGGCTCATATGTTGCAAGTGGCATGCGTATGCCAGCCACTCACATGGTTGGCCACAGCATACACCATCTTAGTGTAGCTCGGAGAGGCATCGCTTCCCTAAGCAGCGATGTGGCCAAAGCATTGTCTAAATTGTTCAGACAAATGTGCGACGCGCATGCTGCCGGTTGCATCTGAAAGCATATGTGTATGTATGAATGAAGCATGCCACATGCGCGTGCCACCACTCACATCGTTCGCCACAGCATAGACCATCTCGGTGTAACTGGAAGTGGCATCGCCCTCCCCAAACTCAACACACGTGCGAGCATACGCACATGCACGCACGCTGCATGTGAGCACGCAGGTGCGACCCTCACTCACATGGTTGGCCACAGCATACACCATCTCAGTGTAACTCGGAGTGACGTCGCCCTCCCCATACTGCCATACTGGAGCCTCCTTTGAGAATGCTCAAAAGTGCATGCAACTGTGTCACGTGCGCACCCCACTCACATGGTTGGCCACAGCATACACCATCTCAGTGTAGCTCGGAGTGGCATCACCCTCCCCAAACTGCATAAACTCGTATGAGAGCTCGTAAGGCAGCCGCGCCACTGCCGCCTGGAACAGATCCAGACAAAACCCCGTGAAGCGGTCGTTTCCCTGGGCGGCGGTGGGCGGCAGGATCTCGACAAACTGGTTGTAGCCTTTCTTGTTCGGCACGGCTATCCGCAACGGGTCCTGTTGACGAGCAAGCCACCCTGAGGGAGCCTGGAGGGAAGGAAGGAGGAGGAGGGATGGAAGAGGATGAGAAGAGATGATTCTGGTTGTAGCCTTTCTTGTTTGGAAGAGGATGAGAAGAGATGATTCTGGTTGTAGCCTTTCTTGTTTGGAAGAGGATGAGAAGAGATGATTCTGGTTGTAGCCTTTCTTGTTTGGAAGAGGATGAGAAGAGATGATTCTGGTTGTAGCCTTTCTTGTTTGGAAGAGGATGAGAAGAGATGATTCTGGTTGTAGCCTTTCTTGTTTGGAAGAGGATGAGAAGAGATGATTCTGGTTGTAGCCTTTCTTGTTTGGAAGAGGATGAGAAGAGATGATTCAGGTTGTAGCCTTTCTTGTTTGGAAGAGGATGAGAAGAGATGATTCTGGTTGTAGCCTTTCTTGTTTGGAAGAGGATGAGAAGAGATGATTCTGGTTGTAGCCTTTCTTGTTTGGAAGAGGCGGGCCAGCCACCCTGAGGGAGCCTGGAGGAGGAAAGAAGGATGGGGGAGTAGGAATGCAGAAAAACGAATGAGTTGAGAAAGAAGACTGCAGAGTCATGAGACGCCTTTTGAGGCGCCTCACAAGGCGGCAAGAAGACTGCAGCCTGTAGGCTCGCGCACCGCATGGCTGTGCGTGCGCAGCGGGTCGGTCTTGCACGCGGGCCACACCCTGAGGGAAAGAGTTTTGAAACATCTCGAAAGTCAGTTTGAGATGTTTCAAAAGTCGTTTTGAGACGTTTCAAAAGACATGGCTGTGCACAGCGGGACTTGTGGACGGGCCAGCCGCCCGGAGGGAAATAGGGAGGAGGGAAGGAAGGAGAAGGGAAAGAGGGAGGGAGGAGGAGGGAAGAGATCTGGAATCAGCAGAGTGAACTGCTGCTCTCACATTGCTCTCATCACATTGCTTTGCACAGCATATAACCAACAAGGCCCCCCTTGATCGACACTGTAACCCCCAGGCTGACCTTTTCAAGATTGCCTGGGAACAGCAGGTTGAGTGTGTAAGAGCTATTGGCTTGCACTGCCGGAGCTAGTGGGTCCTGTAGGCAGGGAGAGAAGAACCATGAAACGATGAGATGAGATGGATGGGGATGGAAGCAGTACTTCTGTTTCTTCTGATGCAGCAAGTTAGGTGGGACGGAGACACAGCAAACAGCAGAGTGAGTGTGACAGAGCAGTGACGCTCACTCACATCCGAGGTGGTGAAGCCCTTCCCCAGGCGCCAGTACCCCGCAGTGACAAACTCGCTGCCCCGCACATTCAGCAGCTGCACTGACCCGTCCTTCACATCCCCCTCAGGGGTGAGTCGCACCCTGCAGTGCACATGGCGGGTGGGTGGGTGGGTGGGTGTGGGAAAAGGAGCAATTTTGCAACGATGAACTCGCTCCCCCGCACATTCAGCAGCTGCACCGACCCGTCCTTCACATCCCCCTCAGGGGTGAGTCGCACCCTGCAGTGCACATGGTGAGTGGGTGAGTGGGTCGGTGGGTGGGTGGGTGGGTGGGTGGGTGGGTGGGTGGGTGGGTGGGTGGGTGTGGGAAAAGGAGCAATTTTGCAACGATGAACTCGCTCCCCCGCACATTCAGCAGCTGCACCGACCCGTCCTTCACATCCCCCTCAGGGGTGAGTCGCACCCTGCAGTAGTGCACATGGTGAGTGGGTGGGAGGGTGGGGGGAAAAAGGCATGTCTTGAGACATCTCATCCCGTGCCATGCGATGCAATGCCAAGGACATTGTGGGTGGGTGAGGACAAGGAGGGAGCAGCAAGTCTTACGACTTGAAGTCAACTCAAACTCACCAAGTCAACTTGTGCAAACCCTTTGGGGCCTCCCTCACCTGCCTGTGGCGCCCATCACAGACGCCTGGAGAAGCGCATCCCGCAGCAGCGGCCCAATTGAGGGAAACAGGGCTGCTTGCTTCTGACTCAATAAGTCAAACAGTCACCTTGCTTGCTTCTGACTCAATAAGTCAAACAGTCACCTTGCTTGCTTCTGACTCAATAAGTCAAACAGTCACCTTGCTCGCGCTAACCCTTAGGCCCCTCCCTCACCTGCCGGTGGCGCCCATCACAGACGCCTGGAGCAGCGCATCCCGCAGCAGCGGCCCAACTGAGGAGGGAGGGGAGGTGGTGGGTGGGTGGGTGGGTGGGTGGTGTGAGAATGTGGGTGGATGGGTGGGTGGGTGGGATGATGGTTGGGATGAGGAATGCATGAGAGGTGAAGGAACAGGGCCGGTGTGACTAGGAGGTTATGCGTGCGTGTGGTGGGTGAGAGAAGGGGTGAGTGGGAAGGGAGTACAATTGGGGCTTGGTCAAAATAGGGGGAGAAGGAAAAGAAGGAGAACGAGGTACGACGAAGCCCCATTCAAGCCGATCACATCGCACTCAAGCCACTCACAATTGCTCTTTTGAGACGTCTCAAAAACTCACTCATTTCGCGTGGACACTCACAATTGCTCCGCGCTGCGCCAGACAGAATGGGGATTAGCGAGCTGGCAGGATCGACAGGCGCCACCACAGGCATGGGCATATGAGCCCCACTCACACGCCACTCAACCCACTTACACCGCATTGAACCCACTCACAATTGCTCCGAGCTGCGCCAGACAGAATCGGGATTAGCGAGCTGGCAGGATCGACAGGCGCCACCACAGGCATGGGCACATGAGTCCACGTGCCAGGCTCCTGGACAGCAGCGGAACTGTTACTAACGAGGACAGAACCTGCTGCAGCGCCACCGCTGCTCCCGTCGCTACTGCTACTGTTCCCCTCGGCACCAGCAGCACGAGCAACACCACCACTCCCATCCCCTGGGAAACTCCCACTGTTGGCCCCATCCTCGTTATAAGCCCCTGGGCCTTGAGAGGGAGGCACGGGTTCGACCAGGGAGTTCTGAGAGTCAGCGCTGTCGGTGGCGTCGCCTGAGAGCACGTTGTGCACTGCCTGAGCCACCAGCAGCAGGGCGTCGTATGCTGCTAGTGAATACACATCCGCCTGAAGTAAAGGGGGAAGTAACCGTGGGGGGGGAAGGATGGGGGAACGGAGGGGGCAGGGTTTAAAAAACTTAGTCACTACACCACTGGGATAAAATGACATTTTAATTAGCGGGTCAGTGCGTCCATAACTCCCCGCCCATAACCTTCCGTATGATCAATCGGGCATTCCCAGTGCAGGTTTTCTGACATACAGAATAATAGAGCATCAGAACAACAAAAATGAAGGGGTGATCCTTATACGACCCGCACCTTTAATTGCTCTCACCTTCTCTACTCTCAAAACTGTCTTAAATACTCCACTCACTCAACAATTACCTTGGCAGAGGTGGGTCCTTCCAGCCCCGACATGTGCTCCTTGCACCCTGCTTCTACCCCCTCTCATCTTCCCTTCCCTGAAAGTGGCCTTGAACCCCCACGTACTCGCTACTCGCTCACCTTGGCAGAGGTGGGTCCTTCCAGCCCCGACATGTGCTCCTTGCACCCTGCTTCTACCCCCTCTCATCTTCCCTTCCCTGAAAGTGGCCTTGAACCCCCACGTACTCGCTACTCGCTCACCTTGGCAGAGGTGGGTCCTTCCAGCCCCGACATGTGCTCCTTGCACCCTGCTTCTACCCCCTCTCATCTTCCCTTCCCTGAAAGTGGCCTTGAACCCCCACGTACTCGCTACTCGCTCACCTTGGCAGAGGTGGGTCCTTCCAGCCCCGACATGTGCTCCTTGCACCCTGCTTCTACCCCCTCTCATCTTCCCTTCCCTGAAAGTGGCCTTGAACCCCCACGTACTCGCTACTCGCTCACCTTGGCAGAGGTGGGTCCTTCCAGCCCCGACATGTGCTCCTTGCACCCTGCTTCTACCCCCTCTCATCTTCCCTTCCCTGAAAGTGGCCTTGAACCCCCACGTACTCGCTACTCGCTCACCTTGGCAGAGGTGGGTCCTTCCAGCCCCGACATGTGCTCCTTGCACCCTGCTTCTACCCCCTCTCATCTTCCCTTCCCTGAAAGTGGCCTTGAACCCCCACGTACTCGCTACTCGCTCACCTTGGCAGAGGTGGGTCCTTCCAGCCCCGACATGTGCTCCTTGCACCCTGCTTCTACCCCCTCTCATCTTCCCTTCCCTGAAAGTGGCCTTGAACCCCCACGTACTCGCTACTCGCTCACCTTGGCAGAGGTGGGTCCTTCCAGCCCCGACATGTGCTCCTTGCACCCTGCTTCTACCCCCTCTCATCTTCCCTTCCCTGAAAGTGGCCTTGAACCCCCACGTACTCGCTACTCGCTCACCTTGGCAGAGGTGGGTCCTTCCAGCCCCGACATGTGCTCCTTGCACCCTGCTTCTACCCCCTCTCATCTTCCCTTCCCTGAAAGTGGCCTTGAACCCCCACGTACTCGCTACTCGCTCACCTTGGCAGAGGTGGGTCCTTCCAGCCCCGACATGTGCTCCTTGCACCCTGCTTCTACCCCCTCTCATCTTCCCTTCCCTGAAAGTGGCCTTGAACCCCCACGTACTCGCTACTCGCTCACCTTGGCAGAGGTGGGTCCTTCCAGCCCCGACATGTGCTCCTTGCACCCTGCTTCTACCCCCTCTCATCTTCCCTTCCCTGAAAGTGGCCTTGAACCCCCACGTACTCGCTACTCGCTCACCTTGGCAGAGGTGGGTCCTTCCAGCCCCGACATGTGCTCCTTGCACCCTGCTTCTACCCCCTCTCATCTTCCCTTCCCTGAAAGTGGCCTTGAACCCCCACGTACTCGCTACTCGCTCACCTTGGCAGAGGTGGGTCCTTCCAGCCCCGACATGTGCTCCTTGCACCCTGCTTCTACCCCCTCTCATCTTCCCTTCCCTGAAAGTGGCCTTGAACCCCCACGTACTCGCTACTCGCTCACCTTGGCAGAGGTGGGTCCTTCCAGCCCCGACATGTGCTCCTTGCACCCTGCTTCTACCCCCTCTCATCTTCCCTTCCCTGAAAGTGGCCTTGAACCCCCACGTACTCGCTACTCGCTCACCTTGGCAGAGGTGGGTCCTTCCAGCCCCGACATGTGCTCCTTGCACCCTGCTTCTACCCCCTCTCATCTTCCCTTCCCTGAAAGTGGCCTTGAACCCCCACGTACTCGCTACTCGCTCACCTTGGCAGAGGTGGGTCCTTCCAGCCCCGACATGTGCTCCTTGCACCCTGCTTCTACCCCCTCTCATCTTCCCTTCCCTGAAAGTGGCCTTGAACCCCCACGTACTCGCTACTCGCTCACCTTGGCAGAGGTGGGTCCTTCCAGCCCCGACATGTGCTCCTTGCACCCTGCTTCTACCCCCTCTCATCTTCCCTTCCCTGAAAGTGGCCTTGAACCCCCACGTACTCGCTACTCGCTCACCTTGGCAGAGGTGGGTCCTTCCAGCCCCGACATGTGCTCCTTGCACCCTGCTTCTACCCCCTCTCATCTTCCCTTCCCTGAAAGTGGCCTTGAACCCCCACGTACTCGCTACTCGCTCACCTTGGCAGAGGTGGGTCCTTCCAGCCCCGACATGTGCTCCTTGCACCCTGCTTCTACCCCCTCTCATCTTCCCTTCCCTGAAAGTGGCCTTGAACCCCCACGTACTCGCTACTCGCTCACCTTGGCAGAGGTGGGTCCTTCCAGCCCCGACATGTGCTCCTTGCACCCTGCTTCTACCCCCTCTCATCTTCCCTTCCCTGAAAGTGGCCTTGAACCCCCACGTACTCGCTACTCGCTCACCTTGGCAGAGGTGGGTCCTTCCAGCCCCGACATGTGCTCCTTGCACCCTGCTTCTACCCCCTCTCATCTTCCCTTCCCTGAAAGTGGCCTTGAACCCCCACGTACTCGCTACTCGCTCACCTTGGCAGAGGTGGGTCCTTCCAGCCCCGACATGTGCTCCTTGCACCCTGCTTCTACCCCCTCTCATCTTCCCTTCCCTGAAAGTGGCCTTGAACCCCCACGTACTCGCTACTCGCTCACCTTGGCAGAGGTGGGTCCTTCCAGCCCCGACATGTGCTCCTTGCACCCTGCTTCTACCCCCTCTCATCTTCCCTTCCCTGAAAGTGGCCTTGAACCCCCACGTACTCGCTACTCGCTCACCTTGGCAGAGGTGGGTCCTTCCAGCCCCGACATGTGCTCCTTGCACCCTGCTTCTACCCCCTCTCATCTTCCCTTCCCTGAAAGTGGCCTTGAACCCCCACGTACTCGCTACTCGCTCACCTTGGCAGAGGTGGGTCCTTCCAGCCCCGACATGTGCTCCTTGCACCCTGCTTCTACCCCCTCTCATCTTCCCTTCCCTGAAAGTGGCCTTGAACCCCCACGTACTCGCTACTCGCTCACCTTGGCAGAGGTGGGTCCTTCCAGCCCCGACATGTGCTCCTTGCACCCTGCTTCTACCCCCTCTCATCTTCCCTTCCCTGAAAGTGGCCTTGAACCCCCACGTACTCGCTACTCGCTCACCTTGGCAGAGGTGGGTCCTTCCAGCCCCGACATGTGCTCCTTGCACCCTGCTTCTACCCCCTCTCATCTTCCCTTCCCTGAAAGTGGCCTTGAACCCCCACGTACTCGCTACTCGCTCACCTTGGCAGAGGTGGGTCCTTCCAGCCCCGACATGTGCTCCTTGCACCCTGCTTCTACCCCCTCTCATCTTCCCTTCCCTGAAAGTGGCCTTGAACCCCCACGTACTCGCTACTCGCTCACCTTGGCAGAGGTGGGTCCTTCCAGCCCCGACATGTGCTCCTTGCACCCTGCTTCTACCCCCTCTCATCTTCCCTTCCCTGAAAGTGGCCTTGAACCCCCACGTACTCGCTACTCGCTCACCTTGGCAGAGGTGGGTCCTTCCAGCCCCGACATGTGCTCCTTGCACCCTGCTTCTACCCCCTCTCATCTTCCCTTCCCTGAAAGTGGCCTTGAACCCCCACGTACTCGCTACTCGCTCACCTTGGCAGAGGTGGGTCCTTCCAGCCCCGACATGTGCTCCTTGCACCCTGCTTCTACCCCCTCTCATCTTCCCTTCCCTGAAAGTGGCCTTGAACCCCCACGTACTCGCTACTCGCTCACCTTGGCAGAGGTGGGTCCTTCCAGCCCCGACATGTGCTCCTTGCACCCTGCTTCTACCCCCTCTCATCTTCCCTTCCCTGAAAGTGGCCTTGAACCCCCACGTACTCGCTACTCGCTCACCTTGGCAGAGGTGGGTCCTTCCAGCCCCGACATGTGCTCCTTGCACCCTGCTTCTACCCCCTCTCATCTTCCCTTCCCTGAAAGTGGCCTTGAACCCCCACGTACTCGCTACTCGCTCACCTTGGCAGAGGTGGGTCCTTCCAGCCCCGACATGTGCTCCTTGCACCCTGCTTCTACCCCCTCTCATCTTCCCTTCCCTGAAAGTGGCCTTGAACCCCCACGTACTCGCTACTCGCTCACCTTGGCAGAGGTGGGTCCTTCCAGCCCCGACATGTGCTCCTTGCACCCTGCTTCTACCCCCTCTCATCTTCCCTTCCCTGAAAGTGGCCTTGAACCCCCACGTACTCGCTACTCGCTCACCTTGGCAGAGGTGGGTCCTTCCAGCCCCGACATGTGCTCCTTGCACCCTGCTTCTACCCCCTCTCATCTTCCCTTCCCTGAAAGTGGCCTTGAACCCCCACGTACTCGCTACTCGCTCACCTTGGCAGAGGTGGGTCCTTCCAGCCCCGACATGTGCTCCTTGCACCCTGCTTCTACCCCCTCTCATCTTCCCTTCCCTGAAAGTGGCCTTGAACCCCCACGTACTCGCTACTCGCTCACCTTGGCAGAGGTGGGTCCTTCCAGCCCCGACATGTGCTCCTTGCACCCTGCTTCTACCCCCTCTCATCTTCCCTTCCCTGAAAGTGGCCTTGAACCCCCACGTACTCGCTACTCGCTCACCTTGGCAGAGGTGGGTCCTTCCAGCCCCGACATGTGCTCCTTGCACCCTGCTTCTACCCCCTCTCATCTTCCCTTCCCTGAAAGTGGCCTTGAACCCCCACGTACTCGCTACTCGCTCACCTTGGCAGAGGTGGGTCCTTCCAGCCCCGACATGTGCTCCTTGCACCCTGCTTCTACCCCCTCTCATCTTCCCTTCCCTGAAAGTGGCCTTGAACCCCCACGTACTCGCTACTCGCTCACCTTGGCAGAGGTGGGTCCTTCCAGCCCCGACATGTGCTCCTTGCACCCTGCTTCTACCCCCTCTCATCTTCCCTTCCCTGAAAGTGGCCTTGAACCCCCACGTACTCGCTACTCGCTCACCTTGGCAGAGGTGGGTCCTTCCAGCCCCGACATGTGCTCCTTGCACCCTGCTTCTACCCCCTCTCATCTTCCCTTCCCTGAAAGTGGCCTTGAACCCCCACGTACTCGCTACTCGCTCACCTTGGCAGAGGTGGGTCCTTCCAGCCCCGACATGTGCTCCTTGCACCCTGCTTCTACCCCCTCTCATCTTCCCTTCCCTGAAAGTGGCCTTGAACCCCCACGTACTCGCTACTCGCTCACCTTGGCAGAGGTGGGTCCTTCCAGCCCCGACATGTGCTCCTTGCACCCTGCTTCTACCCCCTCTCATCTTCCCTTCCCTGAAAGTGGCCTTGAACCCCCACGTACTCGCTACTCGCTCACCTTGGCAGAGGTGGGTCCTTCCAGCCCCGACATGTGCTCCTTGCACCCTGCTTCTACCCCCTCTCATCTTCCCTTCCCTGAAAGTGGCCTTGAACCCCCACGTACTCGCTACTCGCTCACCTTGGCAGAGGTGGGTCCTTCCAGCCCCGACATGTGCTCCTTGCACCCTGCTTCTACCCCCTCTCATCTTCCCTTCCCTGAAAGTGGCCTTGAACCCCCACGTACTCGCTACTCGCTCACCTTGGCAGAGGTGGGTCCTTCCAGCCCCGACATGTGCTCCTTGCACCCTGCTTCTACCCCCTCTCATCTTCCCTTCCCTGAAAGTGGCCTTGAACCCCCACGTACTCGCTACTCGCTCACCTTGGCAGAGGTGGGTCCTTCCAGCCCCGACATGTGCTCCTTGCACCCTGCTTCTACCCCCTCTCATCTTCCCTTCCCTGAAAGTGGCCTTGAACCCCCACGTACTCGCTACTCGCTCACCTTGGCAGAGGTGGGTCCTTCCAGCCCCGACATGTGCTCCTTGCACCCTGCTTCTACCCCCTCTCATCTTCCCTTCCCTGAAAGTGGCCTTGAACCCCCACGTACTCGCTACTCGCTCACCTTGGCAGAGGTGGGTCCTTCCAGCCCCGACATGTGCTCCTTGCACCCTGCTTCTACCCCCTCTCATCTTCCCTTCCCTGAAAGTGGCCTTGAACCCCCACGTACTCGCTACTCGCTCACCTTGGCAGAGGTGGGTCCTTCCAGCCCCGACATGTGCTCCTTGCACCCTGCTTCTACCCCCTCTCATCTTCCCTTCCCTGAAAGTGGCCTTGAACCCCCACGTACTCGCTACTCGCTCACCTTGGCAGAGGTGGGTCCTTCCAGCCCCGACATGTGCTCCTTGCACCCTGCTTCTACCCCCTCTCATCTTCCCTTCCCTGAAAGTGGCCTTGAACCCCCACGTACTCGCTACTCGCTCACCTTGGCAGAGGTGGGTCCTTCCAGCCCCGACATGTGCTCCTTGCACCCTGCTTCTACCCCCTCTCATCTTCCCTTCCCTGAAAGTGGCCTTGAACCCCCACGTACTCGCTACTCGCTCACCTTGGCAGAGGTGGGTCCTTCCAGCCCCGACATGTGCTCCTTGCACCCTGCTTCTACCCCCTCTCATCTTCCCTTCCCTGAAAGTGGCCTTGAACCCCCACGTACTCGCTACTCGCTCACCTTGGCAGAGGTGGGTCCTTCCAGCCCCGACATGTGCTCCTTGCACCCTGCTTCTACCCCCTCTCATCTTCCCTTCCCTGAAAGTGGCCTTGAACCCCCACGTACTCGCTACTCGCTCACCTTGGCAGAGGTGGGTCCTTCCAGCCCCGACATGTGCTCCTTGCACCCTGCTTCTACCCCCTCTCATCTTCCCTTCCCTGAAAGTGGCCTTGAACCCCCACGTACTCGCTACTCGCTCACCTTGGCAGAGGTGGGTCCTTCCAGCCCCGACATGTGCTCCTTGCACCCTGCTTCTACCCCCTCTCATCTTCCCTTCCCTGAAAGTGGCCTTGAACCCCCACGTACTCGCTACTCGCTCACCTTGGCAGAGGTGGGTCCTTCCAGCCCCGACATGTGCTCCTTGCACCCTGCTTCTACCCCCTCTCATCTTCCCTTCCCTGAAAGTGGCCTTGAACCCCCACGTACTCGCTACTCGCTCACCTTGGCAGAGGTGGGTCCTTCCAGCCCCGACATGTGCTCCTTGCACCCTGCTTCTACCCCCTCTCATCTTCCCTTCCCTGAAAGTGGCCTTGAACCCCCACGTACTCGCTACTCGCTCACCTTGGCAGAGGTGGGTCCTTCCAGCCCCGACATGTGCTCCTTGCACCCTGCTTCTACCCCCTCTCATCTTCCCTTCCCTGAAAGTGGCCTTGAACCCCCACGTACTCGCTACTCGCTCACCTTGGCAGAGGTGGGTCCTTCCAGCCCCGACATGTGCTCCTTGCACCCTGCTTCTACCCCCTCTCATCTTCCCTTCCCTGAAAGTGGCCTTGAACCCCCACGTACTCGCTACTCGCTCACCTTGGCAGAGGTGGGTCCTTCCAGCCCCGACATGTGCTCCTTGCACCCTGCTTCTACCCCCTCTCATCTTCCCTTCCCTGAAAGTGGCCTTGAACCCCCACGTACTCGCTACTCGCTCACCTTGGCAGAGGTGGGTCCTTCCAGCCCCGACATGTGCTCCTTGCACCCTGCTTCTACCCCCTCTCATCTTCCCTTCCCTGAAAGTGGCCTTGAACCCCCACGTACTCGCTACTCGCTCACCTTGGCAGAGGTGGGTCCTTCCAGCCCCGACATGTGCTCCTTGCACCCTGCTTCTACCCCCTCTCATCTTCCCTTCCCTGAAAGTGGCCTTGAACCCCCACGTACTCGCTACTCGCTCACCTTGGCAGAGGTGGGTCCTTCCAGCCCCGACATGTGCTCCTTGCACCCTGCTTCTACCCCCTCTCATCTTCCCTTCCCTGAAAGTGGCCTTGAACCCCCACGTACTCGCTACTCGCTCACCTTGGCAGAGGTGGGTCCTTCCAGCCCCGACATGTGCTCCTTGCACCCTGCTTCTACCCCCTCTCATCTTCCCTTCCCTGAAAGTGGCCTTGAACCCCCACGTACTCGCTACTCGCTCACCTTGGCAGAGGTGGGTCCTTCCAGCCCCGACATGTGCTCCTTGCACCCTGCTTCTACCCCCTCTCATCTTCCCTTCCCTGAAAGTGGCCTTGAACCCCCACGTACTCGCTACTCGCTCACCTTGGCAGAGGTGGGTCCTTCCAGCCCCGACATGTGCTCCTTGCACCCTGCTTCTACCCCCTCTCATCTTCCCTTCCCTGAAAGTGGCCTTGAACCCCCACGTACTCGCTACTCGCTCACCTTGGCAGAGGTGGGTCCTTCCAGCCCCGACATGTGCTCCTTGCACCCTGCTTCTACCCCCTCTCATCTTCCCTTCCCTGAAAGTGGCCTTGAACCCCCACGTACTCGCTACTCGCTCACCTTGGCAGAGGTGGGTCCTTCCAGCCCCGACATGTGCTCCTTGCACCCTGCTTCTACCCCCTCTCATCTTCCCTTCCCTGAAAGTGGCCTTGAACCCCCACGTACTCGCTACTCGCTCACCTTGGCAGAGGTGGGTCCTTCCAGCCCCGACATGTGCTCCTTGCACCCTGCTTCTACCCCCTCTCATCTTCCCTTCCCTGAAAGTGGCCTTGAACCCCCACGTACTCGCTACTCGCTCACCTTGGCAGAGGTGGGTCCTTCCAGCCCCGACATGTGCTCCTTGCACCCTGCTTCTACCCCCTCTCATCTTCCCTTCCCTGAAAGTGGCCTTGAACCCCCACGTACTCGCTACTCGCTCACCTTGGCAGAGGTGGGTCCTTCCAGCCCCGACATGTGCTCCTTGCACCCTGCTTCTACCCCCTCTCATCTTCCCTTCCCTGAAAGTGGCCTTGAACCCCCACGTACTCGCTACTCGCTCACCTTGGCAGAGGTGGGTCCTTCCAGCCCCGACATGTGCTCCTTGCACCCTGCTTCTACCCCCTCTCATCTTCCCTTCCCTGAAAGTGGCCTTGAACCCCCACGTACTCGCTACTCGCTCACCTTGGCAGAGGTGGGTCCTTCCAGCCCCGACATGTGCTCCTTGCACCCTGCTTCTACCCCCTCTCATCTTCCCTTCCCTGAAAGTGGCCTTGAACCCCCACGTACTCGCTACTCGCTCACCTTGGCAGAGGTGGGTCCTTCCAGCCCCGACATGTGCTCCTTGCACCCTGCTTCTACCCCCTCTCATCTTCCCTTCCCTGAAAGTGGCCTTGAACCCCCACGTACTCGCTACTCGCTCACCTTGGCAGAGGTGGGTCCTTCCAGCCCCGACATGTGCTCCTTGCACCCTGCTTCTACCCCCTCTCATCTTCCCTTCCCTGAAAGTGGCCTTGAACCCCCACGTACTCGCTACTCGCTCACCTTGGCAGAGGTGGGTCCTTCCAGCCCCGACATGTGCTCCTTGCACCCTGCTTCTACCCCCTCTCATCTTCCCTTCCCTGAAAGTGGCCTTGAACCCCCACGTACTCGCTACTCGCTCACCTTGGCAGAGGTGGGTCCTTCCAGCCCCGACATGTGCTCCTTGCACCCTGCTTCTACCCCCTCTCATCTTCCCTTCCCTGAAAGTGGCCTTGAACCCCCACGTACTCGCTACTCGCTCACCTTGGCAGAGGTGGGTCCTTCCAGCCCCGACATGTGCTCCTTGCACCCTGCTTCTACCCCCTCTCATCTTCCCTTCCCTGAAAGTGGCCTTGAACCCCCACGTACTCGCTACTCGCTCACCTTGGCAGAGGTGGGTCCTTCCAGCCCCGACATGTGCTCCTTGCACCCTGCTTCTACCCCCTCTCATCTTCCCTTCCCTGAAAGTGGCCTTGAACCCCCACGTACTCGCTACTCGCTCACCTTGGCAGAGGTGGGTCCTTCCAGCCCCGACATGTGCTCCTTGCACCCTGCTTCTACCCCCTCTCATCTTCCCTTCCCTGAAAGTGGCCTTGAACCCCCACGTACTCGCTACTCGCTCACCTTGGCAGAGGTGGGTCCTTCCAGCCCCGACATGTGCTCCTTGCACCCTGCTTCTACCCCCTCTCATCTTCCCTTCCCTGAAAGTGGCCTTGAACCCCCACGTACTCGCTACTCGCTCACCTTGGCAGAGGTGGGTCCTTCCAGCCCCGACATGTGCTCCTTGCACCCTGCTTCTACCCCCTCTCATCTTCCCTTCCCTGAAAGTGGCCTTGAACCCCCACGTACTCGCTACTCGCTCACCTTGGCAGAGGTGGGTCCTTCCAGCCCCGACATGTGCTCCTTGCACCCTGCTTCTACCCCCTCTCATCTTCCCTTCCCTGAAAGTGGCCTTGAACCCCCACGTACTCGCTACTCGCTCACCTTGGCAGAGGTGGGTCCTTCCAGCCCCGACATGTGCTCCTTGCACCCTGCTTCTACCCCCTCTCATCTTCCCTTCCCTGAAAGTGGCCTTGAACCCCCACGTACTCGCTACTCGCTCACCTTGGCAGAGGTGGGTCCTTCCAGCCCCGACATGTGCTCCTTGCACCCTGCTTCTACCCCCTCTCATCTTCCCTTCCCTGAAAGTGGCCTTGAACCCCCACGTACTCGCTACTCGCTCACCTTGGCAGAGGTGGGTCCTTCCAGCCCCGACATGTGCTCCTTGCACCCTGCTTCTACCCCCTCTCATCTTCCCTTCCCTGAAAGTGGCCTTGAACCCCCACGTACTCGCTACTCGCTCACCTTGGCAGAGGTGGGTCCTTCCAGCCCCGACATGTGCTCCTTGCACCCTGCTTCTACCCCCTCTCATCTTCCCTTCCCTGAAAGTGGCCTTGAACCCCCACGTACTCGCTACTCGCTCACCTTGGCAGAGGTGGGTCCTTCCAGCCCCGACATGTGCTCCTTGCACCCTGCTTCTACCCCCTCTCATCTTCCCTTCCCTGAAAGTGGCCTTGAACCCCCACGTACTCGCTACTCGCTCACCTTGGCAGAGGTGGGTCCTTCCAGCCCCGACATGTGCTCCTTGCACCCTGCTTCTACCCCCTCTCATCTTCCCTTCCCTGAAAGTGGCCTTGAACCCCCACGTACTCGCTACTCGCTCACCTTGGCAGAGGTGGGTCCTTCCAGCCCCGACATGTGCTCCTTGCACCCTGCTTCTACCCCCTCTCATCTTCCCTTCCCTGAAAGTGGCCTTGAACCCCCACGTACTCGCTACTCGCTCACCTTGGCAGAGGTGGGTCCTTCCAGCCCCGACATGTGCTCCTTGCACCCTGCTTCTACCCCCTCTCATCTTCCCTTCCCTGAAAGTGGCCTTGAACCCCCACGTACTCGCTACTCGCTCACCTTGGCAGAGGTGGGTCCTTCCAGCCCCGACATGTGCTCCTTGCACCCTGCTTCTACCCCCTCTCATCTTCCCTTCCCTGAAAGTGGCCTTGAACCCCCACGTACTCGCTACTCGCTCACCTTGGCAGAGGTGGGTCCTTCCAGCCCCGACATGTGCTCCTTGCACCCTGCTTCTACCCCCTCTCATCTTCCCTTCCCTGAAAGTGGCCTTGAACCCCCACGTACTCGCTACTCGCTCACCTTGGCAGAGGTGGGTCCTTCCAGCCCCGACATGTGCTCCTTGCACCCTGCTTCTACCCCCTCTCATCTTCCCTTCCCTGAAAGTGGCCTTGAACCCCCACGTACTCGCTACTCGCTCACCTTGGCAGAGGTGGGTCCTTCCAGCCCCGACATGTGCTCCTTGCACCCTGCTTCTACCCCCTCTCATCTTCCCTTCCCTGAAAGTGGCCTTGAACCCCCACGTACTCGCTACTCGCTCACCTTGGCAGAGGTGGGTCCTTCCAGCCCCGACATGTGCTCCTTGCACCCTGCTTCTACCCCCTCTCATCTTCCCTTCCCTGAAAGTGGCCTTGAACCCCCACGTACTCGCTACTCGCTCACCTTGGCAGAGGTGGGTCCTTCCAGCCCCGACATGTGCTCCTTGCACCCTGCTTCTACCCCCTCTCATCTTCCCTTCCCTGAAAGTGGCCTTGAACCCCCACGTACTCGCTACTCGCTCACCTTGGCAGAGGTGGGTCCTTCCAGCCCCGACATGTGCTCCTTGCACCCTGCTTCTACCCCCTCTCATCTTCCCTTCCCTGAAAGTGGCCTTGAACCCCCACGTACTCGCTACTCGCTCACCTTGGCAGAGGTGGGTCCTTCCAGCCCCGACATGTGCTCCTTGCACCCTGCTTCTACCCCCTCTCATCTTCCCTTCCCTGAAAGTGGCCTTGAACCCCCACGTACTCGCTACTCGCTCACCTTGGCAGAGGTGGGTCCTTCCAGCCCCGACATGTGCTCCTTGCACCCTGCTTCTACCCCCTCTCATCTTCCCTTCCCTGAAAGTGGCCTTGAACCCCCACGTACTCGCTACTCGCTCACCTTGGCAGAGGTGGGTCCTTCCAGCCCCGACATGTGCTCCTTGCACCCTGCTTCTACCCCCTCTCATCTTCCCTTCCCTGAAAGTGGCCTTGAACCCCCACGTACTCGCTACTCGCTCACCTTGGCAGAGGTGGGTCCTTCCAGCCCCGACATGTGCTCCTTGCACCCTGCTTCTACCCCCTCTCATCTTCCCTTCCCTGAAAGTGGCCTTGAACCCCCACGTACTCGCTACTCGCTCACCTTGGCAGAGGTGGGTCCTTCCAGCCCCGACATGTGCTCCTTGCACCCTGCTTCTACCCCCTCTCATCTTCCCTTCCCTGAAAGTGGCCTTGAACCCCCACGTACTCGCTACTCGCTCACCTTGGCAGAGGTGGGTCCTTCCAGCCCCGACATGTGCTCCTTGCACCCTGCTTCTACCCCCTCTCATCTTCCCTTCCCTGAAAGTGGCCTTGAACCCCCACGTACTCGCTACTCGCTCACCTTGGCAGAGGTGGGTCCTTCCAGCCCCGACATGTGCTCCTTGCACCCTGCTTCTACCCCCTCTCATCTTCCCTTCCCTGAAAGTGGCCTTGAACCCCCACGTACTCGCTACTCGCTCACCTTGGCAGAGGTGGGTCCTTCCAGCCCCGACATGTGCTCCTTGCACCCTGCTTCTACCCCCTCTCATCTTCCCTTCCCTGAAAGTGGCCTTGAACCCCCACGTACTCGCTACTCGCTCACCTTGGCAGAGGTGGGTCCTTCCAGCCCCGACATGTGCTCCTTGCACCCTGCTTCTACCCCCTCTCATCTTCCCTTCCCTGAAAGTGGCCTTGAACCCCCACGTACTCGCTACTCGCTCACCTTGGCAGAGGTGGGTCCTTCCAGCCCCGACATGTGCTCCTTGCACCCTGCTTCTACCCCCTCTCATCTTCCCTTCCCTGAAAGTGGCCTTGAACCCCCACGTACTCGCTACTCGCTCACCTTGGCAGAGGTGGGTCCTTCCAGCCCCGACATGTGCTCCTTGCACCCTGCTTCTACCCCCTCTCATCTTCCCTTCCCTGAAAGTGGCCTTGAACCCCCACGTACTCGCTACTCGCTCACCTTGGCAGAGGTGGGTCCTTCCAGCCCCGACATGTGCTCCTTGCACCCTGCTTCTACCCCCTCTCATCTTCCCTTCCCTGAAAGTGGCCTTGAACCCCCACGTACTCGCTACTCGCTCACCTTGGCAGAGGTGGGTCCTTCCAGCCCCGACATGTGCTCCTTGCACCCTGCTTCTACCCCCTCTCATCTTCCCTTCCCTGAAAGTGGCCTTGAACCCCCACGTACTCGCTACTCGCTCACCTTGGCAGAGGTGGGTCCTTCCAGCCCCGACATGTGCTCCTTGCACCCTGCTTCTACCCCCTCTCATCTTCCCTTCCCTGAAAGTGGCCTTGAACCCCCACGTACTCGCTACTCGCTCACCTTGGCAGAGGTGGGTCCTTCCAGCCCCGACATGTGCTCCTTGCACCCTGCTTCTACCCCCTCTCATCTTCCCTTCCCTGAAAGTGGCCTTGAACCCCCACGTACTCGCTACTCGCTCACCTTGGCAGAGGTGGGTCCTTCCAGCCCCGACATGTGCTCCTTGCACCCTGCTTCTACCCCCTCTCATCTTCCCTTCCCTGAAAGTGGCCTTGAACCCCCACGTACTCGCTACTCGCTCACCTTGGCAGAGGTGGGTCCTTCCAGCCCCGACATGTGCTCCTTGCACCCTGCTTCTACCCCCTCTCATCTTCCCTTCCCTGAAAGTGGCCTTGAACCCCCACGTACTCGCTACTCGCTCACCTTGGCAGAGGTGGGTCCTTCCAGCCCCGACATGTGCTCCTTGCACCCTGCTTCTACCCCCTCTCATCTTCCCTTCCCTGAAAGTGGCCTTGAACCCCCACGTACTCGCTACTCGCTCACCTTGGCAGAGGTGGGTCCTTCCAGCCCCGACATGTGCTCCTTGCACCCTGCTTCTACCCCCTCTCATCTTCCCTTCCCTGAAAGTGGCCTTGAACCCCCACGTACTCGCTACTCGCTCACCTTGGCAGAGGTGGGTCCTTCCAGCCCCGACATGTGCTCCTTGCACCCTGCTTCTACCCCCTCTCATCTTCCCTTCCCTGAAAGTGGCCTTGAACCCCCACGTACTCGCTACTCGCTCACCTTGGCAGAGGTGGGTCCTTCCAGCCCCGACATGTGCTCCTTGCACCCTGCTTCTACCCCCTCTCATCTTCCCTTCCCTGAAAGTGGCCTTGAACCCCCACGTACTCGCTACTCGCTCACCTTGGCAGAGGTGGGTCCTTCCAGCCCCGACATGTGCTCCTTGCACCCTGCTTCTACCCCCTCTCATCTTCCCTTCCCTGAAAGTGGCCTTGAACCCCCACGTACTCGCTACTCGCTCACCTTGGCAGAGGTGGGTCCTTCCAGCCCCGACATGTGCTCCTTGCACCCTGCTTCTACCCCCTCTCATCTTCCCTTCCCTGAAAGTGGCCTTGAACCCCCACGTACTCGCTACTCGCTCACCTTGGCAGAGGTGGGTCCTTCCAGCCCCGACATGTGCTCCTTGCACCCTGCTTCTACCCCCTCTCATCTTCCCTTCCCTGAAAGTGGCCTTGAACCCCCACGTACTCGCTACTCGCTCACCTTGGCAGAGGTGGGTCCTTCCAGCCCCGACATGTGCTCCTTGCACCCTGCTTCTACCCCCTCTCATCTTCCCTTCCCTGAAAGTGGCCTTGAACCCCCACGTACTCGCTACTCGCTCACCTTGGCAGAGGTGGGTCCTTCCAGCCCCGACATGTGCTCCTTGCACCCTGCTTCTACCCCCTCTCATCTTCCCTTCCCTGAAAGTGGCCTTGAACCCCCACGTACTCGCTACTCGCTCACCTTGGCAGAGGTGGGTCCTTCCAGCCCCGACATGTGCTCCTTGCACCCTGCTTCTACCCCCTCTCATCTTCCCTTCCCTGAAAGTGGCCTTGAACCCCCACGTACTCGCTACTCGCTCACCTTGGCAGAGGTGGGTCCTTCCAGCCCCGACATGTGCTCCTTGCACCCTGCTTCTACCCCCTCTCATCTTCCCTTCCCTGAAAGTGGCCTTGAACCCCCACGTACTCGCTACTCGCTCACCTTGGCAGAGGTGGGTCCTTCCAGCCCCGACATGTGCTCCTTGCACCCTGCTTCTACCCCCTCTCATCTTCCCTTCCCTGAAAGTGGCCTTGAACCCCCACGTACTCGCTACTCGCTCACCTTGGCAGAGGTGGGTCCTTCCAGCCCCGACATGTGCTCCTTGCACCCTGCTTCTACCCCCTCTCATCTTCCCTTCCCTGAAAGTGGCCTTGAACCCCCACGTACTCGCTACTCGCTCACCTTGGCAGAGGTGGGTCCTTCCAGCCCCGACATGTGCTCCTTGCACCCTGCTTCTACCCCCTCTCATCTTCCCTTCCCTGAAAGTGGCCTTGAACCCCCACGTACTCGCTACTCGCTCACCTTGGCAGAGGTGGGTCCTTCCAGCCCCGACATGTGCTCCTTGCACCCTGCTTCTACCCCCTCTCATCTTCCCTTCCCTGAAAGTGGCCTTGAACCCCCACGTACTCGCTACTCGCTCACCTTGGCAGAGGTGGGTCCTTCCAGCCCCGACATGTGCTCCTTGCACCCTGCTTCTACCCCCTCTCATCTTCCCTTCCCTGAAAGTGGCCTTGAACCCCCACGTACTCGCTACTCGCTCACCTTGGCAGAGGTGGGTCCTTCCAGCCCCGACATGTGCTCCTTGCACCCTGCTTCTACCCCCTCTCATCTTCCCTTCCCTGAAAGTGGCCTTGAACCCCCACGTACTCGCTACTCGCTCACCTTGGCAGAGGTGGGTCCTTCCAGCCCCGACATGTGCTCCTTGCACCCTGCTTCTACCCCCTCTCATCTTCCCTTCCCTGAAAGTGGCCTTGAACCCCCACGTACTCGCTACTCGCTCACCTTGGCAGAGGTGGGTCCTTCCAGCCCCGACATGTGCTCCTTGCACCCTGCTTCTACCCCCTCTCATCTTCCCTTCCCTGAAAGTGGCCTTGAACCCCCACGTACTCGCTACTCGCTCACCTTGGCAGAGGTGGGTCCTTCCAGCCCCGACATGTGCTCCTTGCACCCTGCTTCTACCCCCTCTCATCTTCCCTTCCCTGAAAGTGGCCTTGAACCCCCACGTACTCGCTACTCGCTCACCTTGGCAGAGGTGGGTCCTTCCAGCCCCGACATGTGCTCCTTGCACCCTGCTTCTACCCCCTCTCATCTTCCCTTCCCTGAAAGTGGCCTTGAACCCCCACGTACTCGCTACTCGCTCACCTTGGCAGAGGTGGGTCCTTCCAGCCCCGACATGTGCTCCTTGCACCCTGCTTCTACCCCCTCTCATCTTCCCTTCCCTGAAAGTGGCCTTGAACCCCCACGTACTCGCTACTCGCTCACCTTGGCAGAGGTGGGTCCTTCCAGCCCCGACATGTGCTCCTTGCACCCTGCTTCTACCCCCTCTCATCTTCCCTTCCCTGAAAGTGGCCTTGAACCCCCACGTACTCGCTACTCGCTCACCTTGGCAGAGGTGGGTCCTTCCAGCCCCGACATGTGCTCCTTGCACCCTGCTTCTACCCCCTCTCATCTTCCCTTCCCTGAAAGTGGCCTTGAACCCCCACGTACTCGCTACTCGCTCACCTTGGCAGAGGTGGGTCCTTCCAGCCCCGACATGTGCTCCTTGCACCCTGCTTCTACCCCCTCTCATCTTCCCTTCCCTGAAAGTGGCCTTGAACCCCCACGTACTCGCTACTCGCTCACCTTGGCAGAGGTGGGTCCTTCCAGCCCCGACATGTGCTCCTTGCACCCTGCTTCTACCCCCTCTCATCTTCCCTTCCCTGAAAGTGGCCTTGAACCCCCACGTACTCGCTACTCGCTCACCTTGGCAGAGGTGGGTCCTTCCAGCCCCGACATGTGCTCCTTGCACCCTGCTTCTACCCCCTCTCATCTTCCCTTCCCTGAAAGTGGCCTTGAACCCCCACGTACTCGCTACTCGCTCACCTTGGCAGAGGTGGGTCCTTCCAGCCCCGACATGTGCTCCTTGCACCCTGCTTCTACCCCCTCTCATCTTCCCTTCCCTGAAAGTGGCCTTGAACCCCCACGTACTCGCTACTCGCTCACCTTGGCAGAGGTGGGTCCTTCCAGCCCCGACATGTGCTCCTTGCACCCTGCTTCTACCCCCTCTCATCTTCCCTTCCCTGAAAGTGGCCTTGAACCCCCACGTACTCGCTACTCGCTCACCTTGGCAGAGGTGGGTCCTTCCAGCCCCGACATGTGCTCCTTGCACCCTGCTTCTACCCCCTCTCATCTTCCCTTCCCTGAAAGTGGCCTTGAACCCCCACGTACTCGCTACTCGCTCACCTTGGCAGAGGTGGGTCCTTCCAGCCCCGACATGTGCTCCTTGCACCCTGCTTCTACCCCCTCTCATCTTCCCTTCCCTGAAAGTGGCCTTGAACCCCCACGTACTCGCTACTCGCTCACCTTGGCAGAGGTGGGTCCTTCCAGCCCCGACATGTGCTCCTTGCACCCTGCTTCTACCCCCTCTCATCTTCCCTTCCCTGAAAGTGGCCTTGAACCCCCACGTACTCGCTACTCGCTCACCTTGGCAGAGGTGGGTCCTTCCAGCCCCGACATGTGCTCCTTGCACCCTGCTTCTACCCCCTCTCATCTTCCCTTCCCTGAAAGTGGCCTTGAACCCCCACGTACTCGCTACTCGCTCACCTTGGCAGAGGTGGGTCCTTCCAGCCCCGACATGTGCTCCTTGCACCCTGCTTCTACCCCCTCTCATCTTCCCTTCCCTGAAAGTGGCCTTGAACCCCCACGTACTCGCTACTCGCTCACCTTGGCAGAGGTGGGTCCTTCCAGCCCCGACATGTGCTCCTTGCACCCTGCTTCTACCCCCTCTCATCTTCCCTTCCCTGAAAGTGGCCTTGAACCCCCACGTACTCGCTACTCGCTCACCTTGGCAGAGGTGGGTCCTTCCAGCCCCGACATGTGCTCCTTGCACCCTGCTTCTACCCCCTCTCATCTTCCCTTCCCTGAAAGTGGCCTTGAACCCCCACGTACTCGCTACTCGCTCACCTTGGCAGAGGTGGGTCCTTCCAGCCCCGACATGTGCTCCTTGCACCCTGCTTCTACCCCCTCTCATCTTCCCTTCCCTGAAAGTGGCCTTGAACCCCCACGTACTCGCTACTCGCTCACCTTGGCAGAGGTGGGTCCTTCCAGCCCCGACATGTGCTCCTTGCACCCTGCTTCTACCCCCTCTCATCTTCCCTTCCCTGAAAGTGGCCTTGAACCCCCACGTACTCGCTACTCGCTCACCTTGGCAGAGGTGGGTCCTTCCAGCCCCGACATGTGCTCCTTGCACCCTGCTTCTACCCCCTCTCATCTTCCCTTCCCTGAAAGTGGCCTTGAACCCCCACGTACTCGCTACTCGCTCACCTTGGCAGAGGTGGGTCCTTCCAGCCCCGACATGTGCTCCTTGCACCCTGCTTCTACCCCCTCTCATCTTCCCTTCCCTGAAAGTGGCCTTGAACCCCCACGTACTCGCTACTCGCTCACCTTGGCAGAGGTGGGTCCTTCCAGCCCCGACATGTGCTCCTTGCACCCTGCTTCTACCCCCTCTCATCTTCCCTTCCCTGAAAGTGGCCTTGAACCCCCACGTACTCGCTACTCGCTCACCTTGGCAGAGGTGGGTCCTTCCAGCCCCGACATGTGCTCCTTGCACCCTGCTTCTACCCCCTCTCATCTTCCCTTCCCTGAAAGTGGCCTTGAACCCCCACGTACTCGCTACTCGCTCACCTTGGCAGAGGTGGGTCCTTCCAGCCCCGACATGTGCTCCTTGCACCCTGCTTCTACCCCCTCTCATCTTCCCTTCCCTGAAAGTGGCCTTGAACCCCCACGTACTCGCTACTCGCTCACCTTGGCAGAGGTGGGTCCTTCCAGCCCCGACATGTGCTCCTTGCACCCTGCTTCTACCCCCTCTCATCTTCCCTTCCCTGAAAGTGGCCTTGAACCCCCACGTACTCGCTACTCGCTCACCTTGGCAGAGGTGGGTCCTTCCAGCCCCGACATGTGCTCCTTGCACCCTGCTTCTACCCCCTCTCATCTTCCCTTCCCTGAAAGTGGCCTTGAACCCCCACGTACTCGCTACTCGCTCACCTTGGCAGAGGTGGGTCCTTCCAGCCCCGACATGTGCTCCTTGCACCCTGCTTCTACCCCCTCTCATCTTCCCTTCCCTGAAAGTGGCCTTGAACCCCCACGTACTCGCTACTCGCTCACCTTGGCAGAGGTGGGTCCTTCCAGCCCCGACATGTGCTCCTTGCACCCTGCTTCTACCCCCTCTCATCTTCCCTTCCCTGAAAGTGGCCTTGAACCCCCACGTACTCGCTACTCGCTCACCTTGGCAGAGGTGGGTCCTTCCAGCCCCGACATGTGCTCCTTGCACCCTGCTTCTACCCCCTCTCATCTTCCCTTCCCTGAAAGTGGCCTTGAACCCCCACGTACTCGCTACTCGCTCACCTTGGCAGAGGTGGGTCCTTCCAGCCCCGACATGTGCTCCTTGCACCCTGCTTCTACCCCCTCTCATCTTCCCTTCCCTGAAAGTGGCCTTGAACCCCCACGTACTCGCTACTCGCTCACCTTGGCAGAGGTGGGTCCTTCCAGCCCCGACATGTGCTCCTTGCACCCTGCTTCTACCCCCTCTCATCTTCCCTTCCCTGAAAGTGGCCTTGAACCCCCACGTACTCGCTACTCGCTCACCTTGGCAGAGGTGGGTCCTTCCAGCCCCGACATGTGCTCCTTGCACCCTGCTTCTACCCCCTCTCATCTTCCCTTCCCTGAAAGTGGCCTTGAACCCCCACGTACTCGCTACTCGCTCACCTTGGCAGAGGTGGGTCCTTCCAGCCCCGACATGTGCTCCTTGCACCCTGCTTCTACCCCCTCTCATCTTCCCTTCCCTGAAAGTGGCCTTGAACCCCCACGTACTCGCTACTCGCTCACCTTGGCAGAGGTGGGTCCTTCCAGCCCCGACATGTGCTCCTTGCACCCTGCTTCTACCCCCTCTCATCTTCCCTTCCCTGAAAGTGGCCTTGAACCCCCACGTACTCGCTACTCGCTCACCTTGGCAGAGGTGGGTCCTTCCAGCCCCGACATGTGCTCCTTGCACCCTGCTTCTACCCCCTCTCATCTTCCCTTCCCTGAAAGTGGCCTTGAACCCCCACGTACTCGCTACTCGCTCACCTTGGCAGAGGTGGGTCCTTCCAGCCCCGACATGTGCTCCTTGCACCCTGCTTCTACCCCCTCTCATCTTCCCTTCCCTGAAAGTGGCCTTGAACCCCCACGTACTCGCTACTCGCTCACCTTGGCAGAGGTGGGTCCTTCCAGCCCCGACATGTGCTCCTTGCACCCTGCTTCTACCCCCTCTCATCTTCCCTTCCCTGAAAGTGGCCTTGAACCCCCACGTACTCGCTACTCGCTCACCTTGGCAGAGGTGGGTCCTTCCAGCCCCGACATGTGCTCCTTGCACCCTGCTTCTACCCCCTCTCATCTTCCCTTCCCTGAAAGTGGCCTTGAACCCCCACGTACTCGCTACTCGCTCACCTTGGCAGAGGTGGGTCCTTCCAGCCCCGACATGTGCTCCTTGCACCCTGCTTCTACCCCCTCTCATCTTCCCTTCCCTGAAAGTGGCCTTGAACCCCCACGTACTCGCTACTCGCTCACCTTGGCAGAGGTGGGTCCTTCCAGCCCCGACATGTGCTCCTTGCACCCTGCTTCTACCCCCTCTCATCTTCCCTTCCCTGAAAGTGGCCTTGAACCCCCACGTACTCGCTACTCGCTCACCTTGGCAGAGGTGGGTCCTTCCAGCCCCGACATGTGCTCCTTGCACCCTGCTTCTACCCCCTCTCATCTTCCCTTCCCTGAAAGTGGCCTTGAACCCCCACGTACTCGCTACTCGCTCACCTTGGCAGAGGTGGGTCCTTCCAGCCCCGACATGTGCTCCTTGCACCCTGCTTCTACCCCCTCTCATCTTCCCTTCCCTGAAAGTGGCCTTGAACCCCCACGTACTCGCTACTCGCTCACCTTGGCAGAGGTGGGTCCTTCCAGCCCCGACATGTGCTCCTTGCACCCTGCTTCTACCCCCTCTCATCTTCCCTTCCCTGAAAGTGGCCTTGAACCCCCACGTACTCGCTACTCGCTCACCTTGGCAGAGGTGGGTCCTTCCAGCCCCGACATGTGCTCCTTGCACCCTGCTTCTACCCCCTCTCATCTTCCCTTCCCTGAAAGTGGCCTTGAACCCCCACGTACTCGCTACTCGCTCACCTTGGCAGAGGTGGGTCCTTCCAGCCCCGACATGTGCTCCTTGCACCCTGCTTCTACCCCCTCTCATCTTCCCTTCCCTGAAAGTGGCCTTGAACCCCCACGTACTCGCTACTCGCTCACCTTGGCAGAGGTGGGTCCTTCCAGCCCCGACATGTGCTCCTTGCACCCTGCTTCTACCCCCTCTCATCTTCCCTTCCCTGAAAGTGGCCTTGAACCCCCACGTACTCGCTACTCGCTCACCTTGGCAGAGGTGGGTCCTTCCAGCCCCGACATGTGCTCCTTGCACCCTGCTTCTACCCCCTCTCATCTTCCCTTCCCTGAAAGTGGCCTTGAACCCCCACGTACTCGCTACTCGCTCACCTTGGCAGAGGTGGGTCCTTCCAGCCCCGACATGTGCTCCTTGCACCCTGCTTCTACCCCCTCTCATCTTCCCTTCCCTGAAAGTGGCCTTGAACCCCCACGTACTCGCTACTCGCTCACCTTGGCAGAGGTGGGTCCTTCCAGCCCCGACATGTGCTCCTTGCACCCTGCTTCTACCCCCTCTCATCTTCCCTTCCCTGAAAGTGGCCTTGAACCCCCACGTACTCGCTACTCGCTCACCTTGGCAGAGGTGGGTCCTTCCAGCCCCGACATGTGCTCCTTGCACCCTGCTTCTACCCCCTCTCATCTTCCCTTCCCTGAAAGTGGCCTTGAACCCCCACGTACTCGCTACTCGCTCACCTTGGCAGAGGTGGGTCCTTCCAGCCCCGACATGTGCTCCTTGCACCCTGCTTCTACCCCCTCTCATCTTCCCTTCCCTGAAAGTGGCCTTGAACCCCCACGTACTCGCTACTCGCTCACCTTGGCAGAGGTGGGTCCTTCCAGCCCCGACATGTGCTCCTTGCACCCTGCTTCTACCCCCTCTCATCTTCCCTTCCCTGAAAGTGGCCTTGAACCCCCACGTACTCGCTACTCGCTCACCTTGGCAGAGGTGGGTCCTTCCAGCCCCGACATGTGCTCCTTGCACCCTGCTTCTACCCCCTCTCATCTTCCCTTCCCTGAAAGTGGCCTTGAACCCCCACGTACTCGCTACTCGCTCACCTTGGCAGAGGTGGGTCCTTCCAGCCCCGACATGTGCTCCTTGCACCCTGCTTCTACCCCCTCTCATCTTCCCTTCCCTGAAAGTGGCCTTGAACCCCCACGTACTCGCTACTCGCTCACCTTGGCAGAGGTGGGTCCTTCCAGCCCCGACATGTGCTCCTTGCACCCTGCTTCTACCCCCTCTCATCTTCCCTTCCCTGAAAGTGGCCTTGAACCCCCACGTACTCGCTACTCGCTCACCTTGGCAGAGGTGGGTCCTTCCAGCCCCGACATGTGCTCCTTGCACCCTGCTTCTACCCCCTCTCATCTTCCCTTCCCTGAAAGTGGCCTTGAACCCCCACGTACTCGCTACTCGCTCACCTTGGCAGAGGTGGGTCCTTCCAGCCCCGACATGTGCTCCTTGCACCCTGCTTCTACCCCCTCTCATCTTCCCTTCCCTGAAAGTGGCCTTGAACCCCCACGTACTCGCTACTCGCTCACCTTGGCAGAGGTGGGTCCTTCCAGCCCCGACATGTGCTCCTTGCACCCTGCTTCTACCCCCTCTCATCTTCCCTTCCCTGAAAGTGGCCTTGAACCCCCACGTACTCGCTACTCGCTCACCTTGGCAGAGGTGGGTCCTTCCAGCCCCGACATGTGCTCCTTGCACCCTGCTTCTACCCCCTCTCATCTTCCCTTCCCTGAAAGTGGCCTTGAACCCCCACGTACTCGCTACTCGCTCACCTTGGCAGAGGTGGGTCCTTCCAGCCCCGACATGTGCTCCTTGCACCCTGCTTCTACCCCCTCTCATCTTCCCTTCCCTGAAAGTGGCCTTGAACCCCCACGTACTCGCTACTCGCTCACCTTGGCAGAGGTGGGTCCTTCCAGCCCCGACATGTGCTCCTTGCACCCTGCTTCTACCCCCTCTCATCTTCCCTTCCCTGAAAGTGGCCTTGAACCCCCACGTACTCGCTACTCGCTCACCTTGGCAGAGGTGGGTCCTTCCAGCCCCGACATGTGCTCCTTGCACCCTGCTTCTACCCCCTCTCATCTTCCCTTCCCTGAAAGTGGCCTTGAACCCCCACGTACTCGCTACTCGCTCACCTTGGCAGAGGTGGGTCCTTCCAGCCCCGACATGTGCTCCTTGCACCCTGCTTCTACCCCCTCTCATCTTCCCTTCCCTGAAAGTGGCCTTGAACCCCCACGTACTCGCTACTCGCTCACCTTGGCAGAGGTGGGTCCTTCCAGCCCCGACATGTGCTCCTTGCACCCTGCTTCTACCCCCTCTCATCTTCCCTTCCCTGAAAGTGGCCTTGAACCCCCACGTACTCGCTACTCGCTCACCTTGGCAGAGGTGGGTCCTTCCAGCCCCGACATGTGCTCCTTGCACCCTGCTTCTACCCCCTCTCATCTTCCCTTCCCTGAAAGTGGCCTTGAACCCCCACGTACTCGCTACTCGCTCACCTTGGCAGAGGTGGGTCCTTCCAGCCCCGACATGTGCTCCTTGCACCCTGCTTCTACCCCCTCTCATCTTCCCTTCCCTGAAAGTGGCCTTGAACCCCCACGTACTCGCTACTCGCTCACCTTGGCAGAGGTGGGTCCTTCCAGCCCCGACATGTGCTCCTTGCACCCTGCTTCTACCCCCTCTCATCTTCCCTTCCCTGAAAGTGGCCTTGAACCCCCACGTACTCGCTACTCGCTCACCTTGGCAGAGGTGGGTCCTTCCAGCCCCGACATGTGCTCCTTGCACCCTGCTTCTACCCCCTCTCATCTTCCCTTCCCTGAAAGTGGCCTTGAACCCCCACGTACTCGCTACTCGCTCACCTTGGCAGAGGTGGGTCCTTCCAGCCCCGACATGTGCTCCTTGCACCCTGCTTCTACCCCCTCTCATCTTCCCTTCCCTGAAAGTGGCCTTGAACCCCCACGTACTCGCTACTCGCTCACCTTGGCAGAGGTGGGTCCTTCCAGCCCCGACATGTGCTCCTTGCACCCTGCTTCTACCCCCTCTCATCTTCCCTTCCCTGAAAGTGGCCTTGAACCCCCACGTACTCGCTACTCGCTCACCTTGGCAGAGGTGGGTCCTTCCAGCCCCGACATGTGCTCCTTGCACCCTGCTTCTACCCCCTCTCATCTTCCCTTCCCTGAAAGTGGCCTTGAACCCCCACGTACTCGCTACTCGCTCACCTTGGCAGAGGTGGGTCCTTCCAGCCCCGACATGTGCTCCTTGCACCCTGCTTCTACCCCCTCTCATCTTCCCTTCCCTGAAAGTGGCCTTGAACCCCCACGTACTCGCTACTCGCTCACCTTGGCAGAGGTGGGTCCTTCCAGCCCCGACATGTGCTCCTTGCACCCTGCTTCTACCCCCTCTCATCTTCCCTTCCCTGAAAGTGGCCTTGAACCCCCACGTACTCGCTACTCGCTCACCTTGGCAGAGGTGGGTCCTTCCAGCCCCGACATGTGCTCCTTGCACCCTGCTTCTACCCCCTCTCATCTTCCCTTCCCTGAAAGTGGCCTTGAACCCCCACGTACTCGCTACTCGCTCACCTTGGCAGAGGTGGGTCCTTCCAGCCCCGACATGTGCTCCTTGCACCCTGCTTCTACCCCCTCTCATCTTCCCTTCCCTGAAAGTGGCCTTGAACCCCCACGTACTCGCTACTCGCTCACCTTGGCAGAGGTGGGTCCTTCCAGCCCCGACATGTGCTCCTTGCACCCTGCTTCTACCCCCTCTCATCTTCCCTTCCCTGAAAGTGGCCTTGAACCCCCACGTACTCGCTACTCGCTCACCTTGGCAGAGGTGGGTCCTTCCAGCCCCGACATGTGCTCCTTGCACCCTGCTTCTACCCCCTCTCATCTTCCCTTCCCTGAAAGTGGCCTTGAACCCCCACGTACTCGCTACTCGCTCACCTTGGCAGAGGTGGGTCCTTCCAGCCCCGACATGTGCTCCTTGCACCCTGCTTCTACCCCCTCTCATCTTCCCTTCCCTGAAAGTGGCCTTGAACCCCCACGTACTCGCTACTCGCTCACCTTGGCAGAGGTGGGTCCTTCCAGCCCCGACATGTGCTCCTTGCACCCTGCTTCTACCCCCTCTCATCTTCCCTTCCCTGAAAGTGGCCTTGAACCCCCACGTACTCGCTACTCGCTCACCTTGGCAGAGGTGGGTCCTTCCAGCCCCGACATGTGCTCCTTGCACCCTGCTTCTACCCCCTCTCATCTTCCCTTCCCTGAAAGTGGCCTTGAACCCCCACGTACTCGCTACTCGCTCACCTTGGCAGAGGTGGGTCCTTCCAGCCCCGACATGTGCTCCTTGCACCCTGCTTCTACCCCCTCTCATCTTCCCTTCCCTGAAAGTGGCCTTGAACCCCCACGTACTCGCTACTCGCTCACCTTGGCAGAGGTGGGTCCTTCCAGCCCCGACATGTGCTCCTTGCACCCTGCTTCTACCCCCTCTCATCTTCCCTTCCCTGAAAGTGGCCTTGAACCCCCACGTACTCGCTACTCGCTCACCTTGGCAGAGGTGGGTCCTTCCAGCCCCGACATGTGCTCCTTGCACCCTGCTTCTACCCCCTCTCATCTTCCCTTCCCTGAAAGTGGCCTTGAACCCCCACGTACTCGCTACTCGCTCACCTTGGCAGAGGTGGGTCCTTCCAGCCCCGACATGTGCTCCTTGCACCCTGCTTCTACCCCCTCTCATCTTCCCTTCCCTGAAAGTGGCCTTGAACCCCCACGTACTCGCTACTCGCTCACCTTGGCAGAGGTGGGTCCTTCCAGCCCCGACATGTGCTCCTTGCACCCTGCTTCTACCCCCTCTCATCTTCCCTTCCCTGAAAGTGGCCTTGAACCCCCACGTACTCGCTACTCGCTCACCTTGGCAGAGGTGGGTCCTTCCAGCCCCGACATGTGCTCCTTGCACCCTGCTTCTACCCCCTCTCATCTTCCCTTCCCTGAAAGTGGCCTTGAACCCCCACGTACTCGCTACTCGCTCACCTTGGCAGAGGTGGGTCCTTCCAGCCCCGACATGTGCTCCTTGCACCCTGCTTCTACCCCCTCTCATCTTCCCTTCCCTGAAAGTGGCCTTGAACCCCCACGTACTCGCTACTCGCTCACCTTGGCAGAGGTGGGTCCTTCCAGCCCCGACATGTGCTCCTTGCACCCTGCTTCTACCCCCTCTCATCTTCCCTTCCCTGAAAGTGGCCTTGAACCCCCACGTACTCGCTACTCGCTCACCTTGGCAGAGGTGGGTCCTTCCAGCCCCGACATGTGCTCCTTGCACCCTGCTTCTACCCCCTCTCATCTTCCCTTCCCTGAAAGTGGCCTTGAACCCCCACGTACTCGCTACTCGCTCACCTTGGCAGAGGTGGGTCCTTCCAGCCCCGACATGTGCTCCTTGCACCCTGCTTCTACCCCCTCTCATCTTCCCTTCCCTGAAAGTGGCCTTGAACCCCCACGTACTCGCTACTCGCTCACCTTGGCAGAGGTGGGTCCTTCCAGCCCCGACATGTGCTCCTTGCACCCTGCTTCTACCCCCTCTCATCTTCCCTTCCCTGAAAGTGGCCTTGAACCCCCACGTACTCGCTACTCGCTCACCTTGGCAGAGGTGGGTCCTTCCAGCCCCGACATGTGCTCCTTGCACCCTGCTTCTACCCCCTCTCATCTTCCCTTCCCTGAAAGTGGCCTTGAACCCCCACGTACTCGCTACTCGCTCACCTTGGCAGAGGTGGGTCCTTCCAGCCCCGACATGTGCTCCTTGCACCCTGCTTCTACCCCCTCTCATCTTCCCTTCCCTGAAAGTGGCCTTGAACCCCCACGTACTCGCTACTCGCTCACCTTGGCAGAGGTGGGTCCTTCCAGCCCCGACATGTGCTCCTTGCACCCTGCTTCTACCCCCTCTCATCTTCCCTTCCCTGAAAGTGGCCTTGAACCCCCACGTACTCGCTACTCGCTCACCTTGGCAGAGGTGGGTCCTTCCAGCCCCGACATGTGCTCCTTGCACCCTGCTTCTACCCCCTCTCATCTTCCCTTCCCTGAAAGTGGCCTTGAACCCCCACGTACTCGCTACTCGCTCACCTTGGCAGAGGTGGGTCCTTCCAGCCCCGACATGTGCTCCTTGCACCCTGCTTCTACCCCCTCTCATCTTCCCTTCCCTGAAAGTGGCCTTGAACCCCCACGTACTCGCTACTCGCTCACCTTGGCAGAGGTGGGTCCTTCCAGCCCCGACATGTGCTCCTTGCACCCTGCTTCTACCCCCTCTCATCTTCCCTTCCCTGAAAGTGGCCTTGAACCCCCACGTACTCGCTACTCGCTCACCTTGGCAGAGGTGGGTCCTTCCAGCCCCGACATGTGCTCCTTGCACCCTGCTTCTACCCCCTCTCATCTTCCCTTCCCTGAAAGTGGCCTTGAACCCCCACGTACTCGCTACTCGCTCACCTTGGCAGAGGTGGGTCCTTCCAGCCCCGACATGTGCTCCTTGCACCCTGCTTCTACCCCCTCTCATCTTCCCTTCCCTGAAAGTGGCCTTGAACCCCCACGTACTCGCTACTCGCTCACCTTGGCAGAGGTGGGTCCTTCCAGCCCCGACATGTGCTCCTTGCACCCTGCTTCTACCCCCTCTCATCTTCCCTTCCCTGAAAGTGGCCTTGAACCCCCACGTACTCGCTACTCGCTCACCTTGGCAGAGGTGGGTCCTTCCAGCCCCGACATGTGCTCCTTGCACCCTGCTTCTACCCCCTCTCATCTTCCCTTCCCTGAAAGTGGCCTTGAACCCCCACGTACTCGCTACTCGCTCACCTTGGCAGAGGTGGGTCCTTCCAGCCCCGACATGTGCTCCTTGCACCCTGCTTCTACCCCCTCTCATCTTCCCTTCCCTGAAAGTGGCCTTGAACCCCCACGTACTCGCTACTCGCTCACCTTGGCAGAGGTGGGTCCTTCCAGCCCCGACATGTGCTCCTTGCACCCTGCTTCTACCCCCTCTCATCTTCCCTTCCCTGAAAGTGGCCTTGAACCCCCACGTACTCGCTACTCGCTCACCTTGGCAGAGGTGGGTCCTTCCAGCCCCGACATGTGCTCCTTGCACCCTGCTTCTACCCCCTCTCATCTTCCCTTCCCTGAAAGTGGCCTTGAACCCCCACGTACTCGCTACTCGCTCACCTTGGCAGAGGTGGGTCCTTCCAGCCCCGACATGTGCTCCTTGCACCCTGCTTCTACCCCCTCTCATCTTCCCTTCCCTGAAAGTGGCCTTGAACCCCCACGTACTCGCTACTCGCTCACCTTGGCAGAGGTGGGTCCTTCCAGCCCCGACATGTGCTCCTTGCACCCTGCTTCTACCCCCTCTCATCTTCCCTTCCCTGAAAGTGGCCTTGAACCCCCACGTACTCGCTACTCGCTCACCTTGGCAGAGGTGGGTCCTTCCAGCCCCGACATGTGCTCCTTGCACCCTGCTTCTACCCCCTCTCATCTTCCCTTCCCTGAAAGTGGCCTTGAACCCCCACGTACTCGCTACTCGCTCACCTTGGCAGAGGTGGGTCCTTCCAGCCCCGACATGTGCTCCTTGCACCCTGCTTCTACCCCCTCTCATCTTCCCTTCCCTGAAAGTGGCCTTGAACCCCCACGTACTCGCTACTCGCTCACCTTGGCAGAGGTGGGTCCTTCCAGCCCCGACATGTGCTCCTTGCACCCTGCTTCTACCCCCTCTCATCTTCCCTTCCCTGAAAGTGGCCTTGAACCCCCACGTACTCGCTACTCGCTCACCTTGGCAGAGGTGGGTCCTTCCAGCCCCGACATGTGCTCCTTGCACCCTGCTTCTACCCCCTCTCATCTTCCCTTCCCTGAAAGTGGCCTTGAACCCCCACGTACTCGCTACTCGCTCACCTTGGCAGAGGTGGGTCCTTCCAGCCCCGACATGTGCTCCTTGCACCCTGCTTCTACCCCCTCTCATCTTCCCTTCCCTGAAAGTGGCCTTGAACCCCCACGTACTCGCTACTCGCTCACCTTGGCAGAGGTGGGTCCTTCCAGCCCCGACATGTGCTCCTTGCACCCTGCTTCTACCCCCTCTCATCTTCCCTTCCCTGAAAGTGGCCTTGAACCCCCACGTACTCGCTACTCGCTCACCTTGGCAGAGGTGGGTCCTTCCAGCCCCGACATGTGCTCCTTGCACCCTGCTTCTACCCCCTCTCATCTTCCCTTCCCTGAAAGTGGCCTTGAACCCCCACGTACTCGCTACTCGCTCACCTTGGCAGAGGTGGGTCCTTCCAGCCCCGACATGTGCTCCTTGCACCCTGCTTCTACCCCCTCTCATCTTCCCTTCCCTGAAAGTGGCCTTGAACCCCCACGTACTCGCTACTCGCTCACCTTGGCAGAGGTGGGTCCTTCCAGCCCCGACATGTGCTCCTTGCACCCTGCTTCTACCCCCTCTCATCTTCCCTTCCCTGAAAGTGGCCTTGAACCCCCACGTACTCGCTACTCGCTCACCTTGGCAGAGGTGGGTCCTTCCAGCCCCGACATGTGCTCCTTGCACCCTGCTTCTACCCCCTCTCATCTTCCCTTCCCTGAAAGTGGCCTTGAACCCCCACGTACTCGCTACTCGCTCACCTTGGCAGAGGTGGGTCCTTCCAGCCCCGACATGTGCTCCTTGCACCCTGCTTCTACCCCCTCTCATCTTCCCTTCCCTGAAAGTGGCCTTGAACCCCCACGTACTCGCTACTCGCTCACCTTGGCAGAGGTGGGTCCTTCCAGCCCCGACATGTGCTCCTTGCACCCTGCTTCTACCCCCTCTCATCTTCCCTTCCCTGAAAGTGGCCTTGAACCCCCACGTACTCGCTACTCGCTCACCTTGGCAGAGGTGGGTCCTTCCAGCCCCGACATGTGCTCCTTGCACCCTGCTTCTACCCCCTCTCATCTTCCCTTCCCTGAAAGTGGCCTTGAACCCCCACGTACTCGCTACTCGCTCACCTTGGCAGAGGTGGGTCCTTCCAGCCCCGACATGTGCTCCTTGCACCCTGCTTCTACCCCCTCTCATCTTCCCTTCCCTGAAAGTGGCCTTGAACCCCCACGTACTCGCTACTCGCTCACCTTGGCAGAGGTGGGTCCTTCCAGCCCCGACATGTGCTCCTTGCACCCTGCTTCTACCCCCTCTCATCTTCCCTTCCCTGAAAGTGGCCTTGAACCCCCACGTACTCGCTACTCGCTCACCTTGGCAGAGGTGGGTCCTTCCAGCCCCGACATGTGCTCCTTGCACCCTGCTTCTACCCCCTCTCATCTTCCCTTCCCTGAAAGTGGCCTTGAACCCCCACGTACTCGCTACTCGCTCACCTTGGCAGAGGTGGGTCCTTCCAGCCCCGACATGTGCTCCTTGCACCCTGCTTCTACCCCCTCTCATCTTCCCTTCCCTGAAAGTGGCCTTGAACCCCCACGTACTCGCTACTCGCTCACCTTGGCAGAGGTGGGTCCTTCCAGCCCCGACATGTGCTCCTTGCACCCTGCTTCTACCCCCTCTCATCTTCCCTTCCCTGAAAGTGGCCTTGAACCCCCACGTACTCGCTACTCGCTCACCTTGGCAGAGGTGGGTCCTTCCAGCCCCGACATGTGCTCCTTGCACCCTGCTTCTACCCCCTCTCATCTTCCCTTCCCTGAAAGTGGCCTTGAACCCCCACGTACTCGCTACTCGCTCACCTTGGCAGAGGTGGGTCCTTCCAGCCCCGACATGTGCTCCTTGCACCCTGCTTCTACCCCCTCTCATCTTCCCTTCCCTGAAAGTGGCCTTGAACCCCCACGTACTCGCTACTCGCTCACCTTGGCAGAGGTGGGTCCTTCCAGCCCCGACATGTGCTCCTTGCACCCTGCTTCTACCCCCTCTCATCTTCCCTTCCCTGAAAGTGGCCTTGAACCCCCACGTACTCGCTACTCGCTCACCTTGGCAGAGGTGGGTCCTTCCAGCCCCGACATGTGCTCCTTGCACCCTGCTTCTACCCCCTCTCATCTTCCCTTCCCTGAAAGTGGCCTTGAACCCCCACGTACTCGCTACTCGCTCACCTTGGCAGAGGTGGGTCCTTCCAGCCCCGACATGTGCTCCTTGCACCCTGCTTCTACCCCCTCTCATCTTCCCTTCCCTGAAAGTGGCCTTGAACCCCCACGTACTCGCTACTCGCTCACCTTGGCAGAGGTGGGTCCTTCCAGCCCCGACATGTGCTCCTTGCACCCTGCTTCTACCCCCTCTCATCTTCCCTTCCCTGAAAGTGGCCTTGAACCCCCACGTACTCGCTACTCGCTCACCTTGGCAGAGGTGGGTCCTTCCAGCCCCGACATGTGCTCCTTGCACCCTGCTTCTACCCCCTCTCATCTTCCCTTCCCTGAAAGTGGCCTTGAACCCCCACGTACTCGCTACTCGCTCACCTTGGCAGAGGTGGGTCCTTCCAGCCCCGACATGTGCTCCTTGCACCCTGCTTCTACCCCCTCTCATCTTCCCTTCCCTGAAAGTGGCCTTGAACCCCCACGTACTCGCTACTCGCTCACCTTGGCAGAGGTGGGTCCTTCCAGCCCCGACATGTGCTCCTTGCACCCTGCTTCTACCCCCTCTCATCTTCCCTTCCCTGAAAGTGGCCTTGAACCCCCACGTACTCGCTACTCGCTCACCTTGGCAGAGGTGGGTCCTTCCAGCCCCGACATGTGCTCCTTGCACCCTGCTTCTACCCCCTCTCATCTTCCCTTCCCTGAAAGTGGCCTTGAACCCCCACGTACTCGCTACTCGCTCACCTTGGCAGAGGTGGGTCCTTCCAGCCCCGACATGTGCTCCTTGCACCCTGCTTCTACCCCCTCTCATCTTCCCTTCCCTGAAAGTGGCCTTGAACCCCCACGTACTCGCTACTCGCTCACCTTGGCAGAGGTGGGTCCTTCCAGCCCCGACATGTGCTCCTTGCACCCTGCTTCTACCCCCTCTCATCTTCCCTTCCCTGAAAGTGGCCTTGAACCCCCACGTACTCGCTACTCGCTCACCTTGGCAGAGGTGGGTCCTTCCAGCCCCGACATGTGCTCCTTGCACCCTGCTTCTACCCCCTCTCATCTTCCCTTCCCTGAAAGTGGCCTTGAACCCCCACGTACTCGCTACTCGCTCACCTTGGCAGAGGTGGGTCCTTCCAGCCCCGACATGTGCTCCTTGCACCCTGCTTCTACCCCCTCTCATCTTCCCTTCCCTGAAAGTGGCCTTGAACCCCCACGTACTCGCTACTCGCTCACCTTGGCAGAGGTGGGTCCTTCCAGCCCCGACATGTGCTCCTTGCACCCTGCTTCTACCCCCTCTCATCTTCCCTTCCCTGAAAGTGGCCTTGAACCCCCACGTACTCGCTACTCGCTCACCTTGGCAGAGGTGGGTCCTTCCAGCCCCGACATGTGCTCCTTGCACCCTGCTTCTACCCCCTCTCATCTTCCCTTCCCTGAAAGTGGCCTTGAACCCCCACGTACTCGCTACTCGCTCACCTTGGCAGAGGTGGGTCCTTCCAGCCCCGACATGTGCTCCTTGCACCCTGCTTCTACCCCCTCTCATCTTCCCTTCCCTGAAAGTGGCCTTGAACCCCCACGTACTCGCTACTCGCTCACCTTGGCAGAGGTGGGTCCTTCCAGCCCCGACATGTGCTCCTTGCACCCTGCTTCTACCCCCTCTCATCTTCCCTTCCCTGAAAGTGGCCTTGAACCCCCACGTACTCGCTACTCGCTCACCTTGGCAGAGGTGGGTCCTTCCAGCCCCGACATGTGCTCCTTGCACCCTGCTTCTACCCCCTCTCATCTTCCCTTCCCTGAAAGTGGCCTTGAACCCCCACGTACTCGCTACTCGCTCACCTTGGCAGAGGTGGGTCCTTCCAGCCCCGACATGTGCTCCTTGCACCCTGCTTCTACCCCCTCTCATCTTCCCTTCCCTGAAAGTGGCCTTGAACCCCCACGTACTCGCTACTCGCTCACCTTGGCAGAGGTGGGTCCTTCCAGCCCCGACATGTGCTCCTTGCACCCTGCTTCTACCCCCTCTCATCTTCCCTTCCCTGAAAGTGGCCTTGAACCCCCACGTACTCGCTACTCGCTCACCTTGGCAGAGGTGGGTCCTTCCAGCCCCGACATGTGCTCCTTGCACCCTGCTTCTACCCCCTCTCATCTTCCCTTCCCTGAAAGTGGCCTTGAACCCCCACGTACTCGCTACTCGCTCACCTTGGCAGAGGTGGGTCCTTCCAGCCCCGACATGTGCTCCTTGCACCCTGCTTCTACCCCCTCTCATCTTCCCTTCCCTGAAAGTGGCCTTGAACCCCCACGTACTCGCTACTCGCTCACCTTGGCAGAGGTGGGTCCTTCCAGCCCCGACATGTGCTCCTTGCACCCTGCTTCTACCCCCTCTCATCTTCCCTTCCCTGAAAGTGGCCTTGAACCCCCACGTACTCGCTACTCGCTCACCTTGGCAGAGGTGGGTCCTTCCAGCCCCGACATGTGCTCCTTGCACCCTGCTTCTACCCCCTCTCATCTTCCCTTCCCTGAAAGTGGCCTTGAACCCCCACGTACTCGCTACTCGCTCACCTTGGCAGAGGTGGGTCCTTCCAGCCCCGACATGTGCTCCTTGCACCCTGCTTCTACCCCCTCTCATCTTCCCTTCCCTGAAAGTGGCCTTGAACCCCCACGTACTCGCTACTCGCTCACCTTGGCAGAGGTGGGTCCTTCCAGCCCCGACATGTGCTCCTTGCACCCTGCTTCTACCCCCTCTCATCTTCCCTTCCCTGAAAGTGGCCTTGAACCCCCACGTACTCGCTACTCGCTCACCTTGGCAGAGGTGGGTCCTTCCAGCCCCGACATGTGCTCCTTGCACCCTGCTTCTACCCCCTCTCATCTTCCCTTCCCTGAAAGTGGCCTTGAACCCCCACGTACTCGCTACTCGCTCACCTTGGCAGAGGTGGGTCCTTCCAGCCCCGACATGTGCTCCTTGCACCCTGCTTCTACCCCCTCTCATCTTCCCTTCCCTGAAAGTGGCCTTGAACCCCCACGTACTCGCTACTCGCTCACCTTGGCAGAGGTGGGTCCTTCCAGCCCCGACATGTGCTCCTTGCACCCTGCTTCTACCCCCTCTCATCTTCCCTTCCCTGAAAGTGGCCTTGAACCCCCACGTACTCGCTACTCGCTCACCTTGGCAGAGGTGGGTCCTTCCAGCCCCGACATGTGCTCCTTGCACCCTGCTTCTACCCCCTCTCATCTTCCCTTCCCTGAAAGTGGCCTTGAACCCCCACGTACTCGCTACTCGCTCACCTTGGCAGAGGTGGGTCCTTCCAGCCCCGACATGTGCTCCTTGCACCCTGCTTCTACCCCCTCTCATCTTCCCTTCCCTGAAAGTGGCCTTGAACCCCCACGTACTCGCTACTCGCTCACCTTGGCAGAGGTGGGTCCTTCCAGCCCCGACATGTGCTCCTTGCACCCTGCTTCTACCCCCTCTCATCTTCCCTTCCCTGAAAGTGGCCTTGAACCCCCACGTACTCGCTACTCGCTCACCTTGGCAGAGGTGGGTCCTTCCAGCCCCGACATGTGCTCCTTGCACCCTGCTTCTACCCCCTCTCATCTTCCCTTCCCTGAAAGTGGCCTTGAACCCCCACGTACTCGCTACTCGCTCACCTTGGCAGAGGTGGGTCCTTCCAGCCCCGACATGTGCTCCTTGCACCCTGCTTCTACCCCCTCTCATCTTCCCTTCCCTGAAAGTGGCCTTGAACCCCCACGTACTCGCTACTCGCTCACCTTGGCAGAGGTGGGTCCTTCCAGCCCCGACATGTGCTCCTTGCACCCTGCTTCTACCCCCTCTCATCTTCCCTTCCCTGAAAGTGGCCTTGAACCCCCACGTACTCGCTACTCGCTCACCTTGGCAGAGGTGGGTCCTTCCAGCCCCGACATGTGCTCCTTGCACCCTGCTTCTACCCCCTCTCATCTTCCCTTCCCTGAAAGTGGCCTTGAACCCCCACGTACTCGCTACTCGCTCACCTTGGCAGAGGTGGGTCCTTCCAGCCCCGACATGTGCTCCTTGCACCCTGCTTCTACCCCCTCTCATCTTCCCTTCCCTGAAAGTGGCCTTGAACCCCCACGTACTCGCTACTCGCTCACCTTGGCAGAGGTGGGTCCTTCCAGCCCCGACATGTGCTCCTTGCACCCTGCTTCTACCCCCTCTCATCTTCCCTTCCCTGAAAGTGGCCTTGAACCCCCACGTACTCGCTACTCGCTCACCTTGGCAGAGGTGGGTCCTTCCAGCCCCGACATGTGCTCCTTGCACCCTGCTTCTACCCCCTCTCATCTTCCCTTCCCTGAAAGTGGCCTTGAACCCCCACGTACTCGCTACTCGCTCACCTTGGCAGAGGTGGGTCCTTCCAGCCCCGACATGTGCTCCTTGCACCCTGCTTCTACCCCCTCTCATCTTCCCTTCCCTGAAAGTGGCCTTGAACCCCCACGTACTCGCTACTCGCTCACCTTGGCAGAGGTGGGTCCTTCCAGCCCCGACATGTGCTCCTTGCACCCTGCTTCTACCCCCTCTCATCTTCCCTTCCCTGAAAGTGGCCTTGAACCCCCACGTACTCGCTACTCGCTCACCTTGGCAGAGGTGGGTCCTTCCAGCCCCGACATGTGCTCCTTGCACCCTGCTTCTACCCCCTCTCATCTTCCCTTCCCTGAAAGTGGCCTTGAACCCCCACGTACTCGCTACTCGCTCACCTTGGCAGAGGTGGGTCCTTCCAGCCCCGACATGTGCTCCTTGCACCCTGCTTCTACCCCCTCTCATCTTCCCTTCCCTGAAAGTGGCCTTGAACCCCCACGTACTCGCTACTCGCTCACCTTGGCAGAGGTGGGTCCTTCCAGCCCCGACATGTGCTCCTTGCACCCTGCTTCTACCCCCTCTCATCTTCCCTTCCCTGAAAGTGGCCTTGAACCCCCACGTACTCGCTACTCGCTCACCTTGGCAGAGGTGGGTCCTTCCAGCCCCGACATGTGCTCCTTGCACCCTGCTTCTACCCCCTCTCATCTTCCCTTCCCTGAAAGTGGCCTTGAACCCCCACGTACTCGCTACTCGCTCACCTTGGCAGAGGTGGGTCCTTCCAGCCCCGACATGTGCTCCTTGCACCCTGCTTCTACCCCCTCTCATCTTCCCTTCCCTGAAAGTGGCCTTGAACCCCCACGTACTCGCTACTCGCTCACCTTGGCAGAGGTGGGTCCTTCCAGCCCCGACATGTGCTCCTTGCACCCTGCTTCTACCCCCTCTCATCTTCCCTTCCCTGAAAGTGGCCTTGAACCCCCACGTACTCGCTACTCGCTCACCTTGGCAGAGGTGGGTCCTTCCAGCCCCGACATGTGCTCCTTGCACCCTGCTTCTACCCCCTCTCATCTTCCCTTCCCTGAAAGTGGCCTTGAACCCCCACGTACTCGCTACTCGCTCACCTTGGCAGAGGTGGGTCCTTCCAGCCCCGACATGTGCTCCTTGCACCCTGCTTCTACCCCCTCTCATCTTCCCTTCCCTGAAAGTGGCCTTGAACCCCCACGTACTCGCTACTCGCTCACCTTGGCAGAGGTGGGTCCTTCCAGCCCCGACATGTGCTCCTTGCACCCTGCTTCTACCCCCTCTCATCTTCCCTTCCCTGAAAGTGGCCTTGAACCCCCACGTACTCGCTACTCGCTCACCTTGGCAGAGGTGGGTCCTTCCAGCCCCGACATGTGCTCCTTGCACCCTGCTTCTACCCCCTCTCATCTTCCCTTCCCTGAAAGTGGCCTTGAACCCCCACGTACTCGCTACTCGCTCACCTTGGCAGAGGTGGGTCCTTCCAGCCCCGACATGTGCTCCTTGCACCCTGCTTCTACCCCCTCTCATCTTCCCTTCCCTGAAAGTGGCCTTGAACCCCCACGTACTCGCTACTCGCTCACCTTGGCAGAGGTGGGTCCTTCCAGCCCCGACATGTGCTCCTTGCACCCTGCTTCTACCCCCTCTCATCTTCCCTTCCCTGAAAGTGGCCTTGAACCCCCACGTACTCGCTACTCGCTCACCTTGGCAGAGGTGGGTCCTTCCAGCCCCGACATGTGCTCCTTGCACCCTGCTTCTACCCCCTCTCATCTTCCCTTCCCTGAAAGTGGCCTTGAACCCCCACGTACTCGCTACTCGCTCACCTTGGCAGAGGTGGGTCCTTCCAGCCCCGACATGTGCTCCTTGCACCCTGCTTCTACCCCCTCTCATCTTCCCTTCCCTGAAAGTGGCCTTGAACCCCCACGTACTCGCTACTCGCTCACCTTGGCAGAGGTGGGTCCTTCCAGCCCCGACATGTGCTCCTTGCACCCTGCTTCTACCCCCTCTCATCTTCCCTTCCCTGAAAGTGGCCTTGAACCCCCACGTACTCGCTACTCGCTCACCTTGGCAGAGGTGGGTCCTTCCAGCCCCGACATGTGCTCCTTGCACCCTGCTTCTACCCCCTCTCATCTTCCCTTCCCTGAAAGTGGCCTTGAACCCCCACGTACTCGCTACTCGCTCACCTTGGCAGAGGTGGGTCCTTCCAGCCCCGACATGTGCTCCTTGCACCCTGCTTCTACCCCCTCTCATCTTCCCTTCCCTGAAAGTGGCCTTGAACCCCCACGTACTCGCTACTCGCTCACCTTGGCAGAGGTGGGTCCTTCCAGCCCCGACATGTGCTCCTTGCACCCTGCTTCTACCCCCTCTCATCTTCCCTTCCCTGAAAGTGGCCTTGAACCCCCACGTACTCGCTACTCGCTCACCTTGGCAGAGGTGGGTCCTTCCAGCCCCGACATGTGCTCCTTGCACCCTGCTTCTACCCCCTCTCATCTTCCCTTCCCTGAAAGTGGCCTTGAACCCCCACGTACTCGCTACTCGCTCACCTTGGCAGAGGTGGGTCCTTCCAGCCCCGACATGTGCTCCTTGCACCCTGCTTCTACCCCCTCTCATCTTCCCTTCCCTGAAAGTGGCCTTGAACCCCCACGTACTCGCTACTCGCTCACCTTGGCAGAGGTGGGTCCTTCCAGCCCCGACATGTGCTCCTTGCACCCTGCTTCTACCCCCTCTCATCTTCCCTTCCCTGAAAGTGGCCTTGAACCCCCACGTACTCGCTACTCGCTCACCTTGGCAGAGGTGGGTCCTTCCAGCCCCGACATGTGCTCCTTGCACCCTGCTTCTACCCCCTCTCATCTTCCCTTCCCTGAAAGTGGCCTTGAACCCCCACGTACTCGCTACTCGCTCACCTTGGCAGAGGTGGGTCCTTCCAGCCCCGACATGTGCTCCTTGCACCCTGCTTCTACCCCCTCTCATCTTCCCTTCCCTGAAAGTGGCCTTGAACCCCCACGTACTCGCTACTCGCTCACCTTGGCAGAGGTGGGTCCTTCCAGCCCCGACATGTGCTCCTTGCACCCTGCTTCTACCCCCTCTCATCTTCCCTTCCCTGAAAGTGGCCTTGAACCCCCACGTACTCGCTACTCGCTCACCTTGGCAGAGGTGGGTCCTTCCAGCCCCGACATGTGCTCCTTGCACCCTGCTTCTACCCCCTCTCATCTTCCCTTCCCTGAAAGTGGCCTTGAACCCCCACGTACTCGCTACTCGCTCACCTTGGCAGAGGTGGGTCCTTCCAGCCCCGACATGTGCTCCTTGCACCCTGCTTCTACCCCCTCTCATCTTCCCTTCCCTGAAAGTGGCCTTGAACCCCCACGTACTCGCTACTCGCTCACCTTGGCAGAGGTGGGTCCTTCCAGCCCCGACATGTGCTCCTTGCACCCTGCTTCTACCCCCTCTCATCTTCCCTTCCCTGAAAGTGGCCTTGAACCCCCACGTACTCGCTACTCGCTCACCTTGGCAGAGGTGGGTCCTTCCAGCCCCGACATGTGCTCCTTGCACCCTGCTTCTACCCCCTCTCATCTTCCCTTCCCTGAAAGTGGCCTTGAACCCCCACGTACTCGCTACTCGCTCACCTTGGCAGAGGTGGGTCCTTCCAGCCCCGACATGTGCTCCTTGCACCCTGCTTCTACCCCCTCTCATCTTCCCTTCCCTGAAAGTGGCCTTGAACCCCCACGTACTCGCTACTCGCTCACCTTGGCAGAGGTGGGTCCTTCCAGCCCCGACATGTGCTCCTTGCACCCTGCTTCTACCCCCTCTCATCTTCCCTTCCCTGAAAGTGGCCTTGAACCCCCACGTACTCGCTACTCGCTCACCTTGGCAGAGGTGGGTCCTTCCAGCCCCGACATGTGCTCCTTGCACCCTGCTTCTACCCCCTCTCATCTTCCCTTCCCTGAAAGTGGCCTTGAACCCCCACGTACTCGCTACTCGCTCACCTTGGCAGAGGTGGGTCCTTCCAGCCCCGACATGTGCTCCTTGCACCCTGCTTCTACCCCCTCTCATCTTCCCTTCCCTGAAAGTGGCCTTGAACCCCCACGTACTCGCTACTCGCTCACCTTGGCAGAGGTGGGTCCTTCCAGCCCCGACATGTGCTCCTTGCACCCTGCTTCTACCCCCTCTCATCTTCCCTTCCCTGAAAGTGGCCTTGAACCCCCACGTACTCGCTACTCGCTCACCTTGGCAGAGGTGGGTCCTTCCAGCCCCGACATGTGCTCCTTGCACCCTGCTTCTACCCCCTCTCATCTTCCCTTCCCTGAAAGTGGCCTTGAACCCCCACGTACTCGCTACTCGCTCACCTTGGCAGAGGTGGGTCCTTCCAGCCCCGACATGTGCTCCTTGCACCCTGCTTCTACCCCCTCTCATCTTCCCTTCCCTGAAAGTGGCCTTGAACCCCCACGTACTCGCTACTCGCTCACCTTGGCAGAGGTGGGTCCTTCCAGCCCCGACATGTGCTCCTTGCACCCTGCTTCTACCCCCTCTCATCTTCCCTTCCCTGAAAGTGGCCTTGAACCCCCACGTACTCGCTACTCGCTCACCTTGGCAGAGGTGGGTCCTTCCAGCCCCGACATGTGCTCCTTGCACCCTGCTTCTACCCCCTCTCATCTTCCCTTCCCTGAAAGTGGCCTTGAACCCCCACGTACTCGCTACTCGCTCACCTTGGCAGAGGTGGGTCCTTCCAGCCCCGACATGTGCTCCTTGCACCCTGCTTCTACCCCCTCTCATCTTCCCTTCCCTGAAAGTGGCCTTGAACCCCCACGTACTCGCTACTCGCTCACCTTGGCAGAGGTGGGTCCTTCCAGCCCCGACATGTGCTCCTTGCACCCTGCTTCTACCCCCTCTCATCTTCCCTTCCCTGAAAGTGGCCTTGAACCCCCACGTACTCGCTACTCGCTCACCTTGGCAGAGGTGGGTCCTTCCAGCCCCGACATGTGCTCCTTGCACCCTGCTTCTACCCCCTCTCATCTTCCCTTCCCTGAAAGTGGCCTTGAACCCCCACGTACTCGCTACTCGCTCACCTTGGCAGAGGTGGGTCCTTCCAGCCCCGACATGTGCTCCTTGCACCCTGCTTCTACCCCCTCTCATCTTCCCTTCCCTGAAAGTGGCCTTGAACCCCCACGTACTCGCTACTCGCTCACCTTGGCAGAGGTGGGTCCTTCCAGCCCCGACATGTGCTCCTTGCACCCTGCTTCTACCCCCTCTCATCTTCCCTTCCCTGAAAGTGGCCTTGAACCCCCACGTACTCGCTACTCGCTCACCTTGGCAGAGGTGGGTCCTTCCAGCCCCGACATGTGCTCCTTGCACCCTGCTTCTACCCCCTCTCATCTTCCCTTCCCTGAAAGTGGCCTTGAACCCCCACGTACTCGCTACTCGCTCACCTTGGCAGAGGTGGGTCCTTCCAGCCCCGACATGTGCTCCTTGCACCCTGCTTCTACCCCCTCTCATCTTCCCTTCCCTGAAAGTGGCCTTGAACCCCCACGTACTCGCTACTCGCTCACCTTGGCAGAGGTGGGTCCTTCCAGCCCCGACATGTGCTCCTTGCACCCTGCTTCTACCCCCTCTCATCTTCCCTTCCCTGAAAGTGGCCTTGAACCCCCACGTACTCGCTACTCGCTCACCTTGGCAGAGGTGGGTCCTTCCAGCCCCGACATGTGCTCCTTGCACCCTGCTTCTACCCCCTCTCATCTTCCCTTCCCTGAAAGTGGCCTTGAACCCCCACGTACTCGCTACTCGCTCACCTTGGCAGAGGTGGGTCCTTCCAGCCCCGACATGTGCTCCTTGCACCCTGCTTCTACCCCCTCTCATCTTCCCTTCCCTGAAAGTGGCCTTGAACCCCCACGTACTCGCTACTCGCTCACCTTGGCAGAGGTGGGTCCTTCCAGCCCCGACATGTGCTCCTTGCACCCTGCTTCTACCCCCTCTCATCTTCCCTTCCCTGAAAGTGGCCTTGAACCCCCACGTACTCGCTACTCGCTCACCTTGGCAGAGGTGGGTCCTTCCAGCCCCGACATGTGCTCCTTGCACCCTGCTTCTACCCCCTCTCATCTTCCCTTCCCTGAAAGTGGCCTTGAACCCCCACGTACTCGCTACTCGCTCACCTTGGCAGAGGTGGGTCCTTCCAGCCCCGACATGTGCTCCTTGCACCCTGCTTCTACCCCCTCTCATCTTCCCTTCCCTGAAAGTGGCCTTGAACCCCCACGTACTCGCTACTCGCTCACCTTGGCAGAGGTGGGTCCTTCCAGCCCCGACATGTGCTCCTTGCACCCTGCTTCTACCCCCTCTCATCTTCCCTTCCCTGAAAGTGGCCTTGAACCCCCACGTACTCGCTACTCGCTCACCTTGGCAGAGGTGGGTCCTTCCAGCCCCGACATGTGCTCCTTGCACCCTGCTTCTACCCCCTCTCATCTTCCCTTCCCTGAAAGTGGCCTTGAACCCCCACGTACTCGCTACTCGCTCACCTTGGCAGAGGTGGGTCCTTCCAGCCCCGACATGTGCTCCTTGCACCCTGCTTCTACCCCCTCTCATCTTCCCTTCCCTGAAAGTGGCCTTGAACCCCCACGTACTCGCTACTCGCTCACCTTGGCAGAGGTGGGTCCTTCCAGCCCCGACATGTGCTCCTTGCACCCTGCTTCTACCCCCTCTCATCTTCCCTTCCCTGAAAGTGGCCTTGAACCCCCACGTACTCGCTACTCGCTCACCTTGGCAGAGGTGGGTCCTTCCAGCCCCGACATGTGCTCCTTGCACCCTGCTTCTACCCCCTCTCATCTTCCCTTCCCTGAAAGTGGCCTTGAACCCCCACGTACTCGCTACTCGCTCACCTTGGCAGAGGTGGGTCCTTCCAGCCCCGACATGTGCTCCTTGCACCCTGCTTCTACCCCCTCTCATCTTCCCTTCCCTGAAAGTGGCCTTGAACCCCCACGTACTCGCTACTCGCTCACCTTGGCAGAGGTGGGTCCTTCCAGCCCCGACATGTGCTCCTTGCACCCTGCTTCTACCCCCTCTCATCTTCCCTTCCCTGAAAGTGGCCTTGAACCCCCACGTACTCGCTACTCGCTCACCTTGGCAGAGGTGGGTCCTTCCAGCCCCGACATGTGCTCCTTGCACCCTGCTTCTACCCCCTCTCATCTTCCCTTCCCTGAAAGTGGCCTTGAACCCCCACGTACTCGCTACTCGCTCACCTTGGCAGAGGTGGGTCCTTCCAGCCCCGACATGTGCTCCTTGCACCCTGCTTCTACCCCCTCTCATCTTCCCTTCCCTGAAAGTGGCCTTGAACCCCCACGTACTCGCTACTCGCTCACCTTGGCAGAGGTGGGTCCTTCCAGCCCCGACATGTGCTCCTTGCACCCTGCTTCTACCCCCTCTCATCTTCCCTTCCCTGAAAGTGGCCTTGAACCCCCACGTACTCGCTACTCGCTCACCTTGGCAGAGGTGGGTCCTTCCAGCCCCGACATGTGCTCCTTGCACCCTGCTTCTACCCCCTCTCATCTTCCCTTCCCTGAAAGTGGCCTTGAACCCCCACGTACTCGCTACTCGCTCACCTTGGCAGAGGTGGGTCCTTCCAGCCCCGACATGTGCTCCTTGCACCCTGCTTCTACCCCCTCTCATCTTCCCTTCCCTGAAAGTGGCCTTGAACCCCCACGTACTCGCTACTCGCTCACCTTGGCAGAGGTGGGTCCTTCCAGCCCCGACATGTGCTCCTTGCACCCTGCTTCTACCCCCTCTCATCTTCCCTTCCCTGAAAGTGGCCTTGAACCCCCACGTACTCGCTACTCGCTCACCTTGGCAGAGGTGGGTCCTTCCAGCCCCGACATGTGCTCCTTGCACCCTGCTTCTACCCCCTCTCATCTTCCCTTCCCTGAAAGTGGCCTTGAACCCCCACGTACTCGCTACTCGCTCACCTTGGCAGAGGTGGGTCCTTCCAGCCCCGACATGTGCTCCTTGCACCCTGCTTCTACCCCCTCTCATCTTCCCTTCCCTGAAAGTGGCCTTGAACCCCCACGTACTCGCTACTCGCTCACCTTGGCAGAGGTGGGTCCTTCCAGCCCCGACATGTGCTCCTTGCACCCTGCTTCTACCCCCTCTCATCTTCCCTTCCCTGAAAGTGGCCTTGAACCCCCACGTACTCGCTACTCGCTCACCTTGGCAGAGGTGGGTCCTTCCAGCCCCGACATGTGCTCCTTGCACCCTGCTTCTACCCCCTCTCATCTTCCCTTCCCTGAAAGTGGCCTTGAACCCCCACGTACTCGCTACTCGCTCACCTTGGCAGAGGTGGGTCCTTCCAGCCCCGACATGTGCTCCTTGCACCCTGCTTCTACCCCCTCTCATCTTCCCTTCCCTGAAAGTGGCCTTGAACCCCCACGTACTCGCTACTCGCTCACCTTGGCAGAGGTGGGTCCTTCCAGCCCCGACATGTGCTCCTTGCACCCTGCTTCTACCCCCTCTCATCTTCCCTTCCCTGAAAGTGGCCTTGAACCCCCACGTACTCGCTACTCGCTCACCTTGGCAGAGGTGGGTCCTTCCAGCCCCGACATGTGCTCCTTGCACCCTGCTTCTACCCCCTCTCATCTTCCCTTCCCTGAAAGTGGCCTTGAACCCCCACGTACTCGCTACTCGCTCACCTTGGCAGAGGTGGGTCCTTCCAGCCCCGACATGTGCTCCTTGCACCCTGCTTCTACCCCCTCTCATCTTCCCTTCCCTGAAAGTGGCCTTGAACCCCCACGTACTCGCTACTCGCTCACCTTGGCAGAGGTGGGTCCTTCCAGCCCCGACATGTGCTCCTTGCACCCTGCTTCTACCCCCTCTCATCTTCCCTTCCCTGAAAGTGGCCTTGAACCCCCACGTACTCGCTACTCGCTCACCTTGGCAGAGGTGGGTCCTTCCAGCCCCGACATGTGCTCCTTGCACCCTGCTTCTACCCCCTCTCATCTTCCCTTCCCTGAAAGTGGCCTTGAACCCCCACGTACTCGCTACTCGCTCACCTTGGCAGAGGTGGGTCCTTCCAGCCCCGACATGTGCTCCTTGCACCCTGCTTCTACCCCCTCTCATCTTCCCTTCCCTGAAAGTGGCCTTGAACCCCCACGTACTCGCTACTCGCTCACCTTGGCAGAGGTGGGTCCTTCCAGCCCCGACATGTGCTCCTTGCACCCTGCTTCTACCCCCTCTCATCTTCCCTTCCCTGAAAGTGGCCTTGAACCCCCACGTACTCGCTACTCGCTCACCTTGGCAGAGGTGGGTCCTTCCAGCCCCGACATGTGCTCCTTGCACCCTGCTTCTACCCCCTCTCATCTTCCCTTCCCTGAAAGTGGCCTTGAACCCCCACGTACTCGCTACTCGCTCACCTTGGCAGAGGTGGGTCCTTCCAGCCCCGACATGTGCTCCTTGCACCCTGCTTCTACCCCCTCTCATCTTCCCTTCCCTGAAAGTGGCCTTGAACCCCCACGTACTCGCTACTCGCTCACCTTGGCAGAGGTGGGTCCTTCCAGCCCCGACATGTGCTCCTTGCACCCTGCTTCTACCCCCTCTCATCTTCCCTTCCCTGAAAGTGGCCTTGAACCCCCACGTACTCGCTACTCGCTCACCTTGGCAGAGGTGGGTCCTTCCAGCCCCGACATGTGCTCCTTGCACCCTGCTTCTACCCCCTCTCATCTTCCCTTCCCTGAAAGTGGCCTTGAACCCCCACGTACTCGCTACTCGCTCACCTTGGCAGAGGTGGGTCCTTCCAGCCCCGACATGTGCTCCTTGCACCCTGCTTCTACCCCCTCTCATCTTCCCTTCCCTGAAAGTGGCCTTGAACCCCCACGTACTCGCTACTCGCTCACCTTGGCAGAGGTGGGTCCTTCCAGCCCCGACATGTGCTCCTTGCACCCTGCTTCTACCCCCTCTCATCTTCCCTTCCCTGAAAGTGGCCTTGAACCCCCACGTACTCGCTACTCGCTCACCTTGGCAGAGGTGGGTCCTTCCAGCCCCGACATGTGCTCCTTGCACCCTGCTTCTACCCCCTCTCATCTTCCCTTCCCTGAAAGTGGCCTTGAACCCCCACGTACTCGCTACTCGCTCACCTTGGCAGAGGTGGGTCCTTCCAGCCCCGACATGTGCTCCTTGCACCCTGCTTCTACCCCCTCTCATCTTCCCTTCCCTGAAAGTGGCCTTGAACCCCCACGTACTCGCTACTCGCTCACCTTGGCAGAGGTGGGTCCTTCCAGCCCCGACATGTGCTCCTTGCACCCTGCTTCTACCCCCTCTCATCTTCCCTTCCCTGAAAGTGGCCTTGAACCCCCACGTACTCGCTACTCGCTCACCTTGGCAGAGGTGGGTCCTTCCAGCCCCGACATGTGCTCCTTGCACCCTGCTTCTACCCCCTCTCATCTTCCCTTCCCTGAAAGTGGCCTTGAACCCCCACGTACTCGCTACTCGCTCACCTTGGCAGAGGTGGGTCCTTCCAGCCCCGACATGTGCTCCTTGCACCCTGCTTCTACCCCCTCTCATCTTCCCTTCCCTGAAAGTGGCCTTGAACCCCCACGTACTCGCTACTCGCTCACCTTGGCAGAGGTGGGTCCTTCCAGCCCCGACATGTGCTCCTTGCACCCTGCTTCTACCCCCTCTCATCTTCCCTTCCCTGAAAGTGGCCTTGAACCCCCACGTACTCGCTACTCGCTCACCTTGGCAGAGGTGGGTCCTTCCAGCCCCGACATGTGCTCCTTGCACCCTGCTTCTACCCCCTCTCATCTTCCCTTCCCTGAAAGTGGCCTTGAACCCCCACGTACTCGCTACTCGCTCACCTTGGCAGAGGTGGGTCCTTCCAGCCCCGACATGTGCTCCTTGCACCCTGCTTCTACCCCCTCTCATCTTCCCTTCCCTGAAAGTGGCCTTGAACCCCCACGTACTCGCTACTCGCTCACCTTGGCAGAGGTGGGTCCTTCCAGCCCCGACATGTGCTCCTTGCACCCTGCTTCTACCCCCTCTCATCTTCCCTTCCCTGAAAGTGGCCTTGAACCCCCACGTACTCGCTACTCGCTCACCTTGGCAGAGGTGGGTCCTTCCAGCCCCGACATGTGCTCCTTGCACCCTGCTTCTACCCCCTCTCATCTTCCCTTCCCTGAAAGTGGCCTTGAACCCCCACGTACTCGCTACTCGCTCACCTTGGCAGAGGTGGGTCCTTCCAGCCCCGACATGTGCTCCTTGCACCCTGCTTCTACCCCCTCTCATCTTCCCTTCCCTGAAAGTGGCCTTGAACCCCCACGTACTCGCTACTCGCTCACCTTGGCAGAGGTGGGTCCTTCCAGCCCCGACATGTGCTCCTTGCACCCTGCTTCTACCCCCTCTCATCTTCCCTTCCCTGAAAGTGGCCTTGAACCCCCACGTACTCGCTACTCGCTCACCTTGGCAGAGGTGGGTCCTTCCAGCCCCGACATGTGCTCCTTGCACCCTGCTTCTACCCCCTCTCATCTTCCCTTCCCTGAAAGTGGCCTTGAACCCCCACGTACTCGCTACTCGCTCACCTTGGCAGAGGTGGGTCCTTCCAGCCCCGACATGTGCTCCTTGCACCCTGCTTCTACCCCCTCTCATCTTCCCTTCCCTGAAAGTGGCCTTGAACCCCCACGTACTCGCTACTCGCTCACCTTGGCAGAGGTGGGTCCTTCCAGCCCCGACATGTGCTCCTTGCACCCTGCTTCTACCCCCTCTCATCTTCCCTTCCCTGAAAGTGGCCTTGAACCCCCACGTACTCGCTACTCGCTCACCTTGGCAGAGGTGGGTCCTTCCAGCCCCGACATGTGCTCCTTGCACCCTGCTTCTACCCCCTCTCATCTTCCCTTCCCTGAAAGTGGCCTTGAACCCCCACGTACTCGCTACTCGCTCACCTTGGCAGAGGTGGGTCCTTCCAGCCCCGACATGTGCTCCTTGCACCCTGCTTCTACCCCCTCTCATCTTCCCTTCCCTGAAAGTGGCCTTGAACCCCCACGTACTCGCTACTCGCTCACCTTGGCAGAGGTGGGTCCTTCCAGCCCCGACATGTGCTCCTTGCACCCTGCTTCTACCCCCTCTCATCTTCCCTTCCCTGAAAGTGGCCTTGAACCCCCACGTACTCGCTACTCGCTCACCTTGGCAGAGGTGGGTCCTTCCAGCCCCGACATGTGCTCCTTGCACCCTGCTTCTACCCCCTCTCATCTTCCCTTCCCTGAAAGTGGCCTTGAACCCCCACGTACTCGCTACTCGCTCACCTTGGCAGAGGTGGGTCCTTCCAGCCCCGACATGTGCTCCTTGCACCCTGCTTCTACCCCCTCTCATCTTCCCTTCCCTGAAAGTGGCCTTGAACCCCCACGTACTCGCTACTCGCTCACCTTGGCAGAGGTGGGTCCTTCCAGCCCCGACATGTGCTCCTTGCACCCTGCTTCTACCCCCTCTCATCTTCCCTTCCCTGAAAGTGGCCTTGAACCCCCACGTACTCGCTACTCGCTCACCTTGGCAGAGGTGGGTCCTTCCAGCCCCGACATGTGCTCCTTGCACCCTGCTTCTACCCCCTCTCATCTTCCCTTCCCTGAAAGTGGCCTTGAACCCCCACGTACTCGCTACTCGCTCACCTTGGCAGAGGTGGGTCCTTCCAGCCCCGACATGTGCTCCTTGCACCCTGCTTCTACCCCCTCTCATCTTCCCTTCCCTGAAAGTGGCCTTGAACCCCCACGTACTCGCTACTCGCTCACCTTGGCAGAGGTGGGTCCTTCCAGCCCCGACATGTGCTCCTTGCACCCTGCTTCTACCCCCTCTCATCTTCCCTTCCCTGAAAGTGGCCTTGAACCCCCACGTACTCGCTACTCGCTCACCTTGGCAGAGGTGGGTCCTTCCAGCCCCGACATGTGCTCCTTGCACCCTGCTTCTACCCCCTCTCATCTTCCCTTCCCTGAAAGTGGCCTTGAACCCCCACGTACTCGCTACTCGCTCACCTTGGCAGAGGTGGGTCCTTCCAGCCCCGACATGTGCTCCTTGCACCCTGCTTCTACCCCCTCTCATCTTCCCTTCCCTGAAAGTGGCCTTGAACCCCCACGTACTCGCTACTCGCTCACCTTGGCAGAGGTGGGTCCTTCCAGCCCCGACATGTGCTCCTTGCACCCTGCTTCTACCCCCTCTCATCTTCCCTTCCCTGAAAGTGGCCTTGAACCCCCACGTACTCGCTACTCGCTCACCTTGGCAGAGGTGGGTCCTTCCAGCCCCGACATGTGCTCCTTGCACCCTGCTTCTACCCCCTCTCATCTTCCCTTCCCTGAAAGTGGCCTTGAACCCCCACGTACTCGCTACTCGCTCACCTTGGCAGAGGTGGGTCCTTCCAGCCCCGACATGTGCTCCTTGCACCCTGCTTCTACCCCCTCTCATCTTCCCTTCCCTGAAAGTGGCCTTGAACCCCCACGTACTCGCTACTCGCTCACCTTGGCAGAGGTGGGTCCTTCCAGCCCCGACATGTGCTCCTTGCACCCTGCTTCTACCCCCTCTCATCTTCCCTTCCCTGAAAGTGGCCTTGAACCCCCACGTACTCGCTACTCGCTCACCTTGGCAGAGGTGGGTCCTTCCAGCCCCGACATGTGCTCCTTGCACCCTGCTTCTACCCCCTCTCATCTTCCCTTCCCTGAAAGTGGCCTTGAACCCCCACGTACTCGCTACTCGCTCACCTTGGCAGAGGTGGGTCCTTCCAGCCCCGACATGTGCTCCTTGCACCCTGCTTCTACCCCCTCTCATCTTCCCTTCCCTGAAAGTGGCCTTGAACCCCCACGTACTCGCTACTCGCTCACCTTGGCAGAGGTGGGTCCTTCCAGCCCCGACATGTGCTCCTTGCACCCTGCTTCTACCCCCTCTCATCTTCCCTTCCCTGAAAGTGGCCTTGAACCCCCACGTACTCGCTACTCGCTCACCTTGGCAGAGGTGGGTCCTTCCAGCCCCGACATGTGCTCCTTGCACCCTGCTTCTACCCCCTCTCATCTTCCCTTCCCTGAAAGTGGCCTTGAACCCCCACGTACTCGCTACTCGCTCACCTTGGCAGAGGTGGGTCCTTCCAGCCCCGACATGTGCTCCTTGCACCCTGCTTCTACCCCCTCTCATCTTCCCTTCCCTGAAAGTGGCCTTGAACCCCCACGTACTCGCTACTCGCTCACCTTGGCAGAGGTGGGTCCTTCCAGCCCCGACATGTGCTCCTTGCACCCTGCTTCTACCCCCTCTCATCTTCCCTTCCCTGAAAGTGGCCTTGAACCCCCACGTACTCGCTACTCGCTCACCTTGGCAGAGGTGGGTCCTTCCAGCCCCGACATGTGCTCCTTGCACCCTGCTTCTACCCCCTCTCATCTTCCCTTCCCTGAAAGTGGCCTTGAACCCCCACGTACTCGCTACTCGCTCACCTTGGCAGAGGTGGGTCCTTCCAGCCCCGACATGTGCTCCTTGCACCCTGCTTCTACCCCCTCTCATCTTCCCTTCCCTGAAAGTGGCCTTGAACCCCCACGTACTCGCTACTCGCTCACCTTGGCAGAGGTGGGTCCTTCCAGCCCCGACATGTGCTCCTTGCACCCTGCTTCTACCCCCTCTCATCTTCCCTTCCCTGAAAGTGGCCTTGAACCCCCACGTACTCGCTACTCGCTCACCTTGGCAGAGGTGGGTCCTTCCAGCCCCGACATGTGCTCCTTGCACCCTGCTTCTACCCCCTCTCATCTTCCCTTCCCTGAAAGTGGCCTTGAACCCCCACGTACTCGCTACTCGCTCACCTTGGCAGAGGTGGGTCCTTCCAGCCCCGACATGTGCTCCTTGCACCCTGCTTCTACCCCCTCTCATCTTCCCTTCCCTGAAAGTGGCCTTGAACCCCCACGTACTCGCTACTCGCTCACCTTGGCAGAGGTGGGTCCTTCCAGCCCCGACATGTGCTCCTTGCACCCTGCTTCTACCCCCTCTCATCTTCCCTTCCCTGAAAGTGGCCTTGAACCCCCACGTACTCGCTACTCGCTCACCTTGGCAGAGGTGGGTCCTTCCAGCCCCGACATGTGCTCCTTGCACCCTGCTTCTACCCCCTCTCATCTTCCCTTCCCTGAAAGTGGCCTTGAACCCCCACGTACTCGCTACTCGCTCACCTTGGCAGAGGTGGGTCCTTCCAGCCCCGACATGTGCTCCTTGCACCCTGCTTCTACCCCCTCTCATCTTCCCTTCCCTGAAAGTGGCCTTGAACCCCCACGTACTCGCTACTCGCTCACCTTGGCAGAGGTGGGTCCTTCCAGCCCCGACATGTGCTCCTTGCACCCTGCTTCTACCCCCTCTCATCTTCCCTTCCCTGAAAGTGGCCTTGAACCCCCACGTACTCGCTACTCGCTCACCTTGGCAGAGGTGGGTCCTTCCAGCCCCGACATGTGCTCCTTGCACCCTGCTTCTACCCCCTCTCATCTTCCCTTCCCTGAAAGTGGCCTTGAACCCCCACGTACTCGCTACTCGCTCACCTTGGCAGAGGTGGGTCCTTCCAGCCCCGACATGTGCTCCTTCCACTCCTCTCGGAACACCGTGAGGGCCGGCGAGGGCGGGACAAAGGACGCCATAGATATGAGGCCCTGCCAGAGAGGAGGGGGATGGGGAAGGCAGGTGAGGGGGAAAGAAGGGAACAACGCGTATGCAATGGATGCGAGGCAGGGACGCAAGAGTATGAGCCCCTGGGAGGGACAATAGACGCCCTGAATATGAGGCACTGCCAGGGATGAGAGAGGGAGAGGACGTCCTCGGGGAATGCCCCAGGGGAATTGGGGCTGGCCCATCGGGGTCAACCTTCGAACACTACCGCGATCCAGCGCTAAGTAACATCGAGGTACTAGGGCACCTCTACTCCGCCGTTAAACACCTTCTCTCGACAAACCTTTCCACCGAGGTTGCAGCCCTACTCGCCCCGTCCCGCCTTATAGCCTTCGCCAAACCAGGGGGGGGGGTACGCCCAATCGCGATTGGAGAAACATTGCTTAGGCTGGCGGCGAAAGTGGCACTCTCAGACCTGCAAGGAGAAACGCGAAAATTTTTCCTACCTCAGCAATTTGGCGTGGCAGTCCCGGGAGGTGCTGAGTTCGTCATCCATGCAGTCAGAGACCTCACCACCGTGCAGCCCTCCAGCCTAGTCCTCCAACTCGACATTGAGAACGCGTTCAACTCAGTCGAGAGGAGCGCGTTCTTCAACGCACTTATCGGCTCCCCGCTAGCCCCCCTCATCCCCTTCACACGCTCTTTCTACGCATGAGCATCACCGCTGCTGCTGGACCCATGCTTCAATTCCACGGCACTCACCAGCGGAAGAGGAGTCGCACAGGGGGATCCCCTCGCACCCCTGCTACTCGCAGCGTCTATCCAGCAGCACCTCAGGCACGTGGCAGCGGAATGGCACACATGGTGCTTGACCGCCGCCAGCATTCAACCGCCACGCCGAGAAGCCGAGTTCAACTTCCTGCTCCGACAAGCAACTCTTCCAGTCGCCCTGGGCGGGCTGGGACTTACAGACCCCACAACAGAAGCAGCACCGGCCTACCTGGCATCAACGACGGAGGCGCTACGACTGCTCCGCTCCCTTGACCTACCAGCAACCGCGGCACTGGGGGCCAACAACAACACCCTGCAGCCGTCCGCAGCGCACTCAGTAACCATCCAGGACATGGAGGGGCGCCTGCCACCGCTGGCGCTACAAAACCTCCGGGAGGAGCAGCAAACCCCGTCCCAAGACCAGCTGCAACGCGCCCTCTCTCAGGAGGTGCACGCGGCAAAGGCCGACGCCTTGACAGAGGAGTCACGCACCATCCAGTCAGCCCCCGAGATGGGTCACTCACTCCGCCTCATCAGCCTGAGAGGGGAGGGAGCGGGAGCATGGCTGCAGGCCCTACCTTTGACCCCGGACCTTTGCTTCTCACCGGGACAATTCCGAGCAGCCCTGGCCTTCCGCATGGGCATCCGACAGAATGTACCCACTGTGTGCGAGTGTGGAGAACTCGTAGCCGACTGCAGCCTACCCAACCACCTACTCCGCTGCAGCACAGGCCCCGACAGGACACGCACACACAACCAGCTAGCTTTTGCCGTGGCTAAAATGGCAAGGGAAGCACAGCTGGTGGTATACCTGGAGAACGCCATGTACTCACCGCCGGATGACCCGAAGAAAGCCGATGTGATTGTACGCGACCCGGACAGTGGAGAGACTTGGATCACAGACACCACTATCACAGACCCCGTGCTGCAGAACCGGGACCCCACAGCCCGCAAACCCCCAGGCTGGGCTGCTAGAGAGGCACAGAGGCGGAAGGAGAGGGAGTACTACCGACACACGGAACACGTGGTGTTCTGCGCCCTAGCCGTCGAGACCTACGGGGCAAACGCGCCCACCACGACTGCGTTCCTGAAGCTGCTGGCCACAGCAGCAGCTAGGAACCGGTTCAGGGCCAACCCCCTGGCGAAATCGGCCAAGAAGATGGCCTGCCACTTCAGCCAGCGCTGGTCAGTGGCCCTCCAGCGCTCCCAGGCTAATGCCCTGCACACCAAGGCCAGGGCTGGGATCGAGGCAGCGCACCCCCAGATGGCAGCGGACCCCTGGCCGCTGCACCTGGGGGACATCCTCCACACGCTGGAGGGCTAGAGGGTCACTCAGGGGGGGGGGTGAAGAGTGGTAAGTTTTGGGGCTTAAGGGATAGAGGTTATCATGGATAGCACCGCATGTTTGTACCCCTGCTGAATTAATACAAAGGACCGTTTGAGAGGAGGAAAAGACGGTTGAGTGGAGGAAGGAAAAATGGTATGAGGTGGGAACAGACAAGAGTATGAGCCCCTGGGCGAGACAATAAATGCCATGGATATGAATGAACCCCTGGCAGGGAAGAGAAGAGGGAGGGGTGGTACGACAGGTGAGTGAGAAAGAAGGGAATAATGGCATGAGGTGGGAAAAAGCAACAGTATGAGCCACTGGGCGAGGGCAGGGGAAAAGGCGGCACGGAATGATTTTCGAGGCGCCTCAAAAGGCGGCAAGGAATGAGCCCCTGCCAGGGACGAGAAGGAGGAGGAAGTGGGGGGATAGGGCTGGGCGGGCAGGGTGGAAGGGGTATAAACAACTGCACTGGGGGCATGGAAGAGGGTATCATGATACGTCCTATCATATCATGTGCGTACCTGCACTTGCGGCATGAAGGAGGCGGTGGCACCATCATATGTGAAGGACTGGAGAGACGTCGGCTCAGTCGTGATCCACACGTAGCCGCGGCTGAACATCCCCAGCTCCACCGCTGGTGAATAAGGAGGGTGGCAGGCAGGGGGATTCACAGGATAGGTGATTAAACGGGTGAGTTCCGTGGTAATCCACACGTAGCTGCGGCTGAACATCCCCAGCTCCACCGCTGGTGGGGGAAAGAGAGTGGAGGAGGCAAGGTTTGGGGGAGGCAAGGGGTTGCATAGCTAGGTGTGACGTGACTGAGAGTGTGTTCGGAAGAAGGAGGTGGGCTCGGTGCTGCTGATCCACACATAGTCGCGGATAAACATACTCTATGCTTAGCGCGCACCTGCTTTGAGCACGGCGTCAGGGCCGTCGCCCCCCGCGTGGATGATCATGACCGACGTGCGCACTTGCTGCATATAGTGTAGCTGCGACAGCGCGACTACCTGCAAGGCGACTAGTCTACATACAGGGTACCTATGCTGGAGCCTATTGCGCACCTGCTTTGAGCACGGCGTCAGGGCCGTCGCCCCCGGTATGGATGATTACAACTGAAGTGCGCACTAGCTGCATATAGCGTACGTGCATACCAGCGTTTCTACAGCGTGCGCGCACCTGCTTTGAGCACGGCGTCAGGGCCGTCGCCCCCTGCATGGATGATCATGACCGACGTGCGCACTTGCTGCATGTAGTGCAGCGCGGGTTATGAGTCTACAAACAGTGTGTACCTATTCCTGGCACGCACGTACCTGCTTTGAGCACGGCGTCAGGGCCGTCGCCCCCCGCGTGGATGATCATGACCGACGTGCGCACTTGCTGCAGCAGCTCCAGAGAGGAGCGCGCGTCGTCATACTCCCTCCCCCGCTTCAACGCCACACGCGCCACCACTGGGTGTTGCCAGCCCTGGTGGAGAGGGGAGAGACGGAAAGAAAGGGATTGGGAGTTGTCTCAGCCGCTCCAGAGAGGAACGCGCGTCGTCATACTCCCTCCCCCGCTTCAGTGCCACTCGTGCCACTATCGGGTGCTGCCAGCCCTGGTGGAGCGGGGAGATGGGAGTTGGGAGATGGGATAGACAGTAGGGAAAGGCATTGAGATCGTCTCAGGTGCTCCAGTCCAGAGAGGAGCGCACGTCGTCATACTCCGTCCCCTGCTTCAACGCCACTCGTGCCACTATCGGGTGCTGCCAGCCCTGTTGTGTGTGCATGGGGGGAAGAGAAAGACAGGGGAGAGAGGAGACGGAGAGGAGGAGAAGATGAGAGGATAGGAGAATAGGAAGGCACGTAAACGAGAACAGGTGAGTGCAGTGCAGTAAAAACCAATCGTGTAGGACGCCTTTCAAGCCCCTACCCACCTACCCCTACGCCTTTCCACCCATCTGCTCCACCCGCCCTTTTGGTTCGATCAAGGTACCTCAGAAACTTATGCGTATTGGATACGCACCCAGCGATTCTGCAGAATAATTTCGAGCACGCTGATTCCGTTCTACCCAAACCGGTCATCTGTAATCACCCCACACAGTCCCACCTATCCGTTGTCAACCCATTTGATTGCCAGCCCATCAGTCGCCCACACTCTCGCCTACCCTCTCTGCCTTCGCCTACCCATCGGTTCTGCAGGATGTTTTCGAGAACGCTGATGCCGTTCCGCCCAAACCGGTCGTCTGTGAATATGGCAACAAAGTGCTTGTAGCGGTACAGCGCCAGCAGGTCTGCGCGCAGCGACACGAATGGCCGAGGGGAGGGGGGTTGAGTGGTGGGATGGGGGAAATAAGGAGGGAGGAGAGGAAGTGATGAGGCTGAACCGAGGGTTTGGGCAAGGAAGTGCTTGCAGCGGTGCAGCGCCAGGAGGTTTGGGAGCGACAGGAGGTTTGGGAGCGACAGGAATGACCAAGTGGGGCGAGAATGGGGAGGGAGGGAGAGTGGTGGCGGGGAGGGGGGTCGGGGTAAGAAACGAAATCAAGGCAAAGTGTTTGGGTCACGAAGTGCTAGTAGGGGCACTAGGCTAGGCACGGTACGCATGAAGTAGGGCCACTGGCGTGAAGTGAAGTGGTGAAGGGGGGGGCTTGGGGTTCCAGAACAGTATGCAGAAGCTATTCACCCAGCTGTTGCCATCGCATCGCACTAGCAGCGTCACTCACCTGCTATCGCCTCCATTTTGGTGGCGTTGCTGGGCACGGGGCGCATGAAGTAGGGCCACTGGCGCGAGGTGGTAAGAAGGGGATATTGAAGGCTCCAGAATGGGCTGGAGCCGCAAGCACACTGGACATACCCCCAGCCAGACATTGCCATTGCTTTGCTCTAACAGAGACACACACTCACCAGCGATTGCCTCCATCTTGGTAGCGTCACCAGGAACAGTGCGCATGAAGTAAGGCCACTGGCGCGAGGTGGTGAGGAGGGGGTCGGTGGCGTTGGAGGCTCCAGAATGGGAAGCAAGCACCGGCTACTCCCCCCCCCAGAAAATGCCATTGCAGCAAGAGCACATCACTCACCTGCGATTGCCTCCATCTTGGTGGCGTCACTGGGAACAGTGCGCATGAAATAAGGCCACTGGCGCGAGGTGGTGAGGAGGGGGTCGGTGGCGGAGTAGGAGAGCAGGGGGATGCGCGTTGTGCCCGCCAGCCCGCTCAGCAGCGCCACCTGGCTCGACGTGGTGGGGCCGATGATGGCTATCGGCTTCTCCTCCAGCATCAGGTGCAGGCCTGGGGGGGGGCAAGGTGGGAAGATGGGAGGAGGTGAAGGAGATATGAAGTGCCTCAAAGGCTGCCAGCCCGCTCAGCAGCAGCGCACCCGGCTGCTCGTGGTGGGGCCGATGATGGCTATCGGCTTCTCCTCCAGCATCAGGTGCAGGCCTGGGGGGGGGCAAGGTTGGAAGATGGGAGGAGGTGAAGGAGATATGAAGTGCCTCAAAGGCTGCCAGCCCGCTCAGCAGCAGCGCACCCGGCTGCTCGTGGTGGGGCCGATGATGGCTATCGGCTTCTCCTCCAGCATCAGGTGCAGGCCTGTGGGGTGGGTGGGTGGGAGAGGAGAGACAGAGAAAGAGATATGAGGTGCCCCAATGGCCGCTCAGCAGCGCCACCCAGCTGCTCGTGGTGGGGCCGATGATGGCTATCGGCCTCTCCTCCAGCATCAGGTGCAGGCCTGTGTGGGAGGGGACGGGAGGAGGGGAGGAGTTTCTCATCTAAGCGCAAGAATAAGGGGAAGTATTTTCTGCAGTGGATCAAAGGCTGCTCAGCAGCACGGCTTAGCTGGACGTGGTGGGGAGGAGGTGGGGAGGAGGGAGCTTTTGAATCGACTCAAAAGTCGACTCAGACTCAAAAGAAGATTTTTTTGCAGTGCATCAAAGGCTGCTCAGCTGGACGTGGTGGGGAAGAGGTGGGGAGGGAGCTATGAGTCGAGTTGACTTGATGTATAATACCTCCGTTGCCTACTTCTTGTTATTTTCTTTCAATTTTGTGTTTCCTTCACTTGACGTCTGAGTCGACTTGACTTTTGTGTGTGTGATTATCAGCTCTGCGCACCTGCCATTTGGCCCGGGAAAGGTGTGTATGTGCAGTTGGCTGCAACCAGCTTGATCGTGACGCCTGGCAGCAGCGATGAATCATTGCTCACATGATGAACCGCCAGCTGAATGGCTGCACAGGGATGGCAAGGGGTTCAAGACGGTGAGAGGGCGACAAGGGAGGAGGGGAGGGGGGGGATGCACAAAGGGAACGGAAAAAAGGTGAAGCTTAGGTGCAGTTGGCTGCAACCAGCTTGATTTTGATGCCTAGCAGCAGCGAGGAATCATTGCTCACATGATGAACCGCCAGTTGAATGGCTGCACAGGGATGGCAAGGGGTTCAAGGCGGTGAGCGTTCGGCATCATATCTGGAAAAGAGAGGGATGGGTGGAGGACGGGGGAGGAGGAGAGAGATGGGTGGAAGGAGGAATCAACGAACGGCTGAGCGCGACGGAGCGTCTTATCAAAGCAGCCTGTGCAAATGAGCGTCGGCTTAACGTGCCGTGCGAGAGCTGTCGTCCGACGACTGACACATGGATGATAGTTTACATTTGGGTGAGTGACTTTTGGGTAGGTGACTCTTACTAGGTCTTATTTTGAACCTTGAAGACGAGATACCCGTAATTTACGTCATGATAAATTAAGATTATGATTGACAATCTTCATGATTTCGATAAGTCCGAATCGGAATATCGGAATATGATGGTCCGAAACGACGTTCACGCGACGACGCAGTCTCATCAACCTAAGGCCGACAAGATCTATAGGACCTGATCGGAAAGGGTAACCCGGTAACCGGAAATGCACCGAAATGCACGTGATGGAGGTGGTCTTCTGACAACGGCCGGCATAATGCCTAAATGGAGGCCAATAAAGAAAGCTCGTGAGCTCAATGAGAGACGTTGTTACTGAATCTGACATCGTTACTGCGAAACTACATTGGTTCCTGAATCTGCCGAGCTGCGTTCGGTCCTCGCGTCTCACCGGAAAAGAAGGAAACCCCGTCGGCCGTGTTGAGCGGAACGAGGCATCCTATCGTTATCTCTGACGGAAAATTGTTCTTCTTGGACGGTAACTTTGACGGAACGGTACCATTCCGCGTCTCTACCCCTTCTCGCTGCTGCCGGACAGGAACGTCAGCCCAGACGGCCTTGCAGATCGACGCAATGAGGAGGACAAGCGTTATCTGGAGCAGAAGGAACCAAGCCTGCGGCGACCCCGAAGGTCGATGTCGTCTTGACATTCTGGCATTCTCCTGACGTGACAGCTATCGTCCGACTGGGATAGTATTGATCCAAACGGGCAAAAAATAAGTTATCGATTAAATACGACGTCCAGAGTGAAGCCTTGGGAACCTCGTCGCCATTAAACTAAGAAAATGCTGTCGCACTGCTGCTATCCTCAGTAAACTACAGCACGTTTGCTGTTCCAACCACCTCTCTCCCTCTTGTCGCACTTGCTTTTTTACATTTGTTATTTATTTCACGTGCAAGCTCTAAATGACAGAGCATGAAGTGAAGGTGGAGCAGGGTGGATCCGAGCTTTTGAAGGCATAATGATGGGAAGAAAGGAGAAACCTGTACAGTTTATACAACAGTACTTGCTGGAAACCTGAGAGTTGGGAGGGATTGGGAGGACAGGGAAGCCATAGCATGGAAGTCTCCCACATACTGTAACAGCAGAGAAGACTGGAAAAAATCAAGCGTTTCACATGCTTGGGTGCCCTTTCTCAACGTAATTGCTTTCCAAGTTTCTCGCAGTATCTGTCATTGGACCTCCCTCACAAAACGACCTTCGGGAAGCGTGTTCATAAGGAAGTTTCACAGCCCGTAGGTCCATAATAATGTAAGAGCCGTCCATCCTGTACTGAACCTTCTTGCGACCTACCGTTCAAGTTCCCTTTTCCGGAAACTTAGTTGAAAGAATATTCCATACATGGAATGTGAAAGGAACCTGAACAAAGTTCGCCGTCAAGTAGCTTCAAGCCCTGCCCGAATACACAAACTGTTGCGCTACAGTCTGAATCTTCCAGTGGGACACAAGACACGAAACGAACCAAGCCGAGATGTACAGTGGTCTGGTCAGTTGGAAAAAAATCGGCAAGAGCTCGCTAGTAACAACCCCGTTTCTCAGAGTACCAACTCAGTGACCACTCGTACACCAATTTAGTTACAGAATGCACAGCTGACATGCGATGCAATCTCGAGGGAGGGACACCGCCGTGCTCCTTCCACCTCAACACGGCTTTGCTAATAAAACGGGTTGAGTACGATGCTGTGCAGTTCAGAAGGGTTCGGTCACTCTACCGCACTAAACCGTTCAGTATGTGAACTCTTAACGGTGTAGACTTGTGTTTTGCGCTGCATGCTGTGTGGTGAAAGCAGGAACATCGTGGCTTCAACATGGCCTATCCCTCCTCTCCATGGGCATGTGCAATTCCACGAATTTCATGAGCCATCAGGCATGACCTCTGCAAGCATGAAGAGCACGAGACTCTTCAACCAACCCTTTCACCGAAAGAGACAATGCTGTCGACCGAGTGGAAGCGCGTCGCGTAGACGGCTTCCCAGCATACCTGGTTTTGGGATGAAAATAACTGTTCGTGTTCGTAAGCCGTCAACTGAACGCACAAGTGTCGGGTACAAGCGTAGATTTCTACTTCTGCTGGCTAACATAACAGATTCGAGCATGACAATTGGGACATGAGATCCCTCGCGTGGCTGCACTTCGAGACTGCCTGTGGAGCATTTCGCCTCTCGCCGTATCGACAACCCCGCTTCCCGCCAAGCTTGCCTCTCACGACATACAGGTCCGGCCGAAGCGAAAACTTCTTCTTGCTTCCATACCGCCGTGCCGTTCCGCCGCCACGCCTGGCAGGTCTAATTACAGCCCTGATCGCCGTACAACCGGCGTTCAATAGTACGACTGCGTCTCGAATCGCCTCACTGACGCAAGAAGCTTCTGGGAAAAGTGCTGATCAGCGACTCGCCATGGCGAAAGCAAATGATTCGCTGGGATCGCCTCAGGGGGAAACCGCGATTCTGTGGTTCCGAAAAGGTCTGCGACTCCACGACAACCCCGCTCTGCTCGCCGCTTGCGGACTTGACGAAAACGGAAACGGAAACGAACTAGATGAGGAAAGTAACAAACCGGCGGGTTCGGATTCACGAAATCTTCACATGGGGTTCGCGAAGGCGAGTGAAATGTTACCTAACGATGGCACTAAACCCGGCCTTGTTGCTGCAAGGAGCAGTACAGTCAGCACCAACACCGCCTTTGTCAAATCCGAGCCTGGCAGTGCCAGCAACAGCAACCTTGATTCTGCCGAGCCACCTTCCAATGCCACGTCGGCAATTCGTCAGCTGTGCCCCGTGTTCGTCCTCGACCCGTGGTTTCTGGCTCCTGACCCTTCAGCTCCATCCCCCGGGTCCATTCGCGTGGGAATTAACCGGATTCGGTTCCTGCTGGACTGCCTGAACGACCTGGACAGGTAATCATTGCTGGAAACATCTGTGCAACCGTTGACGCGCCTCAAATTTCGGTTCCCACTGGACTGCCTAAATGAACTAGATAGGTTTGTGTGTTTGATTCTGATCATGTGACATCTTGGTCAGATTTAGACACTCGTTTTGCATGCCGATTTTCCACGTTTTGCCTCATTCCCCTCTGTTTTCCTCACCAGCCAGCTGAAGGCCCGGGGATCTCGGCTTATACTCGTTAAAGGCGACCCCACCACAGTTATTCCGAAGCTGGTGAAACAGGTAGGCATCCGCACTGGTCAGAGAGCATATTTGGAGAAAAGTGAGTCTCGCAAAATTGAAGCAATGTTCGATTCATGCACTATCAAGCTACTCTCATGCGGTGACATGCCATGAAAAGTCAAGTCAACATGTCTAGAGAGCTATCTCCATGTCATGAGTTATTGCCCCATGTCATGAGTTATCGCACCAGGACATGAGCTGCTGATGCTCTATTGGCCGTTCATTGTTCACCGCACATGTCTGTGACTTCCGTTGTTTTTCTTTCTAATGTGAAATGTCTCAACCTCAACTTCCTTCCATTTTGCCACCTCACCTTCTTCCAGTGGGGAGCGAAGACGCTGTGCTTTGAGTTTGACACCGAGCCGTACGCCCTGTCTCGGGATGGCAACATCAAGGTGGGTTGCATGGCATGGGATGCCACCTCTCACCCTCTTACAGTGGGGAGAAAAGACGCTGTGGGAGTGAAGGCGCTGTGCTTTGAGTTTGACACCGAGCCGTATGCGCTGGCTTGGGATGGCAAGATCAAGGTGGGTGGCATGGCATGGCATGAGATGGCATGGCACGGCATGGCACAGCATGGCAAGGCATGGCATGGAGGTTGGTGATTGTGATGTGTAGGTTCACATGAGTTCTCCCTCTCTCTCTCTCTTCAACCCCTTTCTTTCCGTCACATTTTGTCGCTTGCATAACTGCTGCTCGTGTCCCTCCTGCCTGCATCCCTCACTCAGTCTCACCCATCCCAACAAAACCCCATCCTCCTTATCCCGTGCGCTTACCCTCCAGGCGAGCATGCAGGAAGCGGGGGTGCGAGTGGTAACCCCAGTCAGCCACACCATCTTCGACCCTGCTGAAATCATAAAGAAGGTGGTTGTTTCTGTGTTGGCTTATTTCTGATGTGCCTAAAAAATAGACCGAGCTGAAAATGTCAAGTTCCAATCCAACAAGGTGTCTCTTTCTGATTTTTGAGACATTTCTGAAAGGGTTGCGGTGTGGGTGTTAACCCCAGTCAGCCCCACCATCTTCAACCCAGCTGAGATCATATAGAAGGTGGTTGTTGGACAACCCACGTCTTCATCTAGACAGCCCAGTTCTGTCTTGGCTTACAGAACTGGGTTCTCTAAATCCGGTGTCCACCCGTGTCAATCGATCAAGTGAACACAACTTGTTTTCACTCTTGTCTGTAGTCACTGGTACCTCTCCAGTCTTCCTGTTTCCTCAATCACTTACGTTATGCCTCGTTTTCCCTTCTCTCCTCCGGCTCCCTCCAATCCTCAACCTCTCCCCGTTCCCCCTTCTCCCCTCCCACTTGTTCTCCTCCCCGTTTCTTCCCTCCCTCACTCTCTCCCCACTGCCTTTACTCTCTCAGAACGGAGGCAAAGCCCCCCTCACCTACCAGGCTTTCTGCAAACGAATAGGACAACCCTCACCGCCCGTGGGATCCGCTCCAGACAAACTACCGCCCCTGCCACCCCACCTCGCTCATTGCGTGACTATAAAAGCAGAAAGAGACCCAGGTCCAGGAGGAGCAGCAGAGGAAGCTGGGAAGTGCGACTATATTGAGGTCTTTGAAGTAGTGCCTACACTGAGCGAGCTGGGTTACTCGGATGCAGAATCTTTCCCAAAAGAGGTGAGTCCAGAGAAAATGTGGCTGGGGATGGGATGGATCATGGAGAAGGAAAGTAGGGTAGGGGGGCGATTAAGTTCAAGGTATTGTGATTTGCACCCGTACGCCTCATTCTAAATCTGTAGTCCTTTCTGATTTTTTTTTTTTTTTTTTTACCGAGAAAGTCACCTGCGCATCCCCCTCTATCCACCTCTTCCCCCACTTCCTCTGTTCGCCCTCTTCTCTTCCGTCCTCCTTTGCTACAGGACGTCACTCCTTTCCGAGGGGGGGAGGCAGAGGCTCTGCGCAGGCTTGACGACTGCCTCGCACGAACGGTATGCTATTCACAGCACAGCACCACCACTCTTGAGTCAACTCAAAAGTCAACAGTATGCTATGCACAGCATAGCACCACCACTCTTGAGTCGACTCAAAAGTCAACAGTATGCTATGCACAGCTCAGCACCACCACTCTTGAGTCGACTCAAAAGTCAACAGTATGCTATGCACAGCTCAGCACCACCACTCTTGAGTCGACTCAAAAGTCAACAGTATGCTATGCACAGCACAGCACCACCACTCTTGAGTCGACTCAAAAGTCAACAGTATGCTATGCACAGCACAACACCACCACTCTTGAGTCGACTCAAAAGTCAACAGTATGCTATGCACAGCACAACACCACCACTCTTCCGCAACTTTCCGAGGAGCTTCAGAGTTTTGTTTTTAGGGGCGGGCCTAAACAAAGAGTTATGAACACCACCATACCTTCTCAGTCCACTTCCCTTGACCGCTCTGGCTTGAATTTTCTGCAGAGGGATTAGGTGCGAGTGAGGTCCTTTTGAGGTGACTTTTGGGGCGCCTCAATCGGAACTAGTTTTCTGCAGAGGGATTGGCTGCGAGTGAGGTGCTTCGAGCCGGGGCTAGCTGCCTTCCTGTCTTACTTTTGGGGCGCCTCAATCAAAGCTAGTTTTCTGCAGAGGGATTAGCTGCGAGTGAAGTCCTTTCGAGGTGAATTTTGAGTCGACTCAAAAGTCTTCTGCAGAGGGATTAGCCGCGAGTGAGTGAGGTGCTTCGAGCCAAGACTAGCTGCTTGCCTGTTTTACTTTTGGGGCGCCTCAATCAAAACTAGTTTTCTGCAGAGGGATTAGCTGCGAGTGAGGTCCTTTCGAGCCGGGGCTAGCTGCTTTCCTGTTTTACTTTTGGGGCGCCTCAATCAAAGCTAGTTTTCTGTAGAGGGATTAGCTTCGAGTGAGGTCCTTGACTCAAAAGTCTTCTGCAGAGGGATTAGCTTCGAGTGAGGTCCTTGACTCAAAAGTCTTCTGCAGAGGGATTAGCCGCGAGTGAGGTCCTTTCGAGGTGACTTCTGAGTCGACTCAAAAGTCTTCTGCAGAGGGATTAGTCGCGAGTGAGTGAGGTTCTTCGAGCCAAGTCTAGCTGCTTGCCTGTTTTACGCACTCCTCTGTGTGTGTCACTAAAATGGGTGAGCCCATTTCTGTGAAGGAGTTTGAGAAGCCAAAGACCGATTTGAATCACTGCAATTCAAGCAAAGTCATCCAACCCACCTCCGCTGCTCTGTGTGTGTCACAGAAATGGGTGAAAGAGTTTGAGAAACCCAAGGGCGATCCCTCCGCCCTCGACCCTCCTGCCACCACGGTTCTCTCTCCCTACCTTAAGGTAATGTTTCCTGTCTCTAACACCCACTTTGGCTTCCTCCCTTCTTGTCTCTCATGTACGCTCACTGCCAGGATGTGCCTCCTGCCAATTCCAACCGTTTCTTCTTCCCATTCTCTTTTCCCCTGTCTTTCCCCCATCCCCCCCCCCCCCCTGCCCACCTCTGCTACACCCAGTTTGGCTGCCTCTCCTCGCGCCTCATGTACGCTCGCATTCAGGAGGTGTTTCCCAAACTTCCAACCCTGGATCCCGCTTCTCTTCTCCCTTTCTACCCAACCCGACCCTTCCCCATCCCGGGCACCAGTTTGGCTGCCTCTCCTCGCGCCTCATGTTTGCGCGCATTCGCGAGGTGCTTTCCCAAACTTCCAACCCTGGATCCCACTTCTCTTCTCCCATTTCTCCCCAACCCAACCCTACCCCATCCCCAACACCAGTTTGGCTGCCTCTCCTCGCGCCTCATGTTTGCGCGCATTCGCGAGGTGCTTCCCAAACTTCCAACCCTGGATCCCACTTCTCTTCTCCCATTTCTCCCCAACCCAACCCTTCCCCATCCCGGACACCAGTTTGGCTGCCTCTCCTCGCGCCCCATGTATGCGCGCATTCAGGAGGTGCTTTCCAAACAGCCTGGCCACACAAAGCCGCCGGTGTCCCTGATAGGGCAGGTGAGAGAGGGGGCATGGGGATGATGGCATGTGTGTGATGGCCGGGTCTTGAGACAGGATTTTCGCGTGTGATGAGTCGATTTTTTAGTCAACTCGATAATCGACTCATCACACGCGGATGGGATTGATGGCATGTGTGCGATGGCCAGGTCTTGAGACAGGATTTTCGCGTGTGATGAGTCGATTTTTTAGTCGACTCAAAAATCGACTCATCACATGTGGAAGGGGATGATGGCATGTGTGTGATGGCCGGGTCTTGAGACAGGATTTTCGCGTGTGATGATTCGATTTTTTAGTCGACTCAAAAATCGACTCATCACATGTGGATGGGGATGATGGCATGTGTGTGATGGCCGGGTCTTGAGACAGGATTTTCGCGTGTGATGAGTCGATTTTTTAGTCGACTCGGTAATCGACTCATCACACGCGGATGGGATTGATGGCATGTGTGCGATGGCCGGGTCTTGAGACAGGATTTTTTCCGCACGGCAGCATTCTTGGCAACCCCTTAGATCGCATGCAGGGCAGGCAGCAGGCTCTTATGAGAGGACGTTTGAATTGACTCAAAAGTCATCTCCCTTCTCTTTCACCCTTGCCGGTCCCTGCACCAGCTGCTGTGGAGTTCTTCTACACAGCAGCGTATGGCACACCCCACTCTGACCGTATGCAGGGTGACTTTTGAGTCGACTCAAAAATCACCTTCTTCCACACAGCAGCGTATGGCACACCCCACTCTGACTGTATGCAGGGCAGCAGCATCTGCTGAAGCACCTCAAGTGTCATCTCATCACCCCACTCCCTTGCTCACCCCTGAACCTTACTCCCCCTGCATCTGCCTTTCCTTGAACCTGAACACCCCCGCATCAGCTGCAGTGGCGGGAGTTCTTCTATTCTGCACGGCAGCGTATGCCACGCCCAACTGTGACTTCTTCTGAGTCAACCAACAAGTTATTCTTCCCCCTGTTATTCTTCCAACAGCTGTTGTGGCGGGAATTCTTCTACACAGCAGCGTACGGCACGCCCAACTTTGATCGCATGCAGGGCAGCAGCATCTGCAGGCAGATTCCCTGGAAGGTGGATTCGGAGCTGCTGGCTGCGTGGCGAGATGCCCGGACTGGCTTCCCCTGGATCGACGCCATCATGATGCAGGTAAGAATACCTGGTGCAGGTGATAACTGGTGCAGGCAGAACCTGGTGCAGGTAGCACCATGCAGGGCAGTGCGATCTGAGATCCCCTGGAAGGTGGATCCCGAGCTGCGTAACGAGATGCTCGGACAGGCTTCCCTTGGATTGATGCCACCATGGTGCAGGCAGTACCTGGTGCAGGCAGTACCTGGTGCAGGCAGTACCTGGTGCAGGCAGTACCTGGTGCAGGCAGTGGGGTTGGATGCACCATCTGGCTCGCCACTGCGTCACTTGCTTCCGCACTCCCTTCTGTTCTTGTAGTGGACTCACTCCTCCCGCTTTTGCCTCTCTCTCCCACCCCATCCGCTTCCCAGCTCCGCCAGTGGGGGTGGATGCACCATCTGGCACGCCACTGCGTCGCGTGCTTCCTCACTCGAGGCGATCTGGTAGGTTCCTGCTCTGGGGTTGATGCCTGGTAGGTTCCTGCTCTGGGGTTGGTGCTTGTTGCTGTTAGTTTGTCTAATCTGCTCTTCAGTTGGTGCTCGTAGCTGGTGCTTGTAGGTGGTGCTCGTAGGCAGTGCTCGTAGCTGGTGCTTGTAGGTGGTGCTCGTAGGCGGTGCTCGTAGGTGGGTTCGTAGGTGGTGTTCTGGTTCGATGAACCACTATAAACGCTGCTTTGTCTCAGCCTCTGCCTGCTTACCCCACCACCACTGCATTTATTACACCATCACCCATTTGGACAAAAGTGTGACTGATTGCTGCGCTGTGGTGACTCACACTACACCCACCCAAACCCTGCTCCACTCCTCCCAGTCCTTCCCTTCTCTCCGCCACCTCCAACCACACAGCTGGTGCACTATGGGATGGGGCAGGATCTCTTTTATTGCGCAGCTGGTGACGGATATAGGTAGTGATGACATCAAAGCGTTTGGCAAGTGGTTAAATTGGTGTCTGGGTGTCGGGCGGGACATTGCACGCCTGACACCCGGAGACCAATTTAACCATTTTCCAAACTCTTTGATGACATCGCTTCCCATATTCGTCACCAGTCGCAAAGATCTCATCGCCTCACTGCACAGCTCGTGCACTGGGAACTGGGCCGGGACGTGTTTGACCGCCTATTACTAGATGCGGACTGGGCCATCAACAACGGCAACTGGCTCTGTCTCTCAGCCTCTGCCTTCTTTTCCCAGTACCACCGCATCTACTCCCCCACAACTGACCTGCATTATGTGTGTGACTGGCTGCTGCGCTGTGGTGTCTCACAATACCCCAACCAAACCCTGCTCCACTCCTCCCAACCCCTCCCTCCTCTCCCCACTCCCGCATTGACACAGTTGGTGCATTGGGAGCTGGGGCGAGATGTATACGACCGGCTGCTGCTGGATGGGGATTGGGCCATCAACAACGGCAACTGGTTCTGGCTCTCCCCTCCCTCACCCTGCTCCACTCCTCCCAACCCCTCCATACTTCCCACTCCCGCATTCACACAGTTGGTGCATTGGGAGTTGGGTCGGGATGTGTTTGACTGGGTACCACTAGATGCGGATTTGGCCATCAACAACGGCAACTGGCTCGGGCTCTCCGCCTCTGCCTTCTTCTCCCAGTACCCCCACCACTGCTCTGCATCTACTCGCCCATCACCCATCTGGGCAGGACGTGTGACTGGCTGCTGTGCTGTGGTGACTCACAACACACCTCCAAACCCTGTTCCCCTCCCTCTCTCCTCCCCACCCCTCACATGGCAGCTAGTGCACTGGGAGTTGGGGCGGGACGTGTTTGACAGGTTGCTCGTGGACTCTGATTGGGCCATCAACAACGGCAACTGGCTCTGGCTCTCAGCTTCTGCCTTCTTTTCCCAGTACCACCGCATCTACTCCCCTATCACCTTCGGCAAGAAATACGACCCCTTGGGGAAGTTCATCCGCCACTTCCTGCCCGTTCTGAAAGGTATGTTCTGAGTCGACTCAAAGCACTCCCAGTATCACCGCATCTACTCGCCCGTCACCTTTGGCAAGAAATACGACCCCTCGGGGAAGTTCATCCGCCATTTCCTGCCTGTTCTTAAAGGTAATTATTTGTTTAGCAAGGTGCAATGCATTAACCAAACTGGATACTGGTTCGTGTCGTGGGGGAATGCCGTGGTGTTATTTCATGCTACATGGGGTTGTTTCTGTGGTCCTCTCTAGTTTTTTCCCACTCCCCGCCCCCTTTTTCGCCCACACAATCCCTCTCCACGTTCACAGCCCAGGCAATGTTGTTGTGACCTTGAAGAAAAGAATATTCAAATCATCATCATCCTATGCCTCCCCTCTGTCTTCACCCACCAGACATGCCATCGCAGTACATTTGCAAGCCATGGAGCGCACCCCTGGCTGTGACTTCTGAGTGGACTAACCTTTCCCCCGCCAACCCCACATTCGCCCCCCCAACACCTGCACACTCACCCACCAGACATGCCGTCGCAGTACATTTACGAGCCATGGACCGCACCTCTGGCTGTGCAACGCAAGGCCAACTGCATCATTGGGAAGGACTACCCTCGTCCGAGTGAGTTGTTATGGAAATTAATCTAATTCACAAGCATTTTCCACTACTAGGTTCCCTCCTTCCCTGGAAGTCCTTATTTTCTTCTTCTTTTGGAACATATTTGCGTGGTTTACGGCCTGTCCCTTATGGTCACGCCTGTGCCCGGTCTTTGTTTCTTAATTTGTCATGGCATTTGATTGTCTTTATTCATACTTTCCTTTTCTCCATCCCTTGTCCGCACCCAGTTGTCGACCATGCGGAGGCAAGTAAGCGGTGTCGAGTGTTGAGTCGACTAAGTTATAAGCATCTCTGTGCATTCCTTACCTCTCTTGCACTCTCAGTTGTCGACCACGCGGAGGCCAGTAAGCGGTGTCGAGATGTAATGGGTGCAGCCAACGCTGCAAACCGTGCGGCTGCCAGTGCGAGCAAATCAGGAAATCAGCCAGTTACCGCGACAACAGATCCTGCTACATCAAATGATCGTGCCTTATCAAGGAAGTCTACATTACATGCCAAAGAAGGCAATAGTGGTGATGTGGTGGATGTAGGAGGTGATTCAAATCAGAAGAGAAGAGGGGGTTCTGTTAATAAGGGTGGTTCTCGGGAGATGGAGAGAGGCGAGGGCAAGTCTGGTCCAATGAAGAAGAAGCAGAAGAGAATAGATGATATGTTTAGAGGTTGATTTGTTACATATATACGAAAACAACTGTGTACACTTGTTCTTGTGTCGAGACTTTTGCAATAATGAGTTTCTGAAAACATTGACGACCAGCGATCGAAATCCCAGCACTCATTTTCTTTAGGTAATCCCAATACTGTCCCATCGAGTCGCGTCGTCATAGATCACCTAATCTAGCAAGGCTTTAATATAGTAGGCCGTCATTAGCGCACAAGTAACTGCTGTGGCAGCCACTAAGAGAATAGGGGAACCGCGAATAAGCGTGTGCTGGTCGTTTTTATTTCATCCGATTGGAGGAAATGCCGATCGCACCGCCAGCTTCTAAGACGCCTCAAACGTAGCCGCGAATAAGCCTGTGCTGGTCGTTTTTATCTGACGAAATGCCGATCGCACCGCCATGCAGCGCAGGAGGAATCCCCGTACGGACGTGCCACGTGTCGCTCGAGGGGATGGTCTTTCACGGGTTTCACGGGGTTCTTCCCGAGGAGCGCGTGTTGGGGCAGAAGTTCGTGGTTGACACGTGGATGTGGCTTGCGGATTCGCCGCACCAACATCCGTTACAAGAGGATTCGTTACAAGAACATCCGTTTGATTACTCTCACGTCTACAAGTACGATGCCCTGTCATCGAGCATCTGCCTTCGTGCCACGACTTGAACTGATCTCTCCTCTCCTCTCCCTCATTCTCCTCACCCTCCCCCCCACTCTCCCTTCCACTCTCCCCTCTCCCCCTCCTCCCCTTCCCCTCCGCGGCGTTTCTTTGCGCCCATCGTGTCGTTGATACCCCCTCCGCTCCCCCCTATGACGGGCCCCCCTACATTTTTGCGCCCATCACTGCTCTTCGTCCTCCCTGCCCCCTCTCCTTTCCCTCCCCCCCCCTTCTCTCCTTCCTTATCCCCTCCTCCTTCTCCCTATCCTTTCCCGTTCCAGCATTGTGCGTGCGGAAATAACTGGCCCCCCTCACCTCCTATTGGAGAGCCTGGCGTATTCCGTGGGCCGCCAGCTGCTGCTGACGTGTCCTGAGCTGGCACGCGTGGCTCTCCGCGTCAGCAAGCCACATGTCGCGTTCACAGGGGTTCTCAAATCCGTCGGAGTTCAGCTGGAGTGCAAAAGGCAAACACTGTGAGTGCAAATCATACTAATTTGATATTTAAAAGCATTAGCCTTAGTTCTGTTATGGTAGCTCTCTGGTCTATTACCTGGGTCCTCTCCCACTTTAAATGAACCGTTTGTTTCACATAATATATTCGTTTCTGTTCTGGCAGTATTTTACTCATTGTATCAAACTAAGAACTCAATTTGGAAGAGTTCTAACGCAAGTGGTCATGCTCCCTCCATCCCTCCTTTCCCACCAACCCTCCATCACTCGATTTTTTGCCAACCCTCAATCCTTCCTGTTGCCGCCACCTATCCATCCCCCGAAATTCCCCTCAGGCAGAAGGGAAGGCGTAAAAATGGGTGACACTGAAGAGAAGAAGGACAGACGAGGAGAGGAGGGGGAGGGAGGGGAAATGCAGGGGCAGCGGGATATTGAGACGCTTTTAAACAAGACAGAAAGAGAAGAGGAGGGCGAAAGAGGGGGGAAGCAGGGACAAGGGGATGCGACGGTGGTGGTAGTGGAAGGAGAGAGTAGTATGCTGGTGCTGGAAGGACTGGTGTTCTATTGCCAAGGCAGGGGGGGGAGAGGCGAGGGGAAAAAGGGGGGAGAAGGGGGAGAGGGAGGGTTTTCCGGTGCAGGTGTCAAGAATGCTCGTGCTGGCGTTGAGAGCTGTTATACGCGTGTGGAGGTGGACGTGTGTGCGTGGGTGAACCTGGCTGCTGCAGCGCAGTCAGATGAGCTTCAAGACTCGGTGGACTACGGGGAGATCTACACGTGAGTGTTTCTCTTGAGGCTACTAAATCATCTTGGGTTACCTCGTTGCTGCAGCACAGTCCGATGAGCTTCAAGACTCGGTGGACTATGGGGAGATCTACACGTGAGTGTTTCTCTTGAGGCTACTAAATCATCTTGGGTTACCTCGTTGCTGCAGCGCAGTCCGATGAGCTTCAAGACTCGGTGGACTACGGGGAGATCTACACGTGAGTGTTTCTCTTGAGGCTACTAAATCATCTTGGGTTACCTCGTTGCTGCAGCGCAGTCCGATGAGCTTCAAGACCCGGTGGACTATGGGGAGATCTACACGTGAGTACTATTCCTTGGATGGTGGTGGTTATGACTCATGACACTCATGGCACTCATGACACTCAACATTATTGTACACTATCGGTCGTCTCTCCTTCCACTCCTTCTCTTCCCTCTCTCTTCCCCTCCCTCCTCTTCTTTGTGTGGTCCCTCTCGCCCCCTCCCACAACCACCACTCCTTTCCTCGTACACCCCACACGTCCCACAGTTTCTCCTCCCCGTTATTCCGTTCTGCTCTTCGCGTTTCACAAACCCCCCCTATCCCCCTCCCCCTCCCCGTACCCCTCCCCGTACCCCTCCCCTTCTCCATCCATACCCCTCCCCCTCCCCCTTCTCTTACTCTCTCAGCATTGCACGGCGTCACGTTGAGAGCCATCAACCCCCCCCACTCGCCTCCCTCGCCCTCCCTCCTCTAGCCCACACCATCGCTACAACCATCCGCACATCTCTCCCCCGTGTGAAGAGAGTCTGGGTGCGACTGGCTGCTCCTGCTCCCGCCTCCCTGTCCGGGGCTGTTGGGTGCGCTGCAGCGCAGATCACCCTCTAGGGAGAGGTGCTAGGTGGGTGCACGGCTGTCGCTCTCCTGTGTGAAGAGAGTCTGCATGCGACTGGCTGCTCCTGCTCCCGCCTCCCTACCTGGGGCGGTTAGGCGCGCTGCAGCAGAGGTCACGTTGTAGCAGAGACTGCAATAGAATCTGAAGGCCACTAGACTCACTAGAGCCCATACACCCGTCCCCGCCCGCCCTCCCCACTCTCGCCCGCACCATTGCTACCACCATGCGCACCACTCTCACCCGCCTGCACGGAGCCTGAGTGCTACTGGCCGCTCCTGCTCCCGCCTCCCTGTCCGGGCCTGTTGGGTGTGCTGCAGCTGAGATCACCCTGTAGACAGATATTGCACTGTGTGCCGAAAATGCTCCAGTGTAGCAAGTGCTGCATATTTTTGACATCTAATGGTTTATGTTCATAAACGTTCATTGAAACCGTTATAACAAAATTTCCTTGCTTCAATAGTGCCACCAAAGCAAATATTAATACATATGTATAAATACTACAATAATATCATCAGTCCTTACTGGAGCCCCATGTAACACATGGATCGTCGTCCATTACTAGTAGTAATTTCTTCTTGCCCTGAAAGTGTACCGCCAGCAATTGCACCACCTCCCCTTTGTTTTGCCTCCTGCCCACAAAAGGCTTGAAATATTCGTAACGCACTGAGGTTGGCGTCTTCATGCCTTCCCTCGGGCAGAAGTGAAACTTTTTCTTCTTGTCCTGGGGTAAGAACAGAATGAAAGATTACGCATAAGGGGCAGGCAGCAAGCAATGGAGGTAGTGACTTAAAAGGTGTCTTTCTAAAGGGTTGTAGTGTTCTCTAGGGATTTTTTTTCCTTTCATTTTCTTTATTTTCTTTTTTCTTTTCCTTTTCTTTTTCTTTTTTCCCTTCGTGATTGAGGCTTCTGTGGTAATGAAAGATGCTGCTACAGTGCCTGCCCCCACTGATAACAGCCACTCGATGCTGGTAGATACTTAGGGTACATTCTTGTCTTGACATTTGTGTCACAAAGCAGCGGTACCGCTCTCTACCGAATCGAACCGCTTTGTTGAAACATTTCGAACTTGGGTTCGATTCGATACAGAGCTGTACCGCTGTTTTGTGACACGAATGTCAAGACAAGAATGTTCCCTTACAATTGAAAAGTACCATACCATGCCATAAAACGTTGTGCAACAGCGTACAAAGCCATACAATGCCGTACAAACTTGAAACTGCAACACCCAGCAACAATTCAGCAGCAGCACACTCACAACAGAGAAGTTGTTATCGAAGACACACCACCCGGCATCGCTCCAAGCACTCGCCTCACACTGCCGGGGCGCACACAGTGACTCCGCCTTGAAGGCTGGCTGGAACTTGCCGTGCATGTCCGGGTACTGGGCGGATCCCTCCTTGTCCTTGCACTGCCGGGGAAGGAGAGGGAGAGGGGGGAAGGGGGAAACCAAGAAAGGGGGAAAGCGGGGGAGGGTGGAAGGGGGAAAGGGGAAAAGTTGAGAGGCGAGACCTTGTCCGAGCAGGCGGGGGTACTGGGCGGATCTCTCCTTGTCCTTTTCATTGAGGGGAAGGGAGAAAAACAATGGACAGGGAAAAGGTTGGAAGGGAGCAGAGGGGGAAAGTTTTGAAAATTCTCAGCTGCACCACCGCACCACCCCACCGCACCACCCCAGCTGCACCACCGCACCGCACCCCAGTGCACCGCAGCCCACCCCATCCCAGCAGCAGCATGGCGGTAGAAGGAGCGGGGTGGCGTGTCCCTCGGCTCGTCGGGAGCCAAGCGTGTCCCTCGGCTACCCAACACGTTTGGCTCTTACCGTTGCGGGTGCTTGGTCTGGAGGGGAAGTCCAGCAGGTAGGGCTGGCATACCACCCCAGCTGACTGAATCGCACCCGCAGCACCCCACCGCACCCCACCCCTCCACTGCACCCCACCCCTCCACATCCTAGACCTTACCGTTGCGGGTGCTTGGTCTGGACGGGAAGTCCAGCAGGTAGGGCTGGCATACCACCCCAGCTGAATCATGTCGTTGTATGTGCGCTGGCGATCTGGCAGGGAGGGGTCTCCTGGGGTCCCTCCCTTTACCGCCACCTGTAAAGAGAGAAAGAAAGGGGTTGCAATGAGACAAGAGAATGAGATGAAACAACTCCATGTCGCTGTATGTGTGCTGCTGAGCCGGCAGCGAGGGGTCCCCTGGGGTTCCTCCCTTCACCGCCACCTGTGAAGAGAGAAAAGGGGGGGCGCAATGTGATGAGACAAGGGAATGAGATGAAGCAACTCCCAGCTGCACTGCACCATGTCGTTGTATGTATGCTGCGCGGGCAGCGATATGGAAATCACTTTTGAGAATTCTCAAAAGTGTATGCTGAGCCGGAAGCGAGGGGTCTCCTGGGGTTCCTCCCTTCACCGCCACCTGTAAGGAGGGGGAATGATAGCAGGAGAGGGATCAGCAGGAGGAAATGAGTGAGAGGGGAGAAAAAGCACCCACCCCAGCTGAATCATGTCGTTGTATGTGCGCTGCTGAGATGGGAGCGAGGGGTCCCCCAGGGTTCCTCCTTTCACCGCCACCTGTAAAGCAGGAGAATGAGAGCAGGAGAGGGAGGGAATGAGCAGGAGGGAATGAGTGAGACGGGAGATGAAGCACCCATTCCAACTGCAGTGCTAGAGAAACCATGAGTTACGATCACTTGCACACTTTTGGAGCAACCGCAAGCCCAGCGCAAGGACAGCTGATATTAATGTACCCCCCAAACAGGACCGGCGCTCACCTGGAAAAAGAGCACAAAGAATGCGAGGAAATCCGCCAGAGCTTCCGTTGACCAGAGAGACACGTTCCCGCTCACTGCCCTGATGCGCACACTGTTGGACCGCATGTTAGGCAATGGCACACCCAGAGCTGTCACTTGCCTGGAAGAAGAGCACAAAGAATGCGAGGAAATCCGCCAGGGCATCCGTTGACCAGAGAGACACGTGGCCGCTGGTTGCATTCATGCGCACACTTTTGGACCGCACGCAGAGAGCAAGCTTTGCCTCCGGCAGGTGTGACTGTACGAACTGCGTGACATTAACGAATAGAAGCACGTCACAGTCGGTGTAAAACACCCGGGAAATGTTTCTTCTGACCATCATTTCGTGTAGGAAGAACCAGCGGATATGATACGCCTTCAAATTCCCTATCCCCTCTACAAGCTGCTCCTCTATATGGGCTGACTCCTCATAATCCTCGTATGCTTCTAACTCAATGCCGAGTTCGGTCATTTCTTCCCGGCACGCGCGAGGGCCAATGAGAATGACCCACGCGTTGTGCAGCAGGGCTTGGCGGAGGGAGGCCTGCATGTACCTCCTCCGGTTGCAACCTGCCTCACCCCGCAGAAACTGCACCACTGGAATCATGCCTGGGTGGGTGTTGCCTGACTTGGTGGACTTTTGAGGCGCCTCAAAAGCACGAGTTGCTGTGGTGCTATCGGCACTATTAGGGGCAATGCGGCTGTCAGTACCGCTACTGGTGGTGCCATCGCTACTCTCATCTGCTGCTGCTGCTGCTGCTGCTGCTGCTGCTGCTGCTGCTGCCGCTCTTGGTGCCGCCCCTGTCCCTGGTGCCGCCCCTGGTGCCGCCACAGGAAAACTGTCAGCGTCAGCAGCAGGAGTAGCAGAGGCAAGGTTAGCAGGGCTAGCAGGAGCAAGCGGGTTATCAGGAGGAGCAGAACCATAAGGATTAGTGAGAGTAGCGACCCCAGGAGCCTGCATTGCTGGAATGTTTTGAGTCGACTCAAACACACGAGGAGCGGTAGCAGCATGAGGATTAGTGGGAGTAGTGACCCCGTGAGTAACAACCCCGTGAGTGACAACCCCGTGAGTAACAACCCCGTGAGTAACAACCCCGTGAGTGACAACCCCGTGAGTGACAACCTCGGGAGCCTGCATTGCTGGAACGCTGGTGCTGAGCGGGAGGAGGTTCAGCAGAGGAAGCTTCTCGTTGCTTTCCTGCTGCTGACGCATCTCCTCCTGCTGCAGCAGATCCGATTTGACTGACACGTTGGCTGCTGACGTGTCTGCTGACGTGGCTGCCGACGTGGCTGCTGCTGAGGTGGAATGGAGGGCAGACAGCCCCCCATCAGCTGAGTGGCCTGGAAAACGCTTCAAGAGGTCGATCAAAGTCACGTCCGCGAGAAGGAGGAACGCTATAGCGAGTACGACTGCCCTGTAGGGATGAGGACAGGGAGGGGAGGTTGAGGGGGAGGCAGGGGGGAAGTAAGGGGGAGGTAGTGAAGGGGGGAGGGTGGTAAGGGGCAGGTAGGGGGAATGAGCGAAAAGATGAGTGGGTGGGGAGATTGGTGGAGGTGGGAAGAAGGGTAGGGGAGACAATATCGACCATACCATGCCATGCCATACCATGCCATACCATGCCATGCCATGCCATGCCATACCATGCCATACCATGCCATGCCATGCCATACCATGCCATACCATGCCATGCCCTGCTCCATTACTCATGCACAACGCGCTCAGCAGCAGCCATACCGTACCAAACCACACCGCACCGCACCTCACCACACCACGACCTACTCACGCACAACGCGGCCAGCACGAGGAGGACGGACGCGGGCCCACTCCGCGCCGCCATCCAGACTGCTTGATGCAGCTGAAGTCTAAATATATATTATTAATCGAGAAGAGCTATATTGTCTTATTAGAGATGCTTTTTTTTACTCCATTTTTTGGTAAACGCGCTCGATAAACGCGGAGGCGTCCTCTAACCGCGCAGGCGCATTCTAAACGCGTCCTCTAAGCGCGCCCGCCCCCGCGCGGTTGACGTCGCGGTCGCAGCTTCCGCTTCAGCCTTGCGCGCGCGGAAGAGTGCGCTTTTCCGCCATCGCTTGCGCTTCGGCGAGCCGCTGCAACGACGGGGCGACCGCAGTACGGCGAAAGCGCGACGCGGAAGGGGAGTGGCGATAATCCCACCTAGGTCAGCGTCGCGCAGCGCTGTGGGTGGTATCTACTTCAGTACCAGTTTCAATTCAGTCAGATGGGGTCGCCTGTTTGGGTGGTTGCGTGGACGACATTTCGCGCCTTTACGGTACGGACGAGATTTTGACTCCTTCGCGGTTGTACGGACGAGATTTGGCGCCTTAACCAGACTCGATTGAGGGGCGACCGGAAAGAGTTACAGTCTCGAGAAACGAAGAAAGTGTAGAGAGTGATATGTTTTTGTACAACATGGAATGGTTCATGTTCATAAGGCAGGCACGTTTATTGACATTGTGAACACAATCTGGCCACAATTTGTTGACGGTTTTAACATATCAATCCTTGCTAGAGCCCCATGTAACACATGGATCCTCGTCCTTTAGTTGTAATTTCTTCCTGCCCTGAAAGTGTACCGCCAGTAACTGTACAGCTTCCCCTTTGTTCTGCCCCCTGCCCACAAAGGGCTTGAAATATTCGTAGCGCACTGAGGTTGGTGTCTTCATGCCTTCTTTCGGGCAGAAGTGAAACTTTCTCTTCTTGCCCTGGGATCAGAACACAACGAAAGGACAGAAGGGACGGCAAGCAAGCGTTATACTCAATAAAGACAGGATTTCAAAATACAATGCCATACAATACAATGCAGACAACGCCGTACAATCAGGGCCTATGATTCACTTTTAGGCACGTAAAGGCATCAGGGTCCCCTTGTGTAGAATCCCTGATAATCAGTGTCTCTAAAAAAAAATCCCTGAAAGTTCAGTGTTCCTTTTTAAAAATCCCTGATGCATCAGTGTCCCCATTTTCTAAACGCTGATACACTTCAATAACTAGAACACACTAACTAGCTAGCTTGCAAGCATGGGCGCAACAGCAGAGCAGAGAGAGGGTGCCAGCACGACCTGGACAAAACGTGCCACACGACAACAGGTGCAAGAAACCCTCGCACCGCACACAGCCAGCATTGCTATGCTGCAACCCTGTGATTGGTCAACCCATGCAATGATGAGAAACTGGGCAACGATCGTTCCACGCGCGCCAAATTCAACAGCCCACCAGGTGTAAAACTCGGGTAAAATTTGTCTCGTTCTCACCGCCAGGTGGTGCTGGCGGTGAGTACCAGACGATTTTTTTTCCAAACACCGCGGGAATCTGATATTCCCTGTACTTCTGGGCACCTACACTCGGCACGTGTAGGAACCGCATTCAGGGTCAGTTTCGTTACAACGTAAAGTGATCAGTGTCTTTTCGAAAAAAAACCTGAAAGATCAGAGTCATCTAGCACCTAAAGGCTGAAAAATCAGCCCCTTAAAAAGCTGAACACTGAAAAATCAGGATAGGTACAAAAAAATCCCTGAAAATCAGGAATTTCAGGGAAAAATTCCTGATAACGTAGGGCCTGCGTACAATGCCAGACAACGCCATAATATGTTGTGCTACTTTGCAGCATACTCACAACAGAGAAGTTGTTGTCGAAGGCACACCACCCGGCATCGCTCCAAGAACTCGCCTCGCACTGCCGCGGCGCACACAGCGACTCCGCCTTGAAGGCCGGCCGGAACTTGCCGTGCATGCGCGGGTACTGGCCTGACTTCTCCTTGTCCTTGCACTGCCCGGGGAAACGGGTTGTGAGGGGTTGTGAGGGGTGGGAAGGGAGAGGGGTAAGAATGGGGAGAAGGGTGGGCAGCTGAGGCTGGAGTACCTACCAACCCATCTCACTTTTGAGTCGACTCAAAAGTCAACTCGAGCATCATGTCGTTGTAGGCGGAAAGTGGGGGTAAAAGAGGGAGAGGCGGAGGGGATGCAGGTCTCAGAGACCACTCACACGAGGGCAGTCGCTTTTTCAGGAGCCTCAAAAATAGCCGTGGAGGCAGGTCTCAGCTCAGAGACCACTTACATGAGAATGGTCGCTGCTTCTTACCGGTTTGGGCACTTTGTCAGGAGGGCTGGTCCAGCAGGTAGGGCTGGCATACCATCCGATTCCACCCCACCCCATCCCATTGTGTTCACACAGGGGAACTCACCGTCTTGGGCGCTTGGGACGTCTCAAAACCCATTGTGTTCACACAGGGGAACTCACCGTCTTGGGCGCTTGGTCTGGAGGGCTGGTCCAGCAGGAAGGGCTGGCATACCACCCCACCCCAGCTGCACCCCGCCTCACCCCTCCCCACCCCTAGAGCTCACCGTTTTGGGCGCTTGGTCAGGAGGGGAGGTCCAGCACGTGGGGCTGGCATACCAGCCCAGCTGCACCATGTCGTTGTATGTGCGCTGCTGAGCGAACAAGGAGGGAGAGGCGGAGAGGGGGGGTGCAGCAGTGAAGCTACCCCACACCCCTAAATCTCACCGTTTTAGGTGCTTGGTCAGGGGGGGACGTCCAGCACGTGGGGCTGGCATACCAGCCCAGCTGCACCATGTCGTTGTATGTGCGCTGCTGAGCCGGCAGGGAGGGGTCTCCTGGGGTTCCTCCTGCCACCGCCTCCTGCAAAGAGAGAGAAGGAGAGCAGGAGAAAGAGGGAATGAGTGAGAGGGGAGATGACGCACCAGCCTAGCTGCACCATGTCGTTGTATGTGCGCTGCTGGGCTGGGAGCGAGGGGTTTATGGTTTAGGGGAGAGATGGGGGGCGCAATGTGAGACGAGGGAATGAGATGAATTAGCACCCCAGAACAGCAATACCAGCCCAGCTGCACTGCACCACGTCGTTGTATGTGCGCTGCTGAGCCGGCAGCGAGGGGTCTCCCAGGGGTCTCCCCTACCACTGCCTCCTGTACAGAGAGAGTGAGATCGGGGGAACAAGGGCATGATGAGTGGGAGGGGAGCGCAGAATGACAGCTCACACACAGAAGCACAGCAGCTGACATCACCGCACTCCACCCACAGCTGAGACAAGTACTTGCCTGGAAAAAGATCACGAAGAAGGCGAGGAAACCCGCGAGGGCGTCAACGGACCACAAGGAGACGTGCCTACCTGCTGACTGCCCCCATGCGCACACTGTTTGATCTTATTCCGAGCAATGACACACCCAGAGCTGCCACTTGCCTGGAAGAAAATAACGAAAAACGCCAGAAAGTCCGCTAGAGCCTCCACGGACCACAAGGAGACCTGGCCGCTGACTGCCCTGATGCGCACACTGTTGGACCGCATGCCCAGTGCAATGACAGCTGAGACAAAAACAAAATCCCCACTCACACTTGGGACTGGCACTTGCCTGGAAGAAAGTCACGAAGAAGGCCAGAAAGTCCGCCAGGGCTTCGACGGACCACAAGGAGACGTGCCCGCTGACTGCCCTGATGCGCACACTGTTGGACCGCATGCCCAGCGCAAGCTTTGCCTCCGGCAGGTGTGACTGTACGTATTCCGTGACATTAACGAACAGCAGCACGTCACAGTCGGTGTAAAACACCCTAGAAATATTCCTACGGACCATCATTTCGTGTAAAAAAAACCACCGGATATGGTAAGCCATAACCTTCCCTATCCCCTTTACATACTGCTCCTCTATCCACGCAGACTCTTCATAATCTTCATATGCTTCTAACTCAATGCCTAGTTCGGTCATTTCTTCCCGGCACGCGCGAGGGCCAATGAGAATGACCCACGTGTTGTGCAGCAGTGCCTGGCGGAGAGACGCCTGCATGTACCTCCCCCGGTTGCACCCTGCCTCCCCCCTCAGAAACTGCACCACTGGGATCAGACCTGGGTGGGTGTTGCCTGGTTGGATGGAGGGATGGGCTGGGACGGTAGTGGCGGCAGCACTGCTTTCAGAACTGCTGCTGATGGTGGTGGCGATGCTGCTTTCAGCAGCTGTTGCTGCCGCCCCTTGTGTCGGCCCAGAACCACTGTCAGCATCAGCATCAACCGCATCAGCAGAAGCGGCGGCAGTAGCAGCAGCAGGAGTAGCAGAAGCAGGGTTAGCAGCATCGGGGCTAGCAGAGTTAGCGGGAGCAGCAGGGTTAGTAGTAGCAGCAGCGATCCCAGGAGCCTGCATTGCTGGATCACTGGCTTTAAGCAGGAGGAGGGTCAACATAGGAAGCTTCTCATTCCTTTCCTGCTGCTGACGCAACCGCTGCTGACGTAGCTGCTGCTGACGCATCTCCTCCTGCTGCAGCAGATCCGATATGACTGACACGTTGGCTGCTGACGTGGCTGCTGCTGACGTGGAATGGAGGGCAGATAGGCCCCCATCGGCTGAATGGCCTGGAAAGCGCTTGAAAATGCCGATCAGGATCACATCCGCGAAAAGGAGGAACACTATAGCGAGTACGACTGCCCTGTAGGGATTAGGACAGGGAGGGGAGGTTGGGAAAGGTAGGGGGGACGTCGGGGGAGGAGGTGGGGATGTAGTAGTGGGGAGGTAATAAAGGGGGAGGGTGGTAAGGGGCAGGTAAGGGGGATGAGCAGAAGGTTGATTGGGTGGGGAGGTCAGTGGAGGTGCGAAGAAGGGTTGGGCAAACAAGACCCGACCTGTTTTTTTAGAATTCTCAAAAAAAACACGCAACAAGACCCGACCAAGCCATGCCATGTCATGCAATCCCATTCCTTGCCATGCCCCGCTCCATGACCCATGCACAACGCGGTCCGCAGCAGCCATACCGTACCAAACCACACCGCACCCCGCTACTCACGCACAACGCGGTCAACACAAGGAGAACGGACGCCGGCCCACTCCGCGTCGCCATCTAGACTGCTTGATATAACCTTCAAGGCGTTAATCGAAAAGAGCTATATTGGAGACGGCTATTTTAATAGACGCGGCCGCTAAACGCGCAGGCGCCCTCTAAACGCGTCCCTTCAACGCGCCCTTAGAGCGCGCCCGCCCTCCACGCCGTTGACGTCACGCTCACGGCGGCTTCCGCGGCACTTCAGCCCTGCGCGCGCGGAAGGTTGCGCCTTTCCACCATCACTTGCGCTTCGACGAGCAGCCGCTGCCCGACGGGGCGACCGCGGTACGGCGAAAGCCCCGCGCAAGAGCGGGGAGCGGGCTAGCGGAAATACCGTCTAGGTCAGCGTCACGCAGCGCAGGGTGGTATCTACAAAAGTACCACTGGTAGTGTCGTGCCGAATGGGGTTACCTGTTCCGATGATTGTACGGAAGAAATTTGGCGCCTTTACCATACTCGATTGAGGAGCGACCGGAAAGAGTTACAATCGAGAAACAGAAAGTGTGTAGACGAATTGAACATTTTCGAATCAACTAGTAGAAAAGATGACACACAACCTAACATCTCCACATTTATCTTTTTAACAGCGTTTTTTAGGAGTTGATTAGGAGCCGTTTGCTAATCAGGGCTTGAGCCCCAATGGCTTGTAGGATCGGGTTGCATTATTAACGACTTTCGGGGGCCTTGGAAGTGCACACACATGAACTGCACGGGCTTGTCTTGAGGCTTGCCGACCCAGTCGGTGAAATGGTCATAGTGCATGGATGAAGGAGTCTTCATCTTCAATGGATCGTAGTGGAACGTTGTATGGTTGATCTGTGCGGTGGGGAAGGCAGGGCACAAGAAAATCGAATAATTGTGGGGAACAGACACACAGAGGAATTGCACCGGCTTGTCCTGAGGCTTGCCGACCCAGTCGGTGAAATGGTCGTAATGCTTTATCATCTTCAACGGATCTTAATGGAATGTAGTGTGGTTAATCTGCGAAGGGAAAACAGTGTGCAAGATGAGGATCGACTGATTCGAAGGAGACAGACTAAATACCGGTATGCAGATTAGAGACATAAGTTGTTGTGAAACCATTCTCAATCTTTAACAAACGTAGAGGAAATCACACTCACAGTGAGCGAGAAGTTGTTGTCGAAGGCACACCACCCGGCATCGCTCCAAGCACTCGCCTCGCACTGCCGGGGCGCACACAGCGACTCCGCCTTCACTGCTGGGGTGAACCTGCCTCGTAACCTCGCACTCGCTGTTCTCCCCGACACTCATTCCCTTGTCCCACTCACCCCGCACTCACTACCATCCCCCAGCACTCACCGTGAGCGAGAAGTTGTTATCGAAGGCACACCACCCGGCATCGCTCCAAGCACTCGCCTCACAATGCCTGGGCGCACACAGCGACTCTGCCTTGAAGGCTGGGGTGAACCTGCCTCGTATCCTCGCACTCATCACCCGCATCGATGGCGCCAGGCACTGTGGGAGGTTGACAAGTGTGGGTTGGGGGAAGAGCGAGATTTTCGGGCTGAAAGCTTGTTAAGGTTTGGGTGAATCAGTCATGTTTTGAGACTCCCCAAAACAGCATTAATATCACTCGGCCGCTGGGGCAGCAGATATGTGTGAGTCACATGGTGTGACTGATTGGTCGACCACGTCACATCTCGTGCAACGCTGACTACTAACGTCTTTAGGGATGGTGTCCTTGGGGGTGTTGGTCCGGCACACAGGAGCGGCATACCACCCCAGCAGCACCATGTGATTGTATGTGCCCCACTCACGATGAGCTGCATGCTTGTTACTCACATCTTTTGGAATGGTGTCCTTGGGGGTCTTGGTCCAGCACACAGGAGCGGCATACCACCCCAGCACCACCATATCGTTGTATGTGAGCTAACATACCCACTCTAACACATGCGCACCACGTGTGACCAGCTGTGACCAACTGTGACCAAGTGTGACCAAGTGTGACCAAGTGTGACCAACTGTGACCAACTGTGATCAAGGGTGACCAACTGTGACCAACTGTGACCAACTGTGACCAACTGTGACCAAGTGTGACCAACTGTGACCAACTGTGACCAACTGTGACCAGGTGTGACCAAGTGTGACCAAGTGTGACCAAGTGTGACCAAGTGTGACCAACTGTGACCAACTGTGACCAACTGTGACCAACTGTGACCAACTGTGACCAACTGTGACCAACTGTGACCAACTGTGACCAAGTGTGACCAACTGTGATCAAGTGTGACCAAGTGTGACCAAGTGTGACCAAGTGTGACCAACTGTGATCAAGTGTGACCAACTGTGACCAACTGTGACCAACTGTGACCAACTGTGACCAACTGTGACCAACTGTGACCAAGTGTGACCAAGTGTGACCAAGTGTGACCAAGTGTGACCAAGTGTGACCAAGTGTGACCAAGTGTGACCAAGTGTGACCAAGTGTGACCAAGTGTGACCAACTGTGACCAACTGTGACCAACTGTGACCAACTGTGACCAACTGTGACCAACTGTGACCAACTGTGACCAACTGTGATCAAGTGTGACCAAGTGTGACCAAGTGTGACCAAGTGTGACCAAGTGTGACCAACTGTGACCAACTGTGACCAACTGTGACCAACTGTGACCAAGTGTGACCAAGTGTGACCAAGTGTGACCAAGTGTGACCAAGTGTGACCAAGTGTGACCAAGTGTGACCAAGTGTGACCAAGTGTGACCAAGTGTGACCAAGAGTTTAGAGGGAGAGGGAGTGCATTCAGGCCATGCGCGCGTCCCTCTATACCCGAGTGACTTTTGAGAGTTCTCAAACGTCCCTCTATACCCCAGTCCCCCCTCGCTGGCTCAGCTTGCTGCTGTTGTGTTGTGGGCCACCGTCGCCATGCGCCTACCCGTCCCCTCTCCTCCCCACTCCCACCACTCAAGTTTCGAGTTTCTCACTCTTGCTTTCCACTGCTTCTGCTCTATTGGCAACTTTGACTTGCTTTCTTCCCACATCTGGGTTTTTGCCTCCAATGCTACTCCATTTCTTGCTGCGCTTTCTGTTGCATTCAGTCCGAGTTCATTGCCTGCCCTCTGCCCTCTGCCCTCTACCCTCTCCATTCGCTTGCTGCCAACGCACTCACGTCTTTCGGAATGGTGTCCTTGGGAGTGTTGGTCCAGCACACAGGAGCGGCGTACCACCCCAGCACCACCATGTCGTTGTATGTGCGCTGGGCTGGTAGGGATCGATCCCCGAGTGTGCCCCCCACCACACCAAGCTGCTCGCATTGGGGTGGAGGAAGAGGAGATGGGGAAGAAGGGAGAAGTGGGGAGAGAAAGAAGAGAGACAGCCCTGTGAAATCTCACAACACAGAAGCAGCACTCCATCCCAGCACCACCATGACATCGTTATATATATATGTATATGTATATATATATGTATATATAAGTATATATATGTATACATATATATACATACATATATATACATACATATATAAATAGATATGTACACCAAGAATGAAATAAATTCAAAAAAATGACTGATAGGTACACCAAGAAACTGCTAATAGAATGCTAAGAAAAAGCAAAGCCATGCCAAGTCAAACAGCCAGTCAAGATGAGAGCAAAAGGAGCATACCTGAAAGAAGAGGCGGAAGAAGGTGAGGAAATCTCCCAGTGCTTCTTGCGACCAGAGGGAGACGTGCGCACTCACTGCCCTCACATGGATGCTGCAAAGGGCGGTAGGGGGGACGGATTGAGGTGGGAAAAGATGGGGGGAAGGTTGGGCTGGCTATAAGGGGAAAGGGCGGGTTGTAAAGGTGTTTCGCAGAACGACCAGAGAGAGACGTGCGCACTCACTGCCCTCACGTGGATGCTGCAGGTGGGGGTAAGGGTGTGGGGAGGGACGGGAAAGAAGGGGGGAA